TTCCTTTGGTTTGCCTTCCAAAGCAAAATATACCAGTACACAGTTCTTCCCTTTTGGGCTTTCCCTTGCCCTTTGTGTTTTCACCCAATGCATACAGGGCGTTCTAACACCACTTCTAGCCACAGGTCTGAAAATACTTCCATACCTGAATGACTGGCTTCTGTGCTTCTGTGCACCATCCCACAACAGAGACACTCCTCAACCACATTTCAGCTTTAGGGCTATGTGTGAAACATACAATACAGCATGACACTATACCTACAGTGTTCCACGTAAACCATTTAGGGGGCACTAGATCTCCAGCTGGTCCACCAGCTGTTAACCTGGGCATACCCTAGGTTAGCTTTGCTTTGTGCAGACACTTCACAGGATCCAACAACAGTGGCATCAACTGTTGCTGATTCCCCCTCATTGACCAGCAAGACTCTGGTTTCCCTGCTAAGATCGCTGTTGTCAGGGAAGCCTCTCCTCCACCCAAACAGTGCAGACCTTTTGTCACAGATGGACGGCAGAGCACTGCACCTCTGGCCAGGCCATCTACAGTTGTGGATGTGAATGCTGGGGCTGGAGCACAGTTCATGGAATGCACATTGAGCATGAAAAACATGCTGCTGAGTGCCAATACACCTTCCACTCGTGTCTTGTATTCAGTTAGGTGGGGGTTATTTTTACAGTGGTGTTATAATCATTTTAGCTGTTAGTACTCAGTGTTGCAAACTGCATTTCAATCATGTAGCACTTTAAGCATTAGAAGTACTTTTCCTTTGTTCCTCATGTATGCCATTACCACAGGCTTATCCTCAACTTTACTAGTATGAACTTTTGCTTTGTTCTTCACATACAAAAAAAAAAAAAGTTAAGGAAACATAAGGAGTCCTTCATTAGACAAAATGGTCCTTCTTGTTTTAATGGAACCCCATAGGCCTCTTGAAGAGCCCTTAAATTAAACCTTCAATAATATTGAATACAATGAAATAAAATAAACCTTGTCACTAATGAGTAGTGGTGTAAAGGAAGTCCTGAGCCTAATGGAGGCTCAGAACCTTGAGTAATTAAAATGACACACACTAAGCAGATTTTCTATCTCACTGCAGTAGGAAAATGTTCGCTGCAAGCTTGATTTCTTATCTACCGAACCCAATTACTGGAGAAGGAGGTTAGCATGCTTTGTTCCATGCTGAATTAAAGCAAGGGCATTTTCTTTCAGTGCACAATGACAACGTCTTGAAACTGTTAAAGCTGTTTTTGCATCTTGCATGCAAGTGTGTGGGCAGCAGAATGTTTGCACAATATAAGTATTTGATTCTGCAGGCATTTGTATTATGTCCACTGAACAGCATTGCAGCATTTCCCATGTAAGATTAAAAATGCAACTTTTTGAGGGTGTTTTCAGGACACAGCTAACTTAATCTAGCAAAAAAGGACCTTAAATAACCCCTACCAACTATGCATTTGAGTCTATGTTTGATGGAATACAGTGTCAGATTCATATGTGTGACTTCATTTAAACTAGTTTCCCACTTGCACTGCACAGTTTTGTGTTTTCCTGCTCCGACACATCTAACACTCCTGCACAAGAATGCCTTGATCATTATGTCATGATGCGACTCCGGTGCCAGGAAAACAAGAAAGTCCTCTGAAAATATTTTATTTTTATGAATATATTTTATTCATATGGAAATGATATATACATTTAAAGAGGGTGAACACAGTGAATTTGGTCTTCGAGTTGCAAAACAAAGCAGTAAACCAAGAGAGGCTGTGCATTACAGTGATTTTTTTCAAGAACTTTCAGCCATCATTGTATATTTGCAGTTATTTCATTAACTTTTTGCATTTTTGTCACATACTCATGAACATATCATAATATACGTAAACCTTCACCTCAAAAGTAGCTTTTTCTTATCAAATGGAATGATCCATTTTACAGTACTACGCAAAAGTCAAAGACTATCCATCCATTTGTACAATTTTCAATTTACCATTGCAATTTCATTTTTCAGCCTCAGAAAACATATATTTAACAGAAATTTACACAGATTTTGGAATTTTTTCAGATCTGAAGCAAGAGTGGTGCTTGATCTGTCTCCCATTAGATAAAAGCTTTGATCACTGTTCATGTTATGGTGACTTAGAGTTAAAATGTTATAATATATCCAGGCTTATTATATCTGGTCTTATCAGTTCTTCTTAAATATGTTTATGAACTTCTTTTACTTTCCTCTTCCTAATGCAAGTGGATTATCTTACAATACTCTACAAATGTTAGAGATCTAATTAACTAAATTTCCAGTCAAAAGGGTCATTAAGTTGGGCAGTCATGGGCTGGAGGTTAGGGAACCGACAGTACATGACTGAGATGCCCTTCAGCAAGGCACCTAACCCCCAACTGCTCCCTAGGCACTGCGGATAGGGTTGCCCACCGCTCCGGTGTGCTCACTGCCCCTAGTGTGTGTCTTCACTAGTGTGTATGTGGTGTTTCACTGCACGGATGGGTTAGATTGCGCAAGTGAAATTTCCCCATTGTGGGACTAATAAGGGTCACGTAATCTTAAATTATTCATTTTTCAGGAAATATGAGCAGATTCGATATGTGATAATCCACTTGTATAAGGAACGGGAATGTACAAGGGAAAAAGTGAAAAACCTTCCAGTTTTGCAGCTAAAAAATTATTCAGAGATATAGAGAAAATAGAACTCGTAACAACTGTGCAAGATCTGGTAGACCACCAAAACTAGATCACTGTCAGATAAATGGGACTTAAAGCTTTCATCTTTGAGAGATCGGAGCTGCACTTTTGCCTTAGATCTGAAAAAATCCACAGGTGTTTCTGTCTATCCTTCCACTGTGAGAAGACTACTCAACACTATGGGTCCAAAAGGATGTGTAGCTGTCAAGAAGCCTTTACTGAGAAAAGGAAATGGACAAAAAAGAAGAAATGTTTCATTAAAACGCCACAACTGGACGTCGGAGATGGAGAGTAAGGTTGTGGACTGATGAGTCTAAATTTATAACTAAATTTATAACTGGTTCCTTGGATTATCAGAAGCTCAAAATGCAAGTTCTAAGACTGAACATTGGAGATGTTTACAAGAAGTGTGGAAAAAGATCCCTGCAGATCTCTGAAAAACTGCTAAAAATCTGCCAAAAGCTAGTCTCAGAAGCTGTAATAAAGGCAAAGGCAAACTAAATACTGAAGCAGTTTATATAGTATTTAGTGAAATAAATAACTTGTACTTACTGACCATTAAATAACAAATCAAATAAATGAATGGTGGTCTCTGACTTCTGCACAGTATTGTATAATATTGATTTCAGGCAATATTGTAAAATTGAATTCTCATGTATGTTGTATACTTATTATGCTGTACATTACTCTTTGTTACATTTTGTTACTGCTATCAAGTGGCATTCCTAGGTTGATAAAGACTGATCTGAGACGCCACACTCTCTGATAGATGACTGAACATTCTGATTTCAAGTCCTTGGTTGCACTGCAGTGAAGTGCTTTTAAATAGTCTTGTTTGCAAATGCATTCCCCATGTTGATTTGCCATTGTCTACACTTGCACTGCGAGAGGTCCATGTTTGTATGCTTTTATTCTCATTCACAGGGAGAATCTTTTTAATGCTGCCACAAACCAGCCTACCTGCTGACTGTGCCAAGGCCTTGATATGCCTGGTGTTATTTTGAACGTGCAGAATCAAACGCGTCAGAGATGTTGAACTTATTATTTGTGAGTGTGAGCAGGCGCTTCTAGCTTTGTTGAAGGAATAATGAGATATTTCTGGCAGATTACTGCTAAGAGCAGTATTAGAACCAGCTGACGATTTGAATAACCTTTTCATTAGACTTTGGTGATCTATTGGCATGGTCTCCAAGGGAACAAAGAAGAAAAAAAGGAGTATGTTGACTCAAGACAACCTTTCTGTCAATCCATGGAAGTTTACAAAGAATAAGAAACAAGAGAATCCAGTTTGATATAAATGATGTTGCATTATTTGTCACTCTTTCAAATGTAGTTTAATCATCTGCATGGCAGAACAAACAGATGTTGAGACACACTGAAATCACAATGCAGTGACTGCAGGGACAAGTTAGCTGTCATGAGTCATCATGCTGACGACTTACTACTCAATATGATAATATACCAGAGAGTCTGGCTGTTCAGCTGTAGAATTCTGTAACTACCAGACATGCATATTAGTAATCCAAAAGCACACCTATGTGAAAATATTTAACTTCAATCAAATAATGATTAACTAGAAGTGAACCTAGCTTTCAAAAAACAATTTCAAAAGGAATAAAAGTGTTCAGTGGTAAAAACTAAAACAAAAACTCTGAGTTCTTTGTAGGACTGTAAGGGAATTTCTAAGTACATACAGCATCTTTCATGATAGAAACTAAAGTTGGTTCAGATGGCATTGCTCTCTTTTTTGGGAATTCTTTGATTTGGAAAAAGGCTAAACCTTGAACCAACAGAACATTAAACCCAAAAAAGACATTAGGAATGAAAAGTGCTTGATTATAATGTAGTCACTGAGTAAAAAGTGGATTCTTTTCTACTTGTAATGTACTTGACCGTTGTGAACCTGCTATTATTTTAAAATCCTCAGAAAAGTACAAATACATCAAAAAGACATGGTAAGTAGTTAGCCAGCCATATTTCCTGTATGATTTGACAGCAAAATACATTGTAAATTGGCTATTTATTTTCTCAGTATTCTCATTATGACATTAAGTTAGAGAGAAAACATTTGGGAGCCGTTACATAAACGGTTGGAGAGACTGTTCTCATGGCGTTCTTTTCCCCCACCCATATTCCGTCAAAACCTCTCCTCCTGCGGTCTGTTTGGTTAGAACTAGTCCGCCTCCTTCGCTAGGATTGGGTAGTTAGCCCTACATCATTGGGTTGCTTGTGACTATGAACTACTAGCCAATCCTAGCGCAGGAAGGTGGGGCTTTTCGCAATACAGGTGGGGAAAAAAAAGAACGCGCCCGCGAAGCAGCTCGTGGCGGTTACTACCACCCAAAATATCTACCGCATTGAGGAGAGCCGAGCAGATGTTGTTTCCCAAACCAGCCGTTACTGAATGCGGCTTTTGTGCCCAAAACGGTGGCATTTTTTCGTGTGAAAAACTTGGAATTGCATAAAGGAGGATAATTGAATATACCGAGGTACTGAGACGAGCAGCGAGTGAGCGAGAGAGACAAAAAGAAAAAGCCGCTTGTAAAATTTCAGTCAGTCATTACAGACAGTGGGGCAGTGAGCGAGGAGAGTTAAAGCCGCGCGGAGGATGTGGGCGAGGAGACTAGACGGCGGTGCTGCTCCCGTCACAAAATGTAAAACGAGAATACGCTTATAACGTGCTAATAGGGGGATTTTGACGTCTTTTTTCTCCCGTCCTTGCCAGTCAGCGCTGGAGTGGGCTAAAGTGGGCTGTGCCATAGTGTCCGTTTCGATGTGGGAGTTAAGCCTGTGTCATGGGCTGAAACGGTCAAATCAAGAATTCAAGAGGGAATAAAGAAAGCAGTCCACTGGAACCAACAGCAAATCACCACCTGTTAACAGAAGAGGTAAGCATTGCAGTATAGTCAATCTAAAATACACCACAGGTTGAGATTGCAGCCTAACGCAGTGTAATTCAGCTCGATACAGCTGCGAGGGAGCCGTGTGTCGAAACCTGTTCTTAGGTTTGCGCAAAGAGAAAAGAAACATTGGTGGTTTTGGCTCGCCACATTTCCGAAGAATGGCATTAGTCGTCCTGTCAGTCATCTAGTTACAGCTATACCTCACAAAACGGCCAGTGTGTGAAGTCCGTGTTTAAAAAAAGGAAACGATTGAGAAACGTTAGCTTAGCCACTCTTCCACTTGAAAGCTGACCGAAATAGCAGCGCGGACTGCTGTGTCAGATTAGCCTAGCCTAGCTCCCCATTTAACATCAGGTGAAATGACAGCAACGCAGCCCACCACCTCACTGACCATATCGTCCTTATTCTAACACTAATATGAAGGCTTATACGCCTTTTAGAGTTAAACTAGTAGCCACACACCTTTCCCACGTAAAAGGCTTGTCAGGATTTATGTCTCGTTTGATTAAGAATGGTACTTGTGTGCCCTCTAACCCATGGCACCACAGGTAGGTTTTCAAGTGAGAGACCTCTGATTAGTAGTCCTTTCTGTACTGTTTCCCAAAAGTAAAGGGAAATATGATGAATGAGTCAAAAATTCTATTTTTAATGTAGCATGATTAATAGGTTGCCCATTAGGCCTATGTGCTGTTTATGTAAGCTTCTATAAACATGACATGACAGACATTCATTGAAAATAGCCAGTCCACATAAATTGGCTAGGATCTTTGTGTACAGTCTGCCCACTGTGTTTGAATGGTAAACACTACTCATTTGTAGATGTGTTTCATCATGTTAAGTCCAATCACAGTCATGCAAATGATCCAGCCTGACTATGCATCCCTGCCATTAAGCAGCCCAGTCCTAGGAGGGTCTGGTGAAAGAGGGCTAATTTTGAATCTACTCTGCTGTCAGTGCGATCAGATTGATGGACTGTGAAGGCAAAGTTCATCCCAGCCACCTTTGTCTGAAAAGACTGAGGCATGCAGCCCTGTGTGTCCTGGATACTGGTGATTCACCTTAAAGCAACATCCCACTGTTCATGTTCTCTCAGTTCATGCTGAACCTGAGGCTAGAGGCATCGAATAAGCTGTGAGGCAGGTTTTTTCAAGATTCATGAAATGTGGTCACATTTTGTTTGGGCTTTTAAAGTTAGGAAAGCATGCAGCATTTCCCACTAGTTCCCTAAGAGTTTTTAAACACTGTCTTAAATTGGCAAATGTTTAATTTAACATGATGATGACTCGAAGCAAAGTTGAATTTCCAAATTCTTTCATGTAGTGTTTCCCCACTATCACAACACAATAAGTACATATTTCCCTTTTTCACAAAAGCATCCAAAATACACTTAAGAAATTACTACTTGAGAACAGCCTTCATCAAAACACGTCTTCTTGTGTAGATTGTAAGACAGAATTCGAGGAAGCAGCAAAAAATAATAAATTTTAATTTGTTCCTGATTCACAAAGAATGTTCCATACCTTAATTATATGTTATGGTAGTTATCATAGTGATTACAATAATAGTCTGTCTGAAGCCTAAAAGTGATAGACTTCTTTTCGATGAAGTGACAGCCCACTGTGAAATATGTTTTGTGGGGGTCTGTTCCACAAACCCTGTCACTTTTTTGGTCTGATGTGGTTGGTGTACTGCCCTGTGTGCAGTGTGCAAGACTCTTTTTCGAATGTCACATCATTTAGAATTTCATTCAGTGAGCTCCTCTTCCCCTTACCTATTGAGCTCACTCAATTATTCACCTCCCAGGCGGCTGGATGGTAAACGTCAATGTTGCACAACTCTCTTACTTGGCTGAGAGTCAGCGTTAAGGTCAGGTGAGCCGTGAGCACTGGTCAGGTCTACAGTGATCGGAGTGTTATTCTGTGTCTCCCAGTTGCCTAGCGGCATCAGCAGTGTTGCTTTTACAGCAAACTACACACACACACTATATAATGTGATGGGGCAGATGTAAGCCTTTGTAACAGCATTTGGTACGAAGAAGAGGTCTGTGTAGAGGTGGGCAATATGATGATATATACCACATGTTCATATCATCAGCACGTAAAGAACAACTACACATTTAATTAAAAGGAGGGCATAGTTAGTCCTGTTAATTTGATTTAGTATGTTGTGAAATGTTGAATTACATATTTGTTTTTAGTAACTTTTTTTTAATTTGGCACTACTGGTGCATTGTGTTGGTTCCAACATGAAACCTTAGAAAAAAATGTACAATACGCAAGTATCGTGATATTTATGGTAGTCTGTTTTAGGTATATTGCCACCCTTAGTTCTATGCAACGTAATAAACAAGGGGGTTGGTGCTCAGAATCACCTAATATAATAATGTAATAATGTTTATCAGAAGAACAAAAGGACATAATGAAAAGCGAATTGTTGGTGGTCTTTTTGTCATGCAGGACCTGCAATATGGAACATTTTTGTGCAATTGCTTCTTTTGAAATCTAACAAAATAATTAAGATGATGGAACCGTATGCTATCTGACAAATCAGTTTTTCTGTCAAAAACCTGTAACATTTTTGCTGGAAACAGTGTTTTTCTTTAGACTATTGTGGAGGACTACTATTAGAAAAAGTAGTACTCCACAAAGGTTCAGGATGGTATGCAACATTGATTCAGGTTTAAAGCCCAGGAGTAGCATATACAGTCTGTGGCTGGAGGACAAAATGAACTACATTTTTTCTGAAAGGTAGTGGTGAAAGGACACCTCCCATCACTAAGCAGTGCTATGCAGTGGAATCTATGTACTTTCATAATATAACTACTTAATGTTGTATTCTGGATGAACTGAATGAAATTGTGATTTAATTCCAAAATTGTTCATGAATGCATGTATTATAATCATTCATGCCAGTGCTCAGAAAACACTTATCCCTCATAATTTATCAAAATGGAAGCTTTTGAAAAACATTTCTAGGGTAACATTCAACTTCATTCCTTGGATATCTATGAACACCGCACCAGGTACACTTTTTCACTTGACATATTTTCTTGGCTGTAATTTGTGTTTACATTGTATCTCCCAAAAACAGTAAATTAATTTCTAATACGTGTATTTTGTAGACATGGTTTTATTTGGTATGGCGGGTACAGTGCTGCCAGTGTTTGTTCTGTGACTTTGCTCAGCGTACATTAATCTAAGACACAATCTTGAGTCCATATAAATATTCATGATGATGCTCATCAAAGACAGGCGTTTCCCGCCTCACTGCTTCTCATTATGTCTTGCTAATACGTGCCAGTTAGTTTCTTGTCAACACAACTCAATTTATTCCGTTTTTAACGGGGCGTCCTCATTTAACACTGGGCGTTGAGGGTACTAGCCGGGTAAGCAGCAAACAAATCAAAATCGAACTCCACCTTAATTTTTCTGTGCAGTGGCACTTGGTTCAGTGTCCTGTTCCTGGCTAGTGGTAGTAATTGTCTGCCTTTGTTGGCATAATGAGGCTCAGTGGGTGAGATTCTTCTGTTTGACTTGCTCTGGCACCTCCCAGGTACTTTCAAGCCTTTCCTCTCCAAAAGCCATCAATCACCGCACAATAGGTCATGCCCTGAGTCATAAATGTGCCAGTCACTCATTTGCTCTTGCTCTTCTCTGTTGATGCTGTTTAACAGCCTGAATCCAGTTTAGAGCAGCAGTGTGGGCCACCAGGTCTTTCTGTTGTTTTAACTAATGAGGAATAGAATGTAGAGAATCGCCTGGTGCCACAATGGGTCTACTTTTGGCACTGAGATGTCACTGCATTATAATGATGTGAAAGGATTGAAACAGGCTGAAAAACCTCATGAACCGTAATCAAATGTGCAGTGACAAGTCGCACTCTTGCCACTTTAGTAATTGTAAGCTACTGTAACATGAGCTGTTGGGTGAAACAGTTTGGGATTCACTGTGCAAGAACTTTGTAATGGATTTTTAAATAATTTAATATTTACAGCTGCTTTTGACATGAATGTAGCAACTTTTCAATTTAAAATCATGCTGTTAATTGTTTCATTTTTGTAGTCACATTTCTCCAGGATAAAAAACATTTCTTCGATGAAAAACCTGATTTGTTCAAAAACACCGGTAAGGATTAAGGTTGCTTAGCACTGACAAAGTGTGTGTGCAGCGCTCTTTTATTGTTCAGTGCACAAGGTACATTGATGTGGAATGATTTTTAACAAATCATAAGTGTATTCTTACAGACAGTCAATACATATATTCCTTTTGTGCAGTCTTTGAACATTTGGACAGAAAGGCTGTGTACTGTAGCACAGGGCCTCCCAAATGTTTCATGCCCGTACTCACATGTAAAACACAGTGTTTGTCCTAAGACCTACTAAATATTTTATGAAGTGAAATAAAACTTAACCTTGCCAAATGTCTTTAAAGCTTAAGCATTCAGTCCACTTTTACTTAGTGTACTGTAGGGGTGTGGGAAAAAATCGATTCTTAGATGCATCGCGATGTGGACATGAACGATTCTGAATCGATTCACAAATGTCAAAAATCAATTTTCTAAATATTTAATTTATAACGTAATGTTGACGGAATGCAAAAGGCGGAACTTGGAAGTGCAGAAGTGCAGCGCCCGGACAGTCTGTGGCGGCACATAACAAAAACAAAAATGGATGAGCGAGAAATCCGACTGTCTCCCTCTGCATTAAAAGCCAGGTTAGATCAGGAGTCACAACACAAATGATAAGAAGAGCCAATTTGTCCTTTCAACAAAAATCAAACCGCCGCAACATTTAATGTCCAGTATGTCTCAGAATGTGTTAATGTCCTAGTATAGGCTAAACAATATAAATGAAAACGAAGATTTACTCCGCTCTGCTTTAAGCTTTAGCTATAGCCGCTTTCCTCCCATCTCCAGCAGAAAACCTTTCCTCAAAAGTTGATCAGTTAAATGTCTCTCAGTGTTCGACTGTTTTACGAGGCTGAAGTCGCTTCTTATTCTCCAGCTTCTTGTTCGATTTTTCCCGTTCCACCTTAAATTCTAACTGAGGCGCCAAATGTAAATGTGGCACCATTTAAGGTGGAACGGGAGAATTCGAAAGAGAAGCTGACTTAAGCTTCGCCACTTTTTAGTGTGTGACAGTCTCTCATTACAGATTTAACCTAACGTACCAGGAAACCAACTGCGCTGCTTATAAATGCGAATAACGCATCGTTGCTATGTGACCTGCAGTCTGCAAGGCAATTCTCAGTCATTGCGAAACAGGGCTTTCGCGCTATGTTGCACACGTCCAGTCTCAAAAATACTTTACTGACACAGTGATCCCCCCCATCTCTACAACGAGACCAAAACCGAAGTTATAAAATCACTAAAGAAAACGGGTAGAACAGCTGTAACATGTGCTGTGTGGACATCCATCACCACTGGATCTTATTTCACCGTAACTGCGTATTTTATCGCAGATGAGTAGCAGCAGCTTCTCGTGCTCCAAACAAGAGCAGTGAATGAGAGCCTTCTAGTTCACTTGCCACATCACTTCCATTTGATTTATTAAAAAAGAATCGTGAGGTGCATGCTGTCTTCATAGTATTTACTGTCTTTTTTGTCATTATTGCAATAAAATCCTTACAGCAATTGTCCAGCATCTCCCTATTACCGTTGATTGTCTACAAACCTTTGGACATATAGTGTATGTTCAAATACATACAGACTGCACTGTAGATGAAGAGTTTTGTTCCAAAATGCATTGCATGCCACTTTGATTAATTTTGTTATTTTTCTTGATATATGTTGTTGGGAGTGGCCTTTACACATGCAATAAATGTTTATATCAACTTCTTCTTGTCACAAATGAATATACAGCATTTCAGAATGAAACTCTTCATATTCCGTCTATAGGCATGGCCACAGTACAGTTCTTGTGCACTTTGTTTAATCAAAGTTAATGACGTTTTCTTTGCATCACGTTCATGGTTTATGTAAAGGTCCTTGCAGATTCCTTCCAGTGTTGTGAAAAGGTTTTTGCCCCTCACCCGATTTCTTCTATTTTTGCTAATTTGTCACATTTACGTTTCAGGTTATCCAGTTAATTTTAAAATAAGATAAAGGCAACACATGTAAATGCAACATGCAGCTTTTTAAATGATCAATCCATTTATCGAAGAAAAAGATTTTTTTTAAACATATATTACCCATGTGAAAAAGTAATTGCCCCTCTAAATCTAATAACCTGTTGTGCCACCCATGGCAGTAACAACTGCAATCAACTTGCGAGTCTTTTACATCACTGTGGAGGAATTTGAACCCACTCTGCTTTGCAGAACTGTTTTAATTTGGCTACGTTGGAGGGTTTTCAAGCATGAACTGCACATTGAAGATCTTGCCACAGCATCTCAATGGATTTTAACTGTTTTACTAGGCCACGCCAAAACTATAATTGTTTTTCTTTTAAGCCATTCAGAGGTGGGCTTGCTTGTGTGCTTCGGATCATTGTCCTGCTGCATAAAAAGTTCTGCCTTTGACTAATCAGTCCACAGAAATATATATTGATGTGCTATACGTTAATGTGCTTGTGTGGGCCTACTGTTGCAAGCCTCATATAGAGACTATTTTACAGAAATAAAGCCTCATCATCAGTGTGTCAAGTTTAACTGACAACATGCCATTATGGTTGAAAACATCACATTTACGTTAAAAATGAAATGATGTTCAAATGAGGTACACAGAAGGAGATTTGATATAAAGTATACATGTATATGTAAAAGCACATTTGTTAAAATGCTTGTTGTTAAAACATTTGTTAAAACTCTGTTGTATTGTTCTTTAAAATATGCTGTAAAACAGTTTGAGCTGCTATTATTATTATCATTATTATAATTGTTGTTGTTGTTTTAGCATATGTAGCATGATTTACTGTGACATTAAGAGAAAATAACAAGGGAGTAAAAAGTTTGCTCATTAATAAACAAGGATTACTGGCAAGGTTTATATGCTGCCACATGTTACCTTAATTTACATGTGGCAATAGCACTTAATAACACAACACAATCTCTCAAAAAAATAACACCTGAACAACTCTGGTGGAAATTTTCCGAAGCAGCAATAGATTAAATGCTATTTCCTTTACATGTTTGGTTCCACATTCAACAAATCACACATACACTCACTCTTACACTCTTTAGCTTGCAATCCAAATAATTAAAGAGTAATTTGACATGTTAAGATACTAATTACATGTTTGAATTGATTTTACTGCAAGCAGTTTTAGCTTTTAATCCTATCTTTTGGTTTACAATGGACTTCACAAAGGAATTTAGAACATATTAGATATATTTACTGGTAAATTATTTAGTTGGGGGCAGTCGTGCCCTTGAGCATGGCACCTAACCCCCAACTGCTCCCCCGGGCGCCGTGGATTGGGCTGTCCACCGCTCCGGGCAAGTGTGCTCACTGCCCCCTAGTGTGTGTCTTCACTAATGTGCATGTATGTGGGTGTTTCACTGCATGGATGGGTTAAATGTGGAGGTCTAATTCCTCTGTGTAAACACAGTTGGCTAATGGTTCTGAATTCAGTTCAACTCAAAATTATTTTCTTTCCTGATATCATGAATATAATATTTACTACTTGAATTGGTTGAAATTTTTTCCACCAATATTGTGATTGCAATTTAAGTCCGTTGTCAGGTCTTCTTCTTCTTCTCCTCTTGCCACCTTGATCAAAAATTGCAGTCAAATGGGCTTGCTCAGGATTTTTTACATGCCACAGAGCTAGGTAGGATGTTTAATTATGTCATTCAGTACACTTGTTTGGAAGCATGTTTTTCCTCTCATTTATTCAGGCTTTTCCTTTAATTAAGTCAGCTGTCTGTGTATAATGCTATTCTATATATTTAAAATTTTGCATTATTGTAAATACCTTTACAAACTACAAGCAGGATAAAAGGTTTCCTGATTTGATACTTTCCAAAATTGTATGTCAGATCAGACTTGTTTTAAGCAGATTAGCCAGCTCTTCAAGTTAAGCTATATGGTAACAAGGCATAACGTAGTGTCAACGGAAAGTGATCATTGGGGAAAAGCTCACAGACCCTGTGCTGTATTAGTTTTAACAGTTGAAGGTAGGGACCCCGAGCAGCTCAGTAGTAAACAGAGAGGATATTTTTTGGTATGATTCACTGGCTGAGAGGGAAAAACCATAGAACATGTAGGCCTCTTAATGCGGCTTGTGGGAATGTGCTCACTCACCTGTTATAAAAAAAGCTGTGAATAAAGCTCAGTCCCATCGGGGAGGGGGAGTGTGCTCTGAGAGTGTTAGAGTGAGACAGATACAGCCTCTGCAGTAGCACAAGCTGCATTGAAGACATTGAATCATTTGACCTGAGTTTATGTGTGTCCCAGTATCTTCTAATTTGACACAGAAAAAAGAATTCAAAGAGAGTTAGCCATAGCATATTGCATGAATCAAACTGTTTTTTGAAAACTCACACGCTGCAGGATTCAGCCTACTTCTTTAATAAGAAATGTTTGAGCTTAAAAACAACTGTGTGCAAAACATCTGAACAAAGAGAAGTTAATCACTTTTGAAATGAAAAGATAACCAGACTTAGACTGGCTAGTGCCACTTCTTTGCACTTTGTGAACATGGCTTTAGCTCTTGGAGTTTTGTTTTGGCTTAACATAATGTGACATGATCTCTCACCCTGAGGCTAATCACTCAACTGTGCTGTGATTACATGCATAAACGAAACACTACTAGAACAAGAAGGTTTGGCCTTTCTTGCGAGTTCTTTACATTGTAGACAAGCAAGTTGCCCCCACAAAAATGGATTTTTTTTGTCACTGCAAGCGTCTGTTATGATCTCACAATTACATACTAATTGGAATTTTGTGCTGTCTCGCGAAGAGTTACAAACAGTAAAGTGGGATGTGTGGTTGAATCTTTGCTTCTTATGTAATTGTAATAAAATGCGTTACTTGGTCAAAAATGTAATGAAACCTAGTGTGTTAACTGATAGTGTAGTAATATTTTTACTGTGCTTTGTATAATTCCTTCAAATTCCTTCAAAGTTACTTCTTCAAGCATGAAATCTTTGTACTGGCACAAATGTTGGATACAGCTTTTGGAATTTAATGCTTTGAGTATGCTTGAAAGGAATCCTTTACAGCACTGCAGCAAATGTAGTGGTATCAGAGTTGCACTGATGTTTTGACATCTTTTTATTTGACATCTTTGTATTCTAGTCTGCAGTATCAGTAATGACCTTGTTCTGCATGAGAAAAGTAGCTTTCTGTATTTCAATCTTTACCAAAAGGATGAGTTTTTAGAACTGGGAGTCAGGGTGCTGCACAGTCCATCTGCCCACCTGGATTCGTATGGAATTGGAAAGAAAATGGCAGTATCACTTAAAATAATTATAGCAAAGGTAAGGTTAAAATGTCAAAATTAAACAAATTGATAGAAGAAATTAAAATGTCCTATCAGGAAATGCTGAAACAGTGCCATTTCTTTATTACCATAGTCAAATGAACACCCACAGGATTACTTTCTATATTTATGGTTATATGTTATGGTTTTGTTATTTGAACACCTCAACTTTTGTAATACCACATCTGGCCTACCAGTCTCTGCCATTAATTGGGACATCAGGGACTCTGAGCCGCTCCTGACTAAGCTTTTGCCATATCCACAGCAACAGGTGGGACTCCGGTGGCAGAGGCTGAGGGACCTCTAGACAGACCCAAGGCACCTTCAGCCCAGCCAGACCACTTTTGCCTCATGGCATGACCTCCACACTCACTGTGCCGTGGATCATTCTGTGGAGGTAAAAAAACAAACATTTGTTAAGGTAAATAGAGCAGTCATGAGAGCATCACAGTGGGAGTGGCAAGTGCAAAAATGAACGTTTTAACCTGACAGTCTCTGGCTACATTTTGGACCTGTTAGCATTACATCCTGCATGTAAACACAGTGACAAATGTAGCTTTCTATCATTTGAGAAATACTGCTAAAATTTTCTATCTCAGAGTGACGCAGGGAAACTTGTTCATGCATTTGTTACAGGCAGAGTTGATTATTGTAATGCTGTACTTACTGGACTTCCTAAGAAAACAATACATCCCTTACAACTTGTACAAAATGCGAGAGATCATATCAGTCCCATTTTAACAGAACTGCACTGACTGCCTGTATCGTTCAGAACAGATTTGAAAGTTCTGCTACTAGTTTTTAAGGCTCTAAATGACTTAGCACGCGCTTACATCACAGAGTGTATGTTTATGTTCCAGTACGTGATCTCAGATCTACAGATACTGACCTGCAGACACCTTCTGGTTTGTGGAGCGGCCTGAACAGTGCTATATAAATAAAAATTATTATTATTATTGTTGTTATTATTATTGCAGATTTTCATAGTGATAACAGCCCCCCTGCTACCGTTCAGGAACAGCGATGTTAGTTTTGTTTGATGAAATATTTCTTTAGGCTGCTATTTTTACCTGATAGTTATTTTGTTAAAATTACAGTTACTGTGCAATACTTATTCATAAACTTTTCCAACATAAGCGTTTGGTTCATATCAAAAAGGAGTCTGTGCTTCCGTGGGTATATACATGAGCAAAAATGCTTAAGCATTCAGAGATCCATTTACCCAGAGGAAAGACAGAAAAGTACAAAACAGGTGCGAACGTGCCTGGATTATAGCAACATTGCAGATAAGGAAATGCCATGCTGTTGATATGCAATCCACATCTCATTTTCTCACACTGCAAAATCTTAAGCTGAAATTCTATACAGAATGTAAACACACAGCAGGGTTGTAAGAAGAATGAGAGTGTTTTCTAATGAAGACAACAAAGCTTTTGTGGTTTCATCATACCCATCAGGGAATGGCATTTGCAGCCTATTTGAAAATGTTGGAGATGTTGATTTTTACTTAGCAGACTCATAGCATGTATACAGAATATATTCCTGAATAGGGGTTGACAATATGGCAATACTTATTGTTATCATTATCAATTATGTTATATTCAGAAAAGCATACTGTAACATATCTCCGATATTGTCAATACTAAACATCTGTGCCCAACTGTTCTCATTGCGAAGAGAGCATAATTAGTCCTGTTTGGATTTGCTTTAGTGCAGTATGTGAAATGTTGAAAATGTAAAATCATTGTAGTTTTTGTTAGTATTCTTTAAATGTGGCACTATTGGTTTGTTTTTTGTCAGTTCCAACTAGGGGTGGGCGGTAAGACAAAAATATTTCAAAATATTTCTGTGATATGCATAATGATATTTATTCAAATGGAACAGACAAAACAGAGCCTGTGCCACATATATAAAGAGAAGACTATAATAATAATAAACCTACAACTGCATTGATATTTATTCAGTGTTTTATTGCGCTGCACTAAATCCAATTAAACAGGCCTAATTATGCTCGCTTTGTAATGAAACATAACACGTTTGTGAGTGTCCTTTGACTACTGATGATTTCCTCAATGTACTCAGGAAAGAGAATTGGGACTAGTGGTGGCACAACTTCAGATTTTTTAAAGTTGATGTTCATGTGAAAGTTAAGTCGACGTCGACTAAACGCTGATGATATCATAAATAGAACCACAGGAGAAGGAAATGCTTTGCAGCAAGCAACAATCTGTATTTGCAAAACTTAATGCAGCTGACAACAGGCAGCGCATGCACATATCTTTTATGCGGAACAAAAGCAAGCAAACACGCAGAAAATATACTTATTATATGCTGGTCCATCACTCAGCTTTGCTTAGAACTCGGAAACCAGCATACAGTGAGGGGAAAAAACAGTACTCTGTTAGTCTAGTCTAGGCAGTTCATGGTTACTTCCTCTAGCTGCTTGACTCACTCAGCCTTACTGCTGAAGCTAGCTAACACACCACAACACAACCCTCTCTTACTAGACTCACCCTTAAGAATAAAAGTAACAGAACATTACCAATGCTAAAATTTCCTAAAACAAACATTCCTTTTTAAACTAAACTAAACTCAGGCTTGCTCAGATGCAGCTATAACAACAGGTTGTAACTCAGCAACAACAATAATGCTGTGAAATACTTTTATGTCATAGCTCCTATTTAAGTGCGAAAAAGAAAGATCGGTGCAAATTTTAGTATATTACTTGGGGAGGAAAACAAAACTCACACAAGATCTAGCATGTAAGCCTGCTCATTCTTGTAGTCCTGCTTAGTCAAAGTTTTTGCTTTTCAATCCTGGTTTGCATGTAAGAAGATAAGGGCATCAATGTGGGCAGAATGAAGGCTCACTTGCTGTCTCGTGATGGTATTCCCAGCCAGAGAAAAAATTCATTCGCTTGGTATACTGGTGGCAAAGTAGCTCTTGCATAGCTTGGCCAAATAGGGAAATCTATCCTGCTTGCAGACCCATCACTGCAGCAGGTTCTCCATGGTGGTAATATGCGGTGTCATTAAATAATCACTGACTTGTTTGGCTGCGGAGGAGTAGTGTCCTTCTTTTCTCCAACTTGTAGTTGTAGCAAAGCAGGATTCTAGCAACCAAAAAGTTGCTCAAAATTTTGCTCAAGGCTGTTAGTTTTCCCCATTACTAGATCACCTTCGTTATCACCTGTATCCTCACTTTTGACATCCATGCCTTGGATGAAAATTAATAACTATAAATTTGCCAGATTATTTTAAATCGATTAAGCTGGCTGACTAGTTTCATTCAGCAGGGCTGTTTGGGTGGTTCCGGGCGGCCTCTCTTCTCTGACTTGAATTGAAGATGTTTGAACCTGGCATACAGGCCACAATGGTGATGTCAGATCATCAATTTAGAGTTTTTTGGCTCCTATGCCAGGCTGTTCCTGCCATTTCCTCAGGACATGAATGGCCACTGCTGAGTGACGAAAGTGTCTGGTAACTCTCCTTGCTGCATCGATAGTCTTCACCACATCAGGTAGGACTAAATTAGTCTTTATTGCCAGCTGTAGAGTGCGCCCGGTGCATCCTGGATCTTTGGGAAACAGTTCAACATAGCTTCATAGCTAAAGTTATGTTACTGACATTATCATAAACTGTGCAAAACACCAGTATGCCCCATTCCTAGATTGTTTCAGACAGACGATCGGCAATCATGGGCTGAAAGTTAGGGAACCAGCCTTGTGACCGGGAGGGCCGCTGGTTAGATCCACAGAGCTGAAAGTATGCAACTGGATGGCCCTTGAGCAAGGCACTTAACCCCCAACTGCTCCCTGGGCACCATGGATAGGGCTGCGCACTGCTTCAGCCAAGTGTGCTCACTGCCCCCTAGTGTGTGTGCATTCACTAGTGTGTATGTGAGTGTTTCACTGCATGAATGAGTTCAAATGCGGAGGTGAAGTTTCCCTTTTGAGGGACAAATAAAGGTAACTTAACAACAGTGTGTCTCTCTGGCATCAAAGATGTATACAGCACTTGGGTCTTCAGTTTTCTTGTGTCGGTGATCAGTTACCAGCTCTATGGTGGAGGATGTCCATAGGTCATTTGTTAGCGACACACTCTGGCCTTTCATTTCCTTCACAATATTTTCACGCAGTGTGTTGTAAGATGGGACATTGTAGCCAGGTCCAAAAAAACTTAGTATTTCTCTGATGCCTTCTCCATGTACTGCACCTAAAGGTCTAATATCTTTGACAATTCACCATCAAACGGTCACTTGCGGCCATCTTTTGTCTGTTACAGAGGGGTTTGGTAAACACACTAATTGACTGCTGTCGAAAGGATTTGGAACATTCCTCAGCTAGTGTTAGCAGATGCCTTTTCAGAGGAGTGTGCTTGGGACTTCTGTTGTGTTTCAGGACATGCTTTACATATTTTTCAAAAGACAGTAGCACAAGCTTCATCTTTAGTCAAGTATTTCCACATACTTGATGTACCACTCCTGTTTTTCTGCTGCTGTTGGTGTCATCACATGATCAGCGACTAGTCAACATCAAGCTTAAATATAGCTTATAGCAGAGCAATAAAGTTGATTAGTTCACTAGTTTGTGCCACCCTTAAGTGGGACATACTTTATCTCACTAATGACAAAATATCGGCGTATTGTCCTGCCCTAGTTCCAACTCATCATACCTCTGAAAAACTAAACATTGTGATGCATTTCATGTATCATAGAAATGTCTTTAAGCATTGTAATATTACAATTTTGCCATATTGCTCACCCCTATTCTTGAAACATATTCTTTCTTTGGAAATTTCAGTAATTTGTTACATTGCAAATTGTGTATACTGTGTTAACCACACAATAATTCACTGGCTGTAGGCCACTTCTGGTGACGTTTAAAGGCTTTAAAAGGTTTTTAATGGCCGTATAATGAAGTGTAAAAAAAAAAACTCAATACATTGCTTGCAGCTATTTTGCTCCTAACGTTCTGTTGGATTACAGCCAGCTGTTACGTGACAGCCAATGTTATATCTGTTCCAGAGAAAGAGAGATTTCATTATCTTTGGGGTACTTACGTTTTTCTGTTTCAAAACATTTCTCTCTAGTTGGCTTTCCTTTCTCTCATTGCCTTAGAAAGTAGCAAAGATGGTGCCCAAGAGGAAAGAACAGTGTTGCTCAGTGCCTTTTTTTTAAGAACTGCAGTTCCTATTTAATCCAATTCTCTGCACAGTTTATATATTATTACTGTAATAATAATCATTATTACTGTGAGAAAACATTTCCATTACAACTTTCATTATTAGGTTTCTCACTGATAGTTCCTTATTGAAGTTTAAATGGTAATGAAAAGTCTAAAAATTCAAGACATCCAAGATTGGCAGAAAAGATTTCAAGATGACAGTGAATCTCTGATTGTTGAAGAAAATGGGGTAAGGGGAATTCTAGGGTAAGAATATTTATCTATGATAATTTCCTCTTCCATTGCTGTGGTATTTTATTAAATGATATGAGATTTGTACCTTGTACAATTTGTTAATTTTGACATGTGGCACACAAGAGGCACTTACCCTTTGTAAATGACTGACACACATAAATTAGTGAATTAACAAGGGTAAAACACTGTGAATGCACACAGTATGTTTTTACCTCTTGGCACAAAGACCAATGCATGAACTTATATACACCTGTTCAGCCTAGAACATTTAGCCCTGCCTATTTCTGATGAAGGTATAAGGAGTGTGTCAGCTTGGAATGCTTTTTGAGTGAGGCACAATACAGGATAGCCATTCTGAACAGAGGGCATTTACATATAGTTGTATTCAAATGTTTGAACACCTCTGGTCAAATTGATTTTCTAAGTGAAAATAAGTTAACAAATTCTCTGTACCCTATCGCCCTATAGATAAATCATTTGACTGAATAATTTCATAAAGTATTAATGTGACAGTGGAATAGTTGCAAAAAAAGTACTATAGGTTTAAACCGACAGTTGCCATTTTATTTATGTGAGCTTTTAATCCACAATGCAAGAAGGTGGGCTCAAATTAAAGTGAAATAATGCAATATCAGTATAAAAGAACTTACTTACACTTTTTTTGCAGCCTTGGCATTCTTACCTCTTAATTCCTGAAAGTTCACGGGTATGAATCCTGCCACACATCCTCCACTACCCAGAGCTAATGACAAGCATGCATGAGGTGAAGACAAGTCTACATAAATCATTCTGTTCTGCTACCCTGCCCTTTAAAATGGCCAGGACTACATGAAAAGGACTGTCCTTTGCTTAGGACTTCTGTGCCCAACTCTTCTCTTGCATTAGGCTGCTGGAGAACAGCCAGTTTTGGCTCTCACTTTGTTCAGAGGTCCTTTGCAATGCATTGACACTTATATCATGATATGTGGTTAGATTGTAATGTGGTAACAGCCTGTAGTTTTATACTGTATTTCAGTACACAGCATTGCAACAGATACAGTGATTACAGCAGATGTGCTGTTAGCTCAAAAACACTAACTTTTAAGCTATTAGCTTCCAATAACAGTACATTTCACTGAAATTTCAGTCCTAGGTTCTGTGAAAATGGTGTAGCATTGCAGGTGTCTTCTTATGTTGCTAAAGTTAAGGACACAGTATCTGAATGTTTAAAATGCAGAGTAATATGAGATAGTGGAAGACAGTTTAGGGGGCCAGACGAAGTGAACCAGATGGTTCTGTATTAAGACTGAATCTCCTGAATTTCTGACAGTCTAACATGAGCTAAACGAGTTGAAAGAGAACCTGGGAGCAGAGTCGTTCTACAGTTGGCCAGAAAATTAGTGTGAATGCTTATTATGTTCATAAACCAATTTCCCAAAAGATGTGGGTAGCTTAGATGATGGAGAGGGAAAAGGATAATTAAATACTTTGCTTGACAAATGATTAATTTAAGTAATTTGCTTGACTGTAGTGCTGATTAACTTATTAGCGATGTAGTTGAATAATTGCATGTTTTACACCGGCCTATTTATAAGCATCAGCACCCAGTACAACAATATACAATATTCAGATGACTGCAAAGTAACGCAGACCCTTGGTGTCATGTATAAACTCCTATTTTAGACAATCTAGATTTCATCTTCCAGGATAGAAGGACCTCAAATGATGAAATATCTTGTGGAAGAATGGTGTTGTCGAGTGGTGCCCAGTAGAGTTCTAGAGACTGCTGAAAGGTATGCCTTGTGACATTCCATCGTTCAGTGTTTTGTTGAAGATAGTGCCTAACTCTCTCAGTGAGTGCTCTGAATTCTCCAGTGAACCTGCTGTCTTGTCTTCATTGGTGTTGAAAATACTTTAATGCACTTCACTGAGCAGGATGGTACAGCAATTATCAAGTTAACACAGAAAATTTGTGTTTTTTTTTCGAAAGGGCTTTTCCCCTCTGACATTAGCACATGGATTTCAAGACCGCAAATGAAGAGGTAAGTTGTTTCATATGTTTTGCACATAACGCAATATACATGATATGTCCAAAAGTTTGTAGACACCTGCTCATTCCATGTTTTTTTTTCTTAAAGCAAGGGTATTAATAGGGGATTTAATAATAGGGGATCTACTCTTCTAGAGAGGCTTTACACTAAATGTTCAAACATTGCTGTGAGTATTTGATTGCATTCAGAGCATTAGTTAGGTCAGGTACTGATGTTGAATGATTTGTTCATAACTGGATCACAACTGCTACTCCAGCTCATCCCAAAGGTGTTGGTTCGAGCTTTATCACTCCAGAGAATGCAATTCCACTGTTCCACGGCTCTATGCTAGAGGGGCTTTATACCCCTCTAGCCAATACTTGGTACTAGGTATGATGACTTTAGGCTTCTGCACTGATGCTCCAGGCCATCCCATTCTAATGGTCAGTGCTTTTCTATGCTGATTATACAAGCTGTGTGCATGCTGTTGGATGCCTTGGGTGCACCTTAAAGTAGTTAAAATTAGTCATTGGAAGAGCTCTCTGTGTACTTTTGGACAGATAGTGTATCATGATGTAAATATTAAATAAACAAAACTAAACAAGTTTACACTATGGGCAGATTTACTAAGAGAGATGCTAATTTCCGTCAGTCTACCAACACTTTGTGCTGATAGGGGTGGCCAGTTCGGCGAGTTATCTATTAAGAACTTCAGGGCAAATAAGCTTCATCATTGACATATAACCAGCGCAATCATGTGTTTGGCTCACATGCTTTTTGAATGAAAGCCTGTTTCTGTCAGGTATATGGAAAAAGTACTTATTTTTAATGATTTTGAAACAGGTAAAAAAGGATGTGACTTAAGGTGAACATTTGGAAAAACAAAGCATTTTTTCAATATAATACATCAGATTTTTTTTTCTTTGTTGAAAATAATTTCAGAATAAGTCATTATTTTGACTTTATCTATTTTGAAATACATGTTCTTTTTCGGCTGGTGGGATGAGCTGAAGTTCTGTGAGCAGGGAAGCGGCAAGGTGTTTTGAGTGTGCTCAATTTTTAAGTGGCGTATACGTGACATGAACAATGGCGTCATGCTAAATTATTTTACTTTTTTATTAGAATTTTTTTTTTTGATAATTTACGTCAACCAGAATGTGTGTCACACTACGCTGTAAACAAGGCAAGAGGCGACAATACATATAACTGACGCGTCTGACCACTGATGTGGATCCTATCTCTTCTCTCTCATTCTGGACAAACTTGCAAATGAAGTGGCAAGCAATCAGATTGTTGATATGTAGCACAGTAACTAATTATGTCACGCCCACAGTCACGCAATAAGATTGCACAATGTTATTATTACATTAGATGATTTTTAAAAAGTTTAAAAACAGTATTAGGCTGCTTTGGTGTTCAGAACTGGCCTCTATCTCTACACTTTCTCTCTCTTTGCACCACAACCTGCATGTGTTTTAATGACATGCACCCAAATCCCTGAACTTCTGTAGAGGTAAATGATTCGATTTGCTAATGAAAACACAGCGTTAACTTAAACAGTACATGGCTACTGTAGATTTTGAACATATATAAATAAAAATTGAAAACTCTTTTCTAAAATAAGCATACATTATTTTTTGCTACACTTAAATTATTAAAAAGTTCAGATCTCTATTATTATTATTATTATTATTATTGTTTTTAGCAGGTGTAGTTCTGCAATCAGGGGGTGCTACAGCCCCCTCAGCACTCCCACTTTCTGCATCCCTGTCTTTGAGTTCTGTGCATTTGTCAACTGTGTGATATTGTAGAATTCCTGTTCAGTTTCACTGAGCGCACCCTGGTAATTTGGGAATTGTATGATTTTTACTACTTACTTTTACTATCTTGCTGATATTTGCTCTCAGCTTTATTAGCGCTGTGTTTTTATATAGTCTCCTCCCAGTATTTGGTGCTTTGAGAGGGAAACTCCTATTAAGGGTCCCATCTTGGAAAAGCTAATTTTTGTAAGTTAAGTAAAAAGGTTTACAAAAAAAAAAATGTACTGGTCACTCCCTAGTCCATACATTCCATATATTAAAACTAAGCTGTAAAAACAGGCAGTTTTAAATTCATAGTTTTTATTGATGTAGCACAAAACAACCGTTTACTGAGAGACCATGTAAAAATTAATAATGACTGTTTTGCTACAAAATACACACAAACATTATAAATGGACCTCAATGAAATGGGTAGAATACAAAAAACAATGTAGGATATAGACCTTTTAAATGCACTTGCAATGAGACAAAAGTGCACGGTGTTAACTGATCTTAGCGGGCCAAATCAAACCGAACCAGAAATTGATCATTATCATTTTAAACATTTTGTCATCTTTTTCAGAAGATTCACAAAAGTCTTTGTCAAACCGTCTAAGGGTTAAGATAGACATCAAACAAAGAGAATCTTTATCACAAGGTTTTGTAAGACTTTACCAACATGTAATGTCAAATTATAAGAATAATGATTTTTTAGGTTAATGTATCATATTTTTGGGCAATGTCTCAAATATTTGGGGTCATTCTCATATATGTTAGCTGGTAGGTTTGAGTTAGCCTTCGCTTTCTGTGATCAAGCAGCTTGTATAATGATCATGAACCACAATAAAACCCTTCTCATAGCCCTGTGTGTGAGGACATGTCACATCATCAAGTAGTGCAGCTGCTGCCTTAAACAGGCAAAGTGTTAACCTCCCAGGCCCTGAATGACTTGTCCTGTTGTACAGTGATATGAAGGATGTTGACGTCAGAACACATCTCATTTAAATTCTCTTCATGAATAGATGCTCCCGTTATTTAGATTTTACAGCAATTTAGAAGACTGGCATCTCAGTTAGCACTGATCTCAATGTGGAAAGGACTAATTTGCTTGCTGGCTAGCGTAGAAATGGGGGACATGGAACCTAGCTCATGAATGTGTGAGATTTAGTGAGAACATGGAGGAGCAGATGTTTGTTCTTTGAAGTGTACTGTATTGTTTGTTCAATTATATTACTCGTAGCTTTTATTTGTTGATATCTTCAAGTCCCAGTATTTGTAGAACTCTTCCACTATCATTTGACTTCCATTCTAGAAAAGATTTAGGCTGCACGTGCACAATTATTTGACCTGGTACACAAACACAGCATTGTTTCAGCATGTTTTGACAGGAACCCTAATTACTTGACCTCACCACTCTGAAACATGACTGCATGTAATCCATCCCCAGCAGCAAAGGGGCCAGTTGTGTCACATAAGGACTCGTAGCCACAGCAACTATTGGCACACCTACAGCTTTAAAAAAAAAACAGAAATTTTAAGCATGTTTATTTTTTTTTCTTTCATAACCTGAATTAATTAAACAGAAGATGACAGAAGGTTTAATACTTTTGTTTTAATTGTAATATATACTGTTGTTTTGTGCTCTATAGCAACACTAAGGTAACACAGCAGTAATAATGGATAGTGTTTTAAAGTTCTGTGCCAGTTTGAAGAGCCAAATCTTAATTTTTGTTTGGTAGCATTTTGTAACTATGTAATGTATGTTGACCTTGTGGAATGAAAATTGGTAGGGCAGTGCCAAGGACTGGATTTTAATCCAGTGTAGTCCAACACTATCATTTTCACAGGCTCAGCTGTAACTCTCAGTTTTTTGGATTCCTATGAAGTCCGTCAACATTCCATTCCAAGCAAGACAATAATTCAGTTATTTATATGCATGTACAAGGCTAGACACACAAGGAATTGCTTAGCTAAATTTGAAATTTTGTAATTTGTAATTTCAGTGACTTTTGATACATGTTTTTCAAGTAGTCCACTTAATACTAACCCTCAAATGGTTATTCAAATAACCCTCTAATGGAGTTAAATAGAGTAAAGGCAGGCAGAAATTGAGAGTGTGGCTTTCAATGCAGATCTCTTCTCCAAGACAAGGCTTGACAATTTATTACTTTGGGTTTCATGGCTAATTAACTTGTTGTCGTAAAGGATTACAGATGTTTGCATGTCTCTTGATTGCTCCCAGATAAAGACGGGGATTTATCTGCTGCAAGATGGTAATGAAGAGCCCTTCAATATCCGATTGCACTTGGCCAAAGACATTCTGACCATTCAAGAGCAAGACGTCATTTGCGTATCTGGAGAACCATTCTACTCAAGTGTAGGTTATGTTGCGAGTCCAGAGCAATGACTTCTTTCCTGTGAACGCTTTGTTGATTTCTGCAGTGAGGCTTGTTTGTATTTTTTTAAACTGAGTGAATCAGATTAAGATTCATGGTATGGAGGTTATATATATATATATATATATATATGTCTCAGGTTCTATATAAAAAATATTTTGCTTCCATGAGCTTGAAGAAAAACAAATCTTGCCTTTGTCAAGGCTGAGTCACCACTCTTGGGAATTCAGCACATCATGAGAACAGCAGTGTATGGAATTCTGTTTTACAAACAGAATTTAATTAACACATTTTTGAACTTCATGTAGGATGCTGCTGGAAAACATTATTATTGTTTATAACAGTATTTTTTACTTTCAGTTTGTTTTTTTCTCATCATTCATGTACTAAGGTGTACCTGTATACCAGGACATGTCTGAAATGAATTAAGCCTTTTAAAAGTCTTCTAGATTTTCAGTGAAAAGCATTTGTAACCTTTTTTTTACAGGAAAGAACTGTAACAATACGACGGCAGACAATAGGAGGATTTGGCTTGAGTATAAAGGTACTTTGCTTGCATGCTTTGCTGTTCCCAAGGCAAAATCCAGCTTCATATTTTGGTTAAAAAAACAAGCAAAGATGATTCTTTATTTTTCATAGGGTGGTGCAGAACACAAAATCCCTGTTGTGATTTCTAAAATATCAAAAGAACAGAAGGGTAAGTTATTTAATTCGCCTCCTCCACCTACGTTAGTTGGAGTGTTTGTTTATGTCTTTTGTCTATCTGAATGCCATCTTGCTCTTTTTTGCAGCTGAGCTCTCTGGTCTTCTGTTCATAGGGGACGGGATTCTCCAGGTGAGATGCACCTCTTATTCTCAGTCATACAGTGCTGACAGTGCCTGTCTCTGTTGATATACTTTGAAAGTCCCATAGTGGCTAAATAGATAGATTTACATTCCTGGCACTAGGCCAGGCCTGTCTCCTGAAGCACAGACATCGCTGAGGTGTTCAGCATGATTTGTCCGTTCCGATTTTTTTTTTTCCAGTTGTCTTGGGATTATTATTTTTATATTTGTTTATGGGATTATTGGGGCTCTTATTTTACACACACACATATATATATATATATATATATATAGCATTGTCCTGTGATTATGATTGACATTAGCCAAGGTCAGTCAACGGTAACTTGGTCTAATGAAATGACCCAGTAATATCACATGATTGTGTCTGGATCTGGAATAACTATGATCATTGATGAACTGATTTATTTTGTCTGCCCTGCTGTAATTCCTGTAATATTGTCTCTAGATTAATGGGATAAATGTGAGGAGTTATCGTCATGAAGAAGTGGTATGTGTTACCTCTTTTCTTAAAAATATTAGTTTAAAAAAAGAACTTTGTTCCATAACATATGAAGTTGAGACAGGGAAAAAACATCCAGTACTTCATAAAAATATTGTTTTGACTCCTTGCATAACTTCTGTATGTGGTTAAGAGGAACCTGTGCTTTCATTTCAATTAAATTTCTATTTTCAGTGTAAATACAGTCATGACTGTTGTCTTCAGGTTCAGGTTTTACGGAATGCTGGGGAAGAAGTCACTCTGACTGTATCTTTCCTGAAGAGGACCCCTGCCTTTTTAAAGCTGCCACTCTGTGAAGACTGCACGTGTATGTCTTCACTTTTATGTGTGCAGGCATCTTCACTTTTGGTGGTTATTGCACAGTCTCATTAGGAATGGGAAGCTGTTTTAGAATCTGAACGATTTACCTGTTAAATGATCTGTGTTTGTCGCTTAGGTGTACCAAGTGATCAGAGTAGTGGGACTTCATCTCCGCTGTGCGACAGTGGACTACATCTGAACTATCACCCTAACAATACAGTGCGTAATATATCATTAAAATGATGTGGTTATATTATTAGGTGCTTTAAGCAACACATGTAATATAAGTAACAAGAAGTTAGTAAAATGTTGAGAGTGCAGTTGAATGCCTTTAATATTGAGGCATTTTACTTACCTAACATAGTAATCTGCAAAAGTCACAAGACCATGTTTCATTTATTTGATTTTTGATCAAAATGGCCATTGAGTACAAGCTGAAAACAAATTTAGAAAATTACAGAGAAGCCTCAACAACTAAATATAAAAATTTTTCAGTGCTTTGTGTGTTTTTTTTAGCTTCCATTTTTTTTGGCAGACTTGCTTTTAATTTGAAAGGTAGTATTTCCATTTACATAGTGCAGTTTAATAATAAATATAAAGTGCAAAAGAATGTAAACATCTTTTAATATCCCTTCATTATGTTTTGAAAAGGTGCGGGTAGACACTCTATTCCTGTGTTGTTGGTGCCTAGATGGCAGAGTACAATGTCAGCACTGGGCAGTGTTCAGTTCTCTTGTTGCACTGGGGTAGAAGCTGTTCTTAAGTCTGTTTGTCTGTGATGTGATGGACCTGTAGCGTCTTTTGTGACTAATGCCATGGTGTTGGTGGTCCACGGGAGATCTTCAGCAATGTGTGTACCCAGAAGAGTTCAAGGTGAGATTGTTCTCTGAACACCACAGAGCCAGTCCTTGGATTTCCTTGATCCAGTTGCTAATTTCAGGATACTAACTGTTAAAAATAATAATATCAATAAAATGCTCTAACCTTTCTAATTATTTAAGCGTATCAAAGACCCATGTTGCTTTACTAATCATTTTTTGGGACCTCTTGATTTCTCACTTATTGTTCTTGTCTTTCCCTTCCTTATGGAAGTAATAAATCTAATCTCCTCAGAAATGTCTCATGAACAAAAAAAAAAAAAAATCTGCACTTAATGGCCATTTTGGCCATAAATGAAATACATGAAAGGTGGTCTCTGAATTATGTACAGTACTGTACGTTCCAAGAGCTCTCAAAGGGTTGTACAACCAAGAGCTGAAAGACATTCTGTCAAAGCGTGGTACGAGAGAACATGTAAAACTAGTCACAATGAATAAAACTATTGAACAAGACATCCTTAAAAGATTAAAGCCATAAAAAGAATGACATGGAACTGAGTGAATCCCTTATTAGGATCTCTTTTAGTCTACCTCAAACACAACGGTGCCTTCCTGGATAGCCAAGCACTGCACTTGCTTAGTGTTTTCCTACTCTCCTACAGTCCTAATTCGGCTCATAAGGAATGATCATTAGGTGTTTAAGGAATATTCCAGAGATTTTCAACCTGATCTCTATCTGTCACATCTGTAGCATACAGTTAATCATTGACAATAATTTCAACAAGTGTTCCCTGTCCCCTGTTCACTTGAAACAGTTTTGCACATACTAACAACCGTTTGCTACATCTGCTCAGGACACCCTGTCTTGCTCGTCTTGGCCTACGTCACCAGGGCTGCGCTGGGAGAAGCGATGGGTGGATCTGCGGCTAATACCCCTGCTCCATGCTCGCCTGTCACAGTATGTCCCCGGCTCTGACATCTGCAGGTGAGCCAAGCAGAAACCTTCCAACAAACCTCTGCACAGTAAGTGCGCTGAATATCAGTTCTATATGCTCAATTCAGTCCTAGTATGTTTTTTGATATAGCTTGTGGTACCATGTACCAATTAATGGGATGTTTTTATTATTTTCACACAACACCAAGTTAATATGACTTTGGGACATTGTGTAAGGTGAAGTATAGAGCCTCATATTTCAGCCATATCTTTCCTTTTGATTTTGTTTAATGAAGGTTTTCATTACCTCTTTTCATTACTTCAGTGTCATTTCCTAATGGAGGACATCACGCCTATGACACCAGATGCACTTATGTACTATTGTTTTTTAACAAGCTGAAATGGAAATAGGCTTTGGGGAATTCATTCTTTGTAACCAGACAGGAAAATTAAATAAATTACATGCAAATACTTTAATTTTAATTTTGAATAATTTGAATCTGTAGAAGAGAATTAAACTTGGTTAACTTTCTCGTTTGAGTTTGTTGTCAACGCTCAAGTATGTGTATATTCTAATCTCCTCAGGCAAAATGCCTTTCAAGTCATTGCAGTGGATGGGGTGTGCAGTGGGATAATTCAGTGCCCCAATGCTGAAGAATGCACAGACTGGCTCCAAGCAATAGCATCAAACATATCTGCTCTAACAAAGCACAATGTGAGTATTACTTAGACTGTGACAAAATTCATAATTTTCAACTGAAAACTGAGAATCAACTCCAAAACCCAGAAAGACTCGAACCTGAAACAGTAACAAATGACTCTATAAAAATGTTGTACAAATAAATTAATGTCATTACCTAGTGCCTCTGTTTAGAAAGTAGCCTCAGGTTACTGTTTTATATTTTAGTTGGCTAATTTTTGTGGTAAACAAGACAACTTGAAAATACCTCAGTCAACAAGAAGCTAACCCTGTTGTCTCATTCTGTCTGGTCATATTGACTTAGATCAAGCAAAACACTTGCTTATTTTTAGATCTTAACGTACATTGTCAGACTCTTGTAGTTGCAGTCTCCTCTACACTCTGAATCACTGCTTTTGGATTATCTATTATTCAGATCCATGCATTATGCAATCACAATGCCATGGACTGGCAAGTCAATTAGAATGCACTCAAAGGGCTCTAAAGGCTATGTGCATGTTTCACTGCATGTTCTGAGCACAGTTTAGAAGCATTTTCTTGTTTCACAGGAGAGAGGTTATCATGTTGTCTGCTTTGTTTTATATGGTAGTGTAAGACTACATAGTTTGACAAAATGATTAGTCACTTGACACTTAAAGTGCACTCTGCCTATGATTTATCAGGTTACACGACACCTGTGCTTAGAATGCCATTCAAGTGAGCAGTCCTGCATTCTGGCACTCATTTGGTGAACAGTGGTATTTGCAACCCAGAATATTTGGCTGTGCTTGCCACGTACTGTTCAAGAAGCGTGTTTCAAATGTACCAGACACTTCTATATATTTTCCTGCTATAATAGATCTGACCCTGCTCTTGTAGGGCATGGTCATTAGTTGATATGTTAGAGTAGGGAAAACACAAACAGAGCAGAGTATGTTGCCCTTGGGACCAGGAACCACTGATCTACAGGAATGTCAGTAAACCCACTATTTTATGAAAAACACATGAATCAGCCTTTGACAACCATCCGCCTTCCATTAAGCAATTAGACATTTTGCATATTGAAATTTGTTTTTTAGTTTCAGCAAGACACTAGATTCACAGTTATACAATTATGGACAAAACTGTGAGATAATTATCCATTTCCTCACTTAAATCAGCTAGCAATACAAATCAGTTTAATCTTTCTTTCTGTTATTGTTTATTGCAGCCTTTGAATCTCCATCTTGCAGCAGTCTATTTTGAGTGTATGTTGCTCTTGGCCTAGAATCTTTTCAAGCATGATGGCCTGGGAAAACAACTCTGCTCCTCTCCACAAGCTGGATTGATGCACACTTTTTGCTTGCTACATCCTCTGCAAGACTGACTGGGTGGAACAGACTCTAAGCAAAAAAGAAAAAAAATCTCATTTCAAATTCAAACCCAGATATCAGAGCAATTTCTGAGAAGGTACTGAGTGGCTGGCATAATGAGGGAGATGAAGCTAGTAAAAACGTTAATGATGAATAAAGCCTCTGGGCTGCAGTAGTCTCTGCTTCTGTGTTGCTGATGAATGGGCATAAAGTATATCTGTTTGCGAGAAAGACCGTTATCTGGTTTCTGGATAATTGGGGTGAGACATGACAAAGGTCATTCTGCGAAAGCCAGCACACTCATACTGCTAAATCATCGTGGAGGCCATGCTGGAGATGGCAGGGCATGGTGGCCTTTTTAATTCTCACTGATAATTGAGACCTCAGCTGCCCTGCTTCTAACAGTCCAAGTTCATAAAAGGTTGTTCAGACTGACAGTGCCAATGAGATTTAAGCTCAAGATTTAAAATTTTAGATTAATTGTAGATCAGTCAACCTCATGATCTCTCACAAGCAGCAGAAAAGTGAAGAGTATATATAACTACAGTTTAATATTACATTATCTTAACTGAACAGAGCAGTCTGCTAGACTGAGGCCCAAATTCACTTTACTTTCCTTTATGATGCAAATCCAAGAGATGAATGTCACTGTCCCAAACCATTGTGGAACCTATTCAGGTGTGATAGACTAATAAAACATGATAAAATAACAATAATATGTGTCTTGGAACATTACTATACTACAGCTGATACCTTCTGCTACAGAGTAAGCACAGGTAGTGATAATCTAATTGCTTATAAACTACCATTCAGAAGTATGTCACTTGTCATATCAAGTTGATGATATGTTTAATAATAACTTATGTAGTGTGGATTCGAATATTAGAGACACTAAAAGGTATTTTTACAGTGCTTTGAAAAAAAGAAGCAGATTTATTCAAAACCTGTATTACCCATGTGAAAAAGTAATTGCCCCCCTAAACCTAATAACTGGTTGTGCCACCCTTGGTAGTAATAACTGCAGTCAAATGTGCAATAACTTGCAATGAGTCTCTTACATCACTGTGGAGGAATTTGGGCCCCATCTTCTCTGCAGAATTGTTTTAATTCAGCTACTCTGGAGGGTTTTCAAACATGAACTGCCCGTTTAAGGCCTTCCCACATTATCTCAACGGTATTCAAGTCAGGAATTTGACTCGGCCGCTACAAAAACCTACTTTTGCTTCATTTGAGCCATTCAGAGATGGACTAGCTTGTGTGTATGGAGTTTATTTTGTGCCAAAATGTTTAAGAGAAGATCCTGATGTTTGAGAGAGGAATGTTCCGGTTTGAGAGGACAGCGGCGCTTTGAGCGCAGCTAATGAACTTAAACGCACTTGTCAGCACAAAGTGTGGCAGATACACCTTCAGATTTGCTCAACAAAACACTGATTTCATTCAGAACTTGAAAATCTGCACAACAGTACATTTCCCTCTCAGAACTCACACCTGCAAAACACTCCGGTTTTCACTCAAAACTGGAAAGCCTGCTCAACGGTGCTCGTCACCTTCAAAACTCACACATGCGCGCAAATCATTTCTGCTCTCAGCTCCACAGCGCACGCTCAAGTTTCACACCTGTTCGCTGTAAAATGTCTGAACGTTTGTGCCAATGTTTGTGTTTGTGCAGACAATCACTATAGGAGAGTTAAGACTTTTCAGTAGAACACTGTTAGACACTGTTAACTACAGTCAAAGGAACCTTACTAACGTCAGCTTAGTTGACTAATGTTAAGCTATTTGTTTGAAGTTACCAATGTTAGTTAGATTAATACGTTATTATTTATGACAGAGTATTACTGATAAATCATTTCTATTAATTTGATACTAGAAAGCTGTAAACCATCTAGCTAATGTCGAGGCTACAACACACTAGCCGACTCAATACCACAGCCACGGATGTACCTTGACCAGTTGACGTAAAGCTGCTTAAGAAAAGATGCCATGATTGGTGCGCTGACAGGAACCGCCCCTCGACAGCTCTGATTGGCTGGCGTTTTGACACAAACATTCAAACATTTTACAGCGAAAACAGGTGTGAAACTTGGGCACGCGCTGTGGAGCTGAGAGCAGAAATTATTTGCGAGCATGTGCGAGTTTTGAAGGTGAAGAGCACCGTTGAGCAAGTTTTCCAGTTTTGAGTGAAAACCGGAGTGTTTTGCAGGTGCAAGTTCTGAGAGGGAAATGTACTTTTGTGCAGATTTTCAAGTTCTGAATGAAAGCACCCCAGACCATCACACCACCACCACATTTGACTGTTGCCATAATTTTCTTATGGTGGAATGCTTGTGTTGGATTTACGCCAGATGTAACAGGACCCATGTCTTCCACAAAGTTGTACCTTTGACTCATCAGTCCACAGAATATAATCCCAAAAGTCTTGGGGGTGATCTAGATGTTTTTTGGCAAATGCAAGAGGAGGCTTTGTGGGGGTTTTTTTTTTGGTCAGTAGTGGCTCGCGACTTGCAACTCTTCCATGGATGCCATTTTTGCAGTGTCTTTCTTACTGTGGAATTGTGTTTGTTGACCGTAACTAAGAAGAGTGTAGGCTGCAGTTTTTTAGATGTTTGTCTGAGTTCTTTTGTAAGTCATCGATGCTCTCTTGGTGATGTTTTGGTAGGCCGCTCACTCCTGGAAACGTTCACCACTGTTCCAAGTTTTCTCCATTTGTGGATAATGGCTCTCACTGTGGTTCGCTGAAGTCCCAGAGCCTTAGCAGTGCCTACAGGGTTACAGATTTCAATGACTTTGTTTTGCATCTGTATTTGAATCTCATTAGAATGTGATACCGTGCACTGCTTTTTGAGGCCTTGAGACAGGTTCTATTTAAGTAATGTTTAGATTCAACAGGTCGGGCAGTAAACATGCCTGGGTGTGGCTGGTGAAATCGAATCTAATAGTCAACTGAATTTGGTTAATTGTTTGTCTTAGTACCTAAGGAGGCAGTTACTTTTTCACATGGAGTCAGGTAGAGCTGAACAGCATTTTCTTTCAGTAAATGAAATCATCATTTAAAAACAGCATTTTGTGTTTAGTGGCAGGTACTACAGACAGATCCATTTTAGTGCTGTGTTATGGTGAAATTTTAGGAGATGCCATGCTTCCCATGTAGTCTTAATGCAACTGCCTGTGCTAGAGTAATAGCAGCACAGTATCTATTGCACCTATCCCCAGAAACACAAAGAAGATAGGCCTTGCTTTACCTAAAAAGATAATGTGAAAATCTGTGCATTTTTCATGGCTAGGATTTAAGCATCCATTTGACAACTGCTTGAGGATGTCACTCCTATACTGTATTTTTTGTCTACATGTTGCATAGATTTGCTAACTCAGCCTTAATCATACTATGTTGAGAATTTATTTTGCTCTTTTGCAGGTGAAGAAAATCAATAGAAACTTTCCTGTAAATCAGCAGGTAATGCATTCACCAAAATCTTGTGGAATGTGAAAGCGGCATATTGTTTGTTTAACAGATGATAAACAACCAAAAAATCAACAAAGCACAAATAAAGAGTCAACAAAGCTTCACCACCCCAAAGCAGGGCATCTTGCACTACAGCAGTAACTTGAATCCTGTCGTCAATATGTAGTCCTTAGAAATATGTTTTGTTGCATAGTTTAATTAAAAGGATTTTGAGGCACATCCTGTTGGCTGCCTTAGAGTACTGAAACTGAAAGAAACACAGTTATTCCTCTTCACGAGCATAAAATCAGAATAGTGAGAGAAAACGTCCTGATTTTGCATTTGGAATGTTGAAATTGTAATTACTGAAATGTGTTCTGACACCTCAACACTGCATTCTGAAGCGTGTGACAAATGCAGCCTGGAGAGCTAGGCTGAGAGAGTGTGCTGCATCTTGCGCTCTCAAGGCATCGCTGTCAACATCATAATCATCATCGTCATCATCAGTATCATAATTATAACCATAATCATAATCAGAAATCACATGGAGTAAAAGAGTGCTTCAAAGAAAACCTCACAGTAGTTATGCACCAATATGGGAATTGTGGGTTGATACTGATATCTGATGTTTTTCATGTATATACAGTTGTAAGTAAACTTGTGCTAAACTTTTGCATGTGACATATTTTCTTGTTCTTTTCCCCCCTACTATATTAAATTCAGCAAATAAATGATAATCAAGCATTACAATTTTTAAAAATGTGCCATATTTAAGTTTGTTCTATAAAGATGTCGAGTTAACTTCAACAGAATGTATAATTTGACCAGGAGTGCTGAAACTTTTGTATATTTGTATACAGCTCTATCTGCCCATGCCAATGCTGATGCTGATATCAATAGCATTGAATAAACATTCTGCTGTTCTGGAGTTTAGTAAATACATCATTAAATATTTGTTTGAACTATTGGTCAAATCAAAATATCAGACTGATGCTGATCTTTTTAAGCATCCTTACCTCACAGTGTAATTTAGTCCTGTTTTTAGAGTAGACTTTACCTGTAGTATAACAGTCCCTAACCGCAGTGAAAGACAACAATAGACACAAAATCCTGTCCTGGCCTGATGAACTTCATAATTACCAGAAGAGCTTTATCAGGTATGTTAGAGTGGGGAAAACACAAGATTGGGAACTATAGCACTATCAGAAAAATGATTTGACAGTAAACAAGAGAATCCTAATGAAATTCATGTAAATGATACCTTTGCTATAGCAGCATAACAGTCTTGTCAGGTTGAATTGACAGCCAGAATTTTTTAACACATCCATACAAGACTGCTAATTAAATCATATCAGACAGTGTTTTGACTGACATGATTTAATAATCTTAGTGAATTCAGATTAGCAGTGTAGTAATGAAAAATGAGATGAGAAAAGTTTTTGCTCAGAAAATGGCTGGCAAAACTGCAGCTGTGTTGTTACTTGGAGAAAACATTGCTGCGATTTTTTAAAAAGAGGATCCTAAACAATCACATGTTTGATGGCTAAATAACATCAAACATGTAAATGTTCATGTTTTTTTGTCCTTTACAGATCATTTACATGGGCTGGGTGGATGAGAGAGAGCAAGACTTGGTTCAGGACCGAATGTACACACCAAAGTTCCTGGCTTTGAGAGGTTCATCTCTTTTTAAATTCTCAGCACCACCGGTAAGCACTTATGCTTGACATTTGTATGGTATTCTGTTTACCACAATTTACTTGTTATTTAAACTGTTGAAGCAGAGACAGCTGGTACTTAAGCTTTTCTCTTAAATAAAGGCATTACTGTACACAAATCTACCAGCCGGTCTTAAAGTCCGAGATTTGTCAGTGGTGGCCCTCTGCTGTATGGAATAGATCCAAAACTACTTCAAAAACCATAAGAGCTATCACTTACCACATTGCCCAGTTACACTCTCCCGTATCACATTATTTCATCATTGTAACATCATTATATCTCAGTAACAGTATTGTATCATTTTTATGTTGCCTTTGGAAGAATATATTCACTAGGGAGGGTTGCAAATTTATTTGCTATTAAAATCCAAACGTTTAGCACTGTGCTCTATTTGTGTTGTAGTGCAATCTTTGCTGTCGCCATCATTGCTTTTCTCTCCACTCTGTAAAGACTTTGGGAAATCCATTAATCTATTCATTCAGGATGGGCTAAAAGCATGTAACTTGATGATTTCATATCTTCTGCACTCAGGCTCCATTTAATCAAATCTAATCTCTGTACACAATCAGCAATTACCTTAAAAAAAAGACACCACCCACCACCAATAATGTTGGAAATTTCAGATTAAACCAAAGCTTTTGATGTCATTTAGAGATCTGTTGGGGTTTGTGACCTCATTGCTTCCTCTAAAAGGCCTTTATTAAATAAACAAAAAACAAACTTGACTTTCAAGCTGATCGCTCCAAACACAAATAAAGCCTGTCAAGACTTGACGTCTACTGAGTAAAAAAAGAGGCAAATTAGTAGGGAGACACACAACTAGTGCAGTTTTGCACCATCAATGACATTCCCAAAAATGAATTGATAAAGCAAAGAATTGATGTCACCACTGGTCAGAAATAAACTTGCATGTTTCAAGAAGCTTCTTCACTTTATATTTGCTTCTTTTAGGTTAGTGTGGACACCCTCAGCATTACTCACTCAGTGAGAAACACGCAATGTTTCTTTGGGGCTGTTTTCTCTGTCTTCCCTGTTGGCAGCAGGTCTGTTAGCTCATCTGGCACTTTATTTATCCCTGAGGCTGGACAGTGAGTGTGAAAAACCTATGACCTCATTTCTAGAAATGGAGCTGTATAATGATTTCTTGTAGAAAGTTCAGGAGAGCTTAGCAGACCTTTGAAATGATCTAGGCTAGATTTTCTCAACCCTACACATTCAGTGCTCTCTCTGCTCCCACACACTTTATCCAACATGAGGATGGACAAGTATGAATACAACTAAGACTAAGAGAGTATTTCAAAATGTTTTAGGTAACGACTTGGGACTGGACCAGAGCTGAACAAAGCTTTACTGTCTATGAGATCATGTGCAAGATTCTCAAGGTAACACCACAGATAAAACAAGATATGTATACAAAGAACTAGCTATCACTTGAAGAATCATTACAAAAGTCATATACAGCACTTCTTATATTTATTTCTGTTGTTATACATTTTTATACCTCTTGGTTGCTGTTGTTACGCTTTTTTTCATAATTTTCCTCATACAATGCAGTCCATGTGTATCTGGACAGTTTTTTTTAGTTTTGGCTTTAAACTCCATTACAATGGACTTGAAATTAAGAACTTTTTTGAGGTTACAGTAAAGTTTGTCAGCAACTGAATAGGAATCATAGAAGAACTCCCAGAAAAACCCTAATGAATATACAGTGCACATGATTCCTATGGCCTAAAACTCCCATGAATTACAAGCAAAAGAGCAGAAGATGCAAACCTCTAGAATAGATTTCTCTGGTTCACAGACTTCAGTGGGTCATTAAGGATTACAATCAACTACTGAACAGGACATATACTTAAGATGTGTTGTTTTGTTCAGTTACTTATGCATTCCTGAAATCAGGTCACTATATATAAAATGAGTGTAATTCCTGTATGTATTTTTTTTTATATGTTAATGAGACATAACTGTCTTTAAAAAGGAAAAGTTTGATGGAAACGGTTAGTCCTTTTGAGGTGATTGCAAGTTTGTAATTTTTTATTTTAATTGACTTGGCTTTGAAAACATTGACAATAAAAATACGAGCAGTATTTTGTTCGTGCATTTCAGGACGGGGACCTGTTGGACAAGAGGAGGCAGTGTTTCAGCCTGCAGACGGACACAGGCGAAGATGTGGTGTTCAGTGTGGAGCTGGAGAGTGAGCTTCTGCTCTGGGAGAAGGCCTTCCAGATGGCAACCTTCTTTGAGGTGGAGAGAATACAGGTAGCCGCATGCCTCTGAGCTACAGCCTTGCACTTCTTGCAGCAGGAACACAAAACAGACAAATACAGCCCAGCATACTGCAGAGGGAAAAAACAGCAGCACCTGGCAGGCAATGCTGGCACAGTTCAGAGTGGAGTAGGCTTAAGAGTGATGCTCGTGGTGCCAGCGACAGTTTTATGTCCTCCTGCAGTTATTATTTAGATCTGCTCACTCTAGAAATTGCCTACTGCTTTGCATACTGTAAAAATGCCTGCCTGTGCAGTTGGGGATGTGTATTTCTGGAAGTAATTTCAAAATATACTTGATGTATCAACATTTCATATAAAATGTCATCTTTTTATATTATATATAATTATATAGAAAGTCCCCTAGATCTAGAACCTAGAAATCCTTTTATCTAGAAACTAACCCAATGTTTGAAGCTCATAAATTTCCTTCGGGATCAATAAAGTATCTATTTATCTATCTGTCTATCCATCCATGCATCCATCCATCTATCCATCCATCCATCCATCCAATCAGACATTATCAGAGCTTGCATTTATGTGACATACCACAGAATTAATACTAGAGCTGTCGGCCCTACCATGCACATGGCCCTACCATGTATGAGTTTCAAATATAACACTCTTAAGGTCTTCAAGTGAATCACATAACTACAGAGGCGTAATGTGGGATCTACCTTCTGTCTTGCCAGCCCGACTGGCATATTTGATTCTGTGGTGAAACTGTGCTGAATCCAGATGTAATTGTGAAACTGGGACTTGCATAGATTAGCAATGTGTTTGTCATAAGTTGATCCATTTGACATGCTCCAGTCAGTGATGATACTGAAATTCTCAGTAGCAACAGGACCAAAGAAGACCTATATCATGTACATCGATCATAACATAACAATAACATTATGACCACCTCCTTTGTAGTTCTACAATTACAGACTGTTTCCATCTGTTTCTCTGCATACTTTGTTAGCCCTCTTTTACCCTGTTCTTCAGTGGTCAGGACCCCCATGGACCCTCACATAGCAGGTACTATTTGGGTGGTGGATCATTCTCAGCACTGCAGTAAGACTGACATGATGGTGGTGTGTTAGTGTGTGTTGTGTCATCCTCTAGTCCTTCATCAGTGGTCACAGGACGCTGTCCACAGGACGCTGTTGGCTGATTTTTGGTTGGTGGACTATTCTCAGTCCAGCAGTGACACTGAGGTGTTTAAAAAAACTCCAGCAGCACTGCTGTGTCTGATCCACTCAGACCAGCGCAACACGCACTAACACACCACCACCACATGAGTGTTACTGCAGTGCTGAGAATGATCCACCACCCAAATAGTACCTGCTCTGTGAGGGTCCATGGGGGTCCTGACCACTGAAGAACAGGGTAGAAGGGGGCTAACAAAGTATGCAGAGAAACAGATGGACTACAGTCTGTAATTGTAGAACTACAAAGTGCACCTATATAGTAAGTGGAGCTGATAAAATGGACAATGAGCGTAGAAACAAGGAGGTGGTCATAATGTTATGCCTGATTGGTGTATGTTCCATGCTATTAAAAAAGCATTTAGTATGCCAGAGACACACAATCCAATTCAACAAAACAAATTCAGCACACAAAGTTAACGCTGCCTGCAGCCAAAAATGTGTTTGTTTATTTTGGGCCCCTAACAATGATGTACAACACTTACCGTTCTAATTAAACACTTCAGAGACTGGGGAAGGAGTTGTGCTTTTGCCAGTGGGCTTCTACTCCGCCTAACATTGCCAAGTGTCTCGTTTTTCAGTGTAAAACATACGCGTGTATCATGGAGAGCCATCTCATGGGACTTACCATAGACTTCAGCATGGGCTTTGTCTGCTTCGATGCTGCATCAAAGGTGAGTCCATTGTGAACATATCTGAGTTTAATAGTCTTTCATAATACAGTTTATCTGATTGCCTGCTCCTACCAAAGTTAAATGGACTCTAATTTAACTGTATAAATGTAAACTGAGCTCTGTAGGAGCTAACACTGGTGAGTGTGCCCTGCAGGTGTAGGTAATGATATAACACCAGAGCATAATTGCAGACCTACTATCACTGTACAACTTGCCACTATGGATTGTCCTTTTAGAGCTAAACGTTTTTTGCAATTAAAAAAAAAGAAAAAGCATGAACATTTTTGAACATATGAACATAGTTGTATTACAGGTATATGGAATTGAAAGTGTTAATCAATTTAATAGCATTTGAGGGGGTATAAGTTACAATTCTTATCAAGTTTGTGACAAAGCACATGCTCCCATAGAAAGAATTTTAAGGATATCGCCCCCTCTAGGCGGTACTGTGGCGGTACAAGTTCTCCCAGCTCAAAGGATCCTCCGATGACGGCAAGAGCAAAATCAAGTTTCTCTTCCAAAATCAAGACACAAAACTTATTGAGGCAAAGGTAACTGCACCTCACCTGATGTCTTTTTAAGAGGATAATCTGTCTTGGAAAATGAACACTGCCCATATTTCAGTGCAGTTCAAACAGACAGGAATTAAACTTGAAACTGTGCCATGGATTAATGGGACCACTTGAGAAATTAGGTTCTTATATTTTGTCTGTGGAGGGTGTTATTTGAAATTAAACTTATATGCTCATATAAAGAAAATACTCATATGTGCCCAAAATATAAGCTTCCCGGCTTAGTAAACTGCCCAAACTGTGCATGGCTGAATCTGCAGTGTAAATTGTTCATTTTATAAATAACAGAGGGCTGAAGCAGCATGGGTAAGTGGAATTATTCAAGTATTTTTATGTGCTGTTATTTTCAAGATTCTTTTATGTTTTTAACTCTGTTTATATTCAAGTATTGACTTGAAGGAGGGCTTGTTATCAACTAAGGTTTTGTTTTATATTGTTTAATATTTCTTTGCAGGAACTGGAATTCTCCAATCTTTTTGCTGTGCTCCACTGCATCCATGCTTTTTTCGCTGCCAAAGTGGCATGTCTGGATCCTATGTTTGTGGGCAGTCAGAACGCTGCCACGGCCAATGCAGTTGGCACTCTGACCTCTGTTACCTCTATGACACAGGCTTCGAAGTTAAAATATTCAAGTTGACAGACTCTCGCTGTCCCTCCTCTCTCATTCCACTCCACGACAGAACAGTTTTCTGCCGACCTACCCAGAAAGGAGCCCAAGATTGCCTGATTCAAACAGAGACTCTAAATTCAGCCTGTGAAGATAACAGAAGAGTTTTAGAAACACTGAAGGGCCTTTTGGGCATCATGAGAAAATTCAAGTCTGCTTGCATTGGTACAATATCATATTTTGAATATGGATTTTTATCATACAACATATGGGCTGCAGGCAAAATGTATCATGGAGCCTTCAGGATGCTCAGCTGTGTCATGGATACAAAACGATTAGAACATTCATTAGTTCTTTCCCTTTCTATATTGCATAAATTGCAGTATGTATGTTTATATTCTATTAATGTTAGTATTTCCTAACAGTGCTTTGAATCCTTTCTTAAATTAGATTAATCAGATTGAGAGGGATGTATTACATAACTGCCATGAAGTATTCTTGGCCCAGGTCAAGGTGTGAGGTAAGGGATATCAAATAAGATTGAAAGATACCGTGCCCTCCACAGTTCTTGCCCCACTTGGTACAAATGAGGAAAAAATGTTGATCTTACAATATGAAAGAAACATAACTTGAAAATATTCAAGTCAATATTCCAGTCAAAAAAGAAAATGACTCAAAAGCCTCCAGCAGAACTGTTAGATGCCCAAGACTTGTTGTCTTCAGATCTGAATAAATCCACAGGTGTTTCTGTCCATCCTTCCACTGTGAGAAGTCAACTCAGCACTATGGGTCTGATATGGATGGATGTTTAGCTACCAAGAAGCTGTTACTGCGTGAATGAAATAACAAAAAATAAAAAATTTGCACCAAAAAATTTGCACCAAAACTGGACATCTGATATGAGTAGATTAAGGTTTTATAGACTAATGAGTCTAAATTCAAGAGCTTTGGCAATAACATCAAACCAGCAGACCAAAGCAATGATAAACTCTTCGAAACATCTGCAACTATCATTCAGACATGGTGGGGGATCAGCACATGTTTGGGCATGTATAACAACTGGAGGTGCAGTCACACAAACATGAAAATCATGTAATTTCCATAGAGTGTACACAGTTTCTAATTTTCATCACTGACATATCACAGTTCATATAATCATATGAGATAATTTATAAACAGTGGTAACTATCTCCTCTGTAATCGTGGCTCACATACTGCTATGCTATGTCTTGTTTCATGAGGAACTGTAATCTTCCACTTTGCTGTTGTTTTTATTTATTAAAATAACCTGATTATTCATTATCATTGCTGATTCATCAAGCAGGGGTGGATTTAGTGATTCTAGAGCGCTAGACAAAAGATAGAAATGAGACCCCCTGGATGTACATTTTTAAATGATTTGAGGCTCTGGGCTCCTGATTTGCACAACTGTCTATACTGCGAAAAAAAATCTTGACATGTGAAATCTTCTTAGGTCTAGTTGATAGATCTAATATTTCTCATTTTGAGATGGATGCAAGAATTAAATGTGAAATCGTTCTACTGTATTGTAAGATAACTTTGCTTGTTTTAAGAAATAATGCTTAACACAAGCAAAATTATCTGTCAGTACAGTGAGATAACTGGTACAGAGTAACATAGTAAAGAATTGATTAATGAGATTGCTTTTTTCCAGGAAGTAATAAGTAATGTAATTTTGAGAGAAGTAAACAGGAACTTGTAGCAGATTACTTTTTTGAGTAATTACCCAGCACTGGAGCTATCTATATAATTTTAAAGCTAGCATGATGTACAGTCTGCTGAGGCAGTGCAGCACTCTGTTCTGACTGAAAAAGCTTTTAGAGCTTTAGAGTGTAGCAGCAAACTTTTGTTTTTCTTTTTGCTTTTTACCTGGTGTACTTGGATGACTTTTATTAGATTTTTCCTCTCAACACCCAAACAATCACACAGAAGGACCTCCTCTCCATTATGTAGATCATCACCTAATTGCCTTGTTCTTACCAGCCTGTCTTTATTTATCATGTAACAACATGGAATAGTCCATTATAACCCTTACTGGGGAGGGACTGTATAGAACTTACTGAAAATAATGACTACAATAGCAGCAATTAAAAAACGGATATATAATGGATATATGCTTCAGGTTATTTAACATCAGCCCATACAGTATATCTAATTTGTAGTTTCATGGGATCTTAGGCGGCTGCTTACCTTTGCCTAATGCAAAGACCACCCCTGTCAAGAAAGTAGATTCTTGATGAGCACTCATCCATGCAAAATCTATCCTGATCTCTCCTTTTTCTCAAAGAGGTTCATGTCAGGGGACTGGAATCAAAGGCCCAGTGTTATGGATCTGAAGTCTGAGTCCATGGTGCCGTATTTCTAACAGACCCTTTGGAGAAAAATAGCCCAACATCATCATCACAGATCCACCACTATACTTCACAGTGGAGACTTTTCTACATGAACTTCACTGTTCTTAGTCCAAAGCCACCCCTGTTCGTTGCCCAAAGCTCCATTTTGGTTCATCTGACCATTAAATTCATTAAAGTCCCAGTAATGTGTTACAAACTCCAAGCACTTACATTTGTGGTTTGACACGTTTATAGCAAGTTTCCAAACAGTTTACTGGCTAAGAGGTGATGTTTGATCGTTGTTTTGAAGACTTGGTGACGCCAGGATGCAATCATTGGGGCAAAATACACATCATCTTTGAGACAGGTTCATCTCAGCTTCAGTTGTTTTGAACTTCTTAATTATTGCCCTAATTGTAAACATGTCTTTTTTTATTTATGTATTCTGTGAGGAACATTTTAGCGACTGAGTGTTTGGCCTGCATGTCACTTTACATTTATTTGTCTTTATGCATTTAGTTTTTCCATTGAATGATATTAGCTCACAAAAGGTTATACTTTTCTCATATTTTCAAAGTTGATATTTTTTTTCATTTTTACCAGTGGGTGTCAGTTGTTTCTGGTGGGCACTGTAGTTACTCAATTAATAAGACTATGTCTCAGAAAGTAAACTAGTTCAGAGAGAGATGAGTTATGGGTTAAGCCTTACCTTTTTAAAACTACATTTATTTCTGGTCCCTTCTTGTCATTTTCTTCAGTTTGTCTACCTTTAAAATTATCGATAAAAGAGGCAGACAGTAAAATGCCTGGCCTTTTTAATTCAACATTTTTAATATGAAGGATCTTACACAACAAACAGTGGCAAGTACCAAAATGAAATGGCAAGATTAGAGAACGCAAAGCCATGATGTGGATGATGTACAAATGTACTCAGATATTGTTCATTTTGCTAATATTGATGAGGTACGAATTAAATACAGAAATGACTACTGTATACTGTTCAGGCTTCAGGTTTGAACTGTGAGGAAATCTGGGACTGTTTCCCAAGAAAAATGTCTGTTTGTACCATCCTTCTTCTAACGTGCTGCTTCTAAAGCTTTATCGGAGATCTGTACAAGTGTGTGGTCTTATTCTTACAGCTGTTGCCCTTTAATTTTCCTGCCCATTACCTTAATATAGACCAAGCAGAGTATTGTGACCCAGTGTACAAAAAGACTCAATCATTTTATAGTAATGCTTTGTACATAATAGATCTCCTTGTTATGATGCTGTCATTTCAAGCATGCTGGTATCATAAGACGGAAAGAGGACTTTACGACAAGCAAAGGAAGTATGTAGCACCGTGGCCCATAATGTTCAATCTTGGCAGAAGCTGTGCAACCCCAAATGTGTTTTTCTTTGTTTTTGGTTTTACTACATTAAGCAGGCAGGCTTCTTATTGTATATGCGTGATTAAAAAAAACAGTATGACCAACTGTAGCATAGAACGAGATTAGTGGTTTTCTTTTTTCCCTTAGTTTGTTCATTTTTCCCCCTATTGTATTTTACTACTGTGGATTACTATTCATTTGTCTAATAAGGTGCTCAGAACCATTAGTAATGTACCTGAAGTAAATGCATTATTTAAAAAAAAATCTGAATATGTTGGATTACCCACTTTACTGTTAGATGAAGTTGCTCTCTTAGTTTTGGGCGTATAGGAGATAGCAAAAACAGAGATTAGGTTTGCAATAATTACACCCTTTTTAAGTGCTATAGCACTTGGAGACTAATTCCACAGTCAGTGCCCTGCTTTAAAGTGTGTTAAAGACTATGCAAAAAAAAAGAACGTTTCTTGATGGCATTTATTCTGTACGAGGAAAACTTGACACGTCCCTGGATTAGCTTTGATATAATATGACATAGAGGTTGAAAAAGTATTCTTTTATTTTTGGCAACTGCTGCTGGTTTTAATAAAGATGTATAGTGTACTTACTAAAATAAAGGTTTTATAACGTATGGTCTACCTGTTGTTAATGACTTTGCTTTGTGAAAAATAAATCCTTTTTTTAAAGCTATGTTAGAAGTCATATGCATTACATGTTTACATTTGTAATTGTTATACTACTTTATTTAAGATTATAAAACTATAACAAGTAAACAAATGTTACACTTAGTAAGCATTATATGTACTTGACAGATGTCCATATGGGCACAGGGTCAGCTCTGTGCTTGTTCTAAAAGGATCAAATATTTTAGCCACAGTATTATTAACCTTTTATTTTTTAACTAGTTTGTAATAGTTTTTAGAGCTTTAAAATCTGGATGTAGGCTACAGAATAAGCATAGAAAAATCATGAGTTCTGGGAATATGTTTAATGAAAAAAAAAACACTTGTGAACAGAGCATCAAATTACAAACAGTAAGTGGTGCACCTCAAAATTCACACACAGATTTAATGAGTTTGTGAGTGAGCATGCTGTCCATTTGAAATGCTGACAGGGATGTTGAAACTCCCCAGATTAAAAAAAACAAAAACAAAAAAAAACAAAGTGCAAAGGAGTTTTTTTTTTTACCTAGAGACCCATAATCTGTGATTCCTATAGGAAAGTTATCAGAGAAAATCAATCAGCATTCTGCCATTATGATAGAATAGCTTGACTGTAAAGTGAATTCAGAGATGTGTAGAGGGAAACTAAGTAAACTCAACAGAGACAAGTATATATACCGATTTAAACTATTTTCTTGAATTGTTTCCTGCAAAATATATTTCTGATCTCTTTTTACTATGGAAAGCTTTTACTTCTTTACCTCAAAACCACCAGGTCATGCCACAGCTACCTGTGACATGCTTGAAATCTTAAAATGGCCCTAGGAATTAAACTTTGGGTTTTTGATGCAACACTGCTTTAATAACTGTGGCTACGTTTACACAGCAGGACAAATCTGATTTCTCTTCAAAAGCTTGCAGCCTTCCTAAACAAATACTCACTGCAACATATAGAATCTAAAGTGCTAGACTGAGTAGAACAGAGAATGTTGGCAAGATGAGTGTACAAGAGTTTTATTTGGAAAACCAGACATAAGAAACATGGACATAAACCTCTTTTTTATGAACATTACAGTCTGCTGCCTAAACGTGCATGCTGAGAAACTTGGTTATGAAGTGGACTACGGTGAAGGCCGTCAAGGCTGCAGCCACTCCTTTCAGATTGTAACGTCAGCAGTCTGAATGCAAGAACAAATAGTCTGGGATAGTCCAAGTCTTCAGTACTGCAGTGAAATCCTTAAAAAGCTGGTTACAAAAATTCTAGAACCAAACCTTAGCCAAAAATAAACCCCTTGTGAGAAGCCCAAGAAAATGTGCTTGCTGAGTTCCATAACCTTAAAGGATCATTTCAATAAAAAGCATCCAATTCAAGGAAGTTGATATAACAGAAGTCATAAAAAGGCAAGTGGGTCTAGAATATAGAATATACATTCTATAGCCAGCTGGGATTCAGTGGGAAAGAACAGTGCTGAGACAGTGGTTTCTGTAAAGTGTTGATCCAGCAGAAACTCTGCTTTCAGTTTTACACAATGCATCAAATCAAATGAGTTTTCTCTAAATGTCAAGCTCCGGCTATTCATTTAAAGTATTCTGGCCTGAACAGTTAGTGCTGTGTTTTTGGTGGCAGATTTTTTTTTTGTGTGTCATACATTAATGATATGATTTTCAGCCACTTTTTGACAGTTGCTCAATCTAGTGCAATCAACAGTTTTTTCAAGTCAAGGTCAAACTAATAATGCATCTAAAATGTATTCACGAAAACTGGAAACTGACAGCTATGATAAACTGTAAAACTTAACAAAGCCTCTGCCTATATGTACATTATATTCTATGAACGGTGTAAGTATCCACACTAGGTGCCTCTCTCTTTGGTGAGTGGCAAACGAAGAACACAGTTGAAGCAAACAGTTATGGATTTTAGTAGATCAAGCTTTTACAAATTTCAGCGCGTTTAAAACCCGACACAAGTTGTACAATTCTGTACATTTTACCAGCAGGTAATAGTCCTATACCCTGAAAGAGTTATCCCTGTGTAAAAGTTCGGTTTTGGGCCAGAGGCCCCACAGCTGTACATATCATTAATGTTCAAATCAGTAATATATTTGTGGATTTGTGCTTTTAGGAAAAAATAGACAATGCTTTATTTTGATAATCATAAGTTAACCATGAGAATTAGAATTAGATATTAGTAAGTTCCTCAGAAGGCAAGGAGAGGCGGACACAGCACTTGGTCAGCCTGTGGTGATCTGTCTACATACTCCTGAGCATCTCCATCAGTCAATAAGTACAGGATATACTGAATGTGATTTTGTTCAGTGTTCCGGAAACAGTAAAGAACGTGAACACCCTCAAATGGAGAATTAAGAAATTACAAACTGAAAGTGCTAAATGAGAATTACAGGTCCACAGTTTTCACATGTTAAAAGAAATTCCCCAGCTCAAAGATATCCATCTGCTGTCACATGCTGCCCTATTATACTCCATACCTACTATCAGAAATATTTTTCCAAATATGTTCAACGGAAAAGACTGTTTACTGCACTCTGTCAAACACTACACAGACACTCATGACCTTCTACTTTATGCCACAAGCAAGCTTGAGTGTTTTCAGAAAAATCTGACACAGGAATTCTATGAAGCTACAGCAACTCTAGCTTATTAAACAGATAGCCAGAGGCTCGCATGAAGCAAAATAGATGTTTTTGACACAGATTAAGTGTGGTGGACTAAAATGGAGCTCATCATAGATAAATCTCCATAAAGAGCCAAAGACTAAACTTAATCTAAGAAAGAGGCTGGCAATCCTCAAGCTCTGCACATTTTTTTGTTTTCCCTACTCTAAAACAGCTGATCCAGCACACAACAAGCTTGTTAATTAAGCTAATTAGTTAAATCAAAATGTTCTACATCATGGAAAGCCAAAAATGTGCTAAGACTAGGACTGTAAACCCCTGATCTAAGATTAGCCCAACTGATGTTATAAGTTTGAAAACAACTCAGTTTGCAAATCCATAAAGCCAGCTTTGTCACTGACCTCACAGCCTGTTTGTGCTTCCAGACAAAACAGTGCAAGACAGGGCCTCATCAAACAGGTCCAGACCGATTAACAAGCCTCACAAAAAGAAGAAACACACCCAAGCTCAGATTCCCAAAAGGCAACAGTCATCCCTAACAATTACCTATGTGTTCTGATGAGGAAAATGAACTATGAACTTCTACAAATCTGACTCATTTGATGAATGACAAGGCTGAGCAATATAAGCCTGTGAATCGTAGGGGGAAACAAAAACATCAAAAAATATCTTAGCAAATTTAGCAAACTCTTTTGAGTATAAACATAGAGAACTAGAAACCTCCACAGGTCCTCAGTGCTCAAAGGATTCCTATATCAGATTCAATAACAGGATTATGAATCATTAGAACAGCATATTATAAACCATACAGGTTCCAGATTCAGACTTACCATCCTGAAAAAATCTTAAATTATGCTACAATCAAAGAAATTAACAGGACGAAAAAAATTGCCCTAAAAGAGAACCATCATGAAAATCCACTCATCCATAGGCAGAATGTCTGGTCGTTTGACTATTTCTCACGGTAATACAACAGGTACGCCTTCAGCGGCTCTGGCAGCGGCAGGTTTAGAATCTTGTCTCTGAGCAAGTTAACCTGAGGCTCCTCTGGCTTCAATGGCTCCACAATGGTGTCTTTGTCCTGCTCTTCCTCTTTACTTTCCTTCTCGATCCGCTCATCTTCCTCGCTCTCCATGGGCTCTGGAATCAGCTGGTTCCCCACAAAGACGTAGGTGTTTATGCGGGGAGGGCGGCATCGCCGGCGTTTACGTTTCTGAGGCGCTCTCTGCACTGGGCCTTTGGACAGTGCCTCCTCGTTGACCAGGTTGCGCACCGTGCGGCGAATATAGATGCGGGCGAGGTCCTGGAGGCTCCTCACAGAAAACGGAGCTGTGCAACACACAGAAAAATGGATTTAGACAAAATAAAAATGACCAACACCGTCGCAAGTAATTGACCTGGATATCAGCTCAAATTTTAACGATATGCTCTCTCGTAGATTCATTCATTGCGCTATGTCAGCTAGTCTTGAGGTTTGTTCATGTCGTCCCTAGCACAACAATACTTGTGGGTCACTAGTGTAGACCTACCTACTGTGGGCTATTCAATCAAGGTAGATTAACTGCTTACCAAGCAAGTTTAAAATTGCCTTTCGTAATTCCCAAAACACTCCACTAAGACGCTTTTTAAAATGTGGCCAAATTAGGCTTAGATTTAAAACCAGAGGTGAGTGGAGAACCTGTATCTGATAGTGGACAGCATAAAGTGCCACTATAGCAGACAGGAAGCACCACAGAAAAGCGGCGATAAACAAAAAAGCTCAAGCTCATTTTACTCTCAACTTGTACAGATTTTTTGTAATAAAAATTTCGACACTATTTTGTGAGGTTATCCCGTTTGGCATCAGCTAATTAACTCTTCACAGATTTGCTGGTTTCGAGCTAAAGAGTATGAGGCAAGATACGACAATATACACGGCTAATAGCATTAGCTCGGGTAACAGAGGATTAGTCTTTGTTTTTCTTAAAGACTTTAGTTTGGCTGCTGTAAAATTCAAGCCACATGTTGCCTGCAATGGATTTCTGAGTTTAATATAGTATAGCTATAGTAAGATGTTGAGTGGTGATGCTGTCTCTGGTTAAATATTTTTAGAATAATACCTTACAAATTAGAATATTATTTTAGACTGAAATGCCCACCTTACACTTGATTACATCCTAGGTTTACATTTTCTTATGTATATGTAGATGAGAAGATTTTTTGTCGACAGTTCGAGATCACTGCTAGCTTGCTCACAGAAATCTGTCAGTAGCAGATTTAAGGAGTATTTATTTTGGTAATGAAGATTATAGAAGTAATATACTAACAGTGCATGTGTGTGTGTGCACATGATATAGCAGGGACTTACGCAGCACCACAGCGTCAGGCTTGCTGCCGTCAGTTCTGCTCTGCTGTACGAGAGGTGCAAAAGAAACCGCCAAGATGTTCTTACTCTCCCACGAGCTTTGACCGGTTCTGGTTATCTGAGTTAACTGCAACAGCAAAACATACAGCATTTACTAATACCTAAATAAATGGCACAAAAACAGAAAAAATGTGCATCCATACATATCAATTTCCATTAAACATTAATAACCAGATATAAAAATGTCTTACTTGACAAATAAGTTATAATAGACAGATTTGACAGTTTTGGCAATTTATTACACAATAGCTAAAACTTTTCACTCAGTGAGACCAATTCCCAACACAATAGGCTTCATATGACAAGACTATGTGATGGGGGAAGGTTTGCATGCACCTTCCATTGATTAGTCTGAAGCCTTGTTATGCTCCATGTGCCAGGACAGACAACCGATTGGCTGATACTTAACGTGGCAACAGAAAAAAAGAGTGGGACTGCTGCTTTTTCCTTCTCAATAAGAACACCACTAGTTGTGTTCTCAATGACCCATGGCAACAGGCACCACAGCAGGACTTGATTTCTGCCCTGGAAGTAGTACTTTTACAATTATATGCACATAATAAACACTCTGTTTAAACTAAAAGTCACGTCTTTCCTTTATTATTATGTTTTAACAGTATCCATCCACATCTGAGTGATCATGAAAAAAAAACACATAAAGAGAATAATTTACCTGATCCTCGATTGGCATGACAAGAATCCCCCCAACTTTGAGCATGACCTTCATATAGTTCTCATGGTCTTTCTGAACTCCTGCTCCGCAGTATATGCGATCATATTGATGGCTGTCTGACGAGATCTCCAGACAGTTCCCCACTACAAAATTAGGTTCGCAGAACTCAAACCTGAAATAGATAATTTATATCCAAAGTAGCACATACTTTCACATCATTTACATGGTCATTTCACTTGACTGCATGTAAGTACACATAAGGGCACATGATGTCTTCTTCAATAATTGAGAAGTTCTGCTTACTTGTCAAAGCTGTCACCGTTTCTTATGAACTCCTCAAGTCTGTCTTTTGCGTATTCCACCACATCCTTGTGGAGCTCCACACCATGATTTACTCCAAAAGGACCTAGAAAAAAAGAGTGGAACTTTATTATAAGTTCTGTTGCTAATAATCTTCAAATACAAGATATTTATTAATGGACTAGTGGTAAATAAAAGCAATAAGCAAAATTTGCTGTATTAACAGATGTAACTGTGCTTGCTAACATTTTTCCTCAAAAAACATTTTTCCAGTTTCCCCCCTCATGTTTGAACATTAATTTCTGTTGGTGAATTGTGTGTATGGCACAACATTTGCCTCCTAAAGCCTCCTGTGGGGCAGAGAATAAGGCAAAATTATTTCCAGAAACTCCAATATATTGCTAATGCAGCAATACAATATTCTCCAAATGTTGTTCTATGTCTGGGACTACTTTACTGCTCTGGGTTTGTTTAAACATTGTGGGTACTGATTTATTTCAGTACATCACTTTACTGAAACAAGTCACTAAAAATAGTACTGCCAGAATGTAAACAATTTACTTGACAAATCACTGATTCAAAAAAAAAAAAAGTGTTCATCATTCTCACCAATGATCAGGCCCACCATTGTGCTTAAGTATCCCGTGCCACTGCCCAGATTGAGAAAAGACAGTCCTTGCTGGAGGTTCAACGCTTCCATTACCTCTGAATAGATGCATGGGGCTGAGAGGTGAATATTGCCATGCTTCCATGCTAAGTCTTTGTAGGCATTGTCCCTGTAGCCCTCTAAATAGTAATCACCACGGTCTATAGCCCTAAAAGCTTGTTCGACCTTGTCTGTGCGAATATACTGAGCCTCCTTCAGGTTGTCAATCAAATCATCATTGTCCTCCCCTGCACTCACTGCTCCACCCATGGTCCCCTCCTCTCCAAGAGAAAAGAAAGGAATAAAAAAGAAAAAAGTAGAACAAGAGGAGGTGAAACACTTCCACAGGACCAACTCTTCTTCACATTGAAGAGGAAAGGGTTCTTTCTTTGGGCAGATGAAAGACAGGATGATTCAGGCCTTCCAATCACCTCAGATCATCATCACATGTCTGAAGAAAGAGTAGAAAAAAAAAAAATAACACACAGGTTTAGATCATCTCATATCTAGAACAAATACTCCATATATATATATATATATATATATATATATATATATATATATATATATATATATATATATATATTATATATATATATATATATATAAAAACAGCAGTTCAGGTATTCACTGGCAAATGTCCCATGTACAATGTGACCTCACTCTTTTTGGTAAACCCCAAATAGGATTAAATCAAACTAGAGGCTTGTGGGCACGCAACTAATGTACTGCAGAGACATACAAAAATACCTATTAAATCTGACATAAAACAGCTGCAGCCCGTTTTTATGCTAGACTCTTGGCTGAAGCAGACCCTCACTCTGCAATGACCCCCTTAATTTTATATGATCTAAGCTATAGGATTGTGATGTTTAATGCATTGTGCTTCCAGGGTGTTTTGAAAGTATTTTTTAAAATATAGATTTCTTTTCTATACTCCCACCAGCACGGAAGGTGTCACAGCAATCTTTGTCCTACTTTCTGATTGCTTTTGCCTGAAATGCTACCCTTTGGGATTTCTGCAGTAACGAGAAAATAGGTCAAGCTTTTTTTTCCCAAGGTTTTCTTCTAGGCTTGACCATGACCCTGTAGGGCATCCCTCTGTCTCCAGCCAGTACATTTCTACAGTAAATACAGCACAGGCTGTGCTTCACTTCTCACTTTTACTTTAGCAAAATAAATTGACCAAACAAGAGCCTGCAAAAGTTATATACAATTTTGAACTTACTCTAACCCTCACACACCAGAACTGTGAAACAGAATCAGTGCATTAATAAACAGTTACATGTGTGCCACTTTATGTCCTGTAGTTTCTAAAGCCACTGTTTGGAGCCCGAAAGGACAGCAAGACGAATTCTTAAAATTTTACAAATGATTGTGTAGGCCAGCGTTTTCAAATCTCAGCTCAGAGGTCTGTCTCATGAAGCAGGATTTCTTGTTTAATAAGTTAACTATAAGCTTAGTTCGATCTAACCCTGGACTGTATGTCTCACGAAGGTGGGGCTACTTATGCTGCAGGCCTAACCTATTCCAGGGCAGGTTAACTTTGGGATTAAACGGCCAATCAGGGTGAGCTTCTTACCAATCAGGGATAGCCCTCCACCCTCTGGTGCTTTTTGGGACACTTTTTTCCCTTCGAGACAGTTTTGGCCTCAATCACATGGAAAAATATTACGTTTCAGTGAAGGAATCATAGGCTGTAACTGAAATGGATCCCTGCTTCCTCATTAGTTTTGCACCTGTATAGGGGAGAACTATTCTGTTTACTAAAGGCTGTTAGAAAAACGCATGAATCAATACATGCAGTCGGACACTTTATCTTCTGCAGCCAATGTCAGTATTCACCAATTATAAAAGTCACATAAACATAAACAAACAAACATGATAAGTTTACATGGCTGAAGTTAGTGTCTTATTCATTTCCACAGACATGAAAATAATGTTCTGAAAAGTGCAGGGGAAAAATGCAACTTGACCAGAGTACATATTTAATTCTAAGTCTGCAAGACCAAGTAACCTACAGTTACCAGCGAGTCCTTTTGCTATATGTTTAGCTACATTACAGTCTTTTTTTTTACTGTACAGAGCTGCTGCTCTACCATAATTTAGAGATTCTAATTCGTTTTTTTTCAGTTAAGCAGCCACTGTTCACATTACATTGCCCTGTCCACTGTCCACCTCTGTAACATGAGTATTCAGCTGATGCTGTCTATGGTGTTCACTAAAATTCATGAGTTGTGCACTGTGAGAGATTGTAGAGCTCTTGAAATCACTGTGGTATTCCATATTATATTTCAAACACTAAGAGAAAAATGGCCGACATACTCAATAGTGTCCTAAAATGCAAGGGGATTTTGGTCACAGTCATAGATGAAAATAAAGAGAGTGATATAAATTACTCCAAAAAGCATTAACATAGTGGTAGTGGTAACGGTGTTACTTTTTACTATATATAAATATAGGATATATAGGATAAATAGGATAAATAGGATAATTTCCTCTTTTACCGAGGAATCTACAATGTGCGATGCTAACATCAGAGTTCACAGAACGTGAAAGTTAAATGCTATTATAAAAGAAGGTAACTGTGACTGCATTTGTTAGGTTCTGTAAGCTGAATCTTCATCAGGAATCATATCTAAGTTGAACATGCTTAATGAGTCTGGCCCCTGGAGACCTCACACTGCTTTTTTTATTCTGCATGCTTTGGCACACGTTTCAACTCATTAGCTAAATTAGCAAGCCTTTGTGGACTGAGGCAGGTGTGTCAAAGCAGAGAGGACTGTGAAATTTATCACCAAAAACATGGAGAACCACTAGTGCAAGCCAAGTTATACCACAAAAAGATGTAAAATATGATTCATCTCTAACCTCCATACATGAAAGTTCTGTATTATTCTTGGCAGCAGGGGTTCTGGAACCAGAAGAGAAGCTATTCACATTTATTGCTACATTGCGGGCCTTTGTGAGACCCACTGGACATAAAGCTGAGCTCCTAAAGCAGTTGATCCATCATTAATATGATTAGGGTGCTGGTTGCATAATCATACCATTGTCACACACCACTAATGTTTTACCAGAACAAACTTGCTCATACAGTCTCTCTGTCCATCCTGCCCATTTTTTCTAATAATGTATTCATACACTGTGGGGTTCACTGTGACCAGTCACTGTAACTTTCACAGGATGTCTTTGATTTAGGAGAGGGTGCATCAGAGACAAGGGTTACCATGTAGCAGGATATAGTAACAGTGAAAGTAACACTAAAAGGAACAATAGAATAAAAACAAATAAACAATACAGTTTGATATGTGCTTTTTTTAAACCTCTCCTCAAGGAAGTCCAGTATTTATAGTTTGGCTAATCAGTACTTTATTAAGTCAGGTGTAATTAAGTAATTTAACAAATCCATACAAGGGCTGGAGCGCAACAAGAAGTCAAGAACTTAACCTGCATTCTTCCGACTGTATTTAAACAACTTGTAACTGTAAAGAAGCCAAGATAAACAGTACAAGTAGTGTCTAAGACCTTTGCACAGTGCTGTGTTCAAAGGCCAAAAGGAACAGGAACCTAAAACTGATAATTTAGGCTATTAGTTGCTAGACAATTAGAACACATAATCCTGTGCCATTTGTAAACTCTTTAACAGTCATGACAAATGCTGCAAGTCCCACTGCATTTGGTTTTTTAAGCTCAGTGTCACAATTCTTTTAAGGTTTTAGTTCAACATGGCAAATAAATGTTAAACTAATGGAGTTAAACTTATCATTCTAAATAAAAATGACAAGTGGAAGGAATGTTTATCTCCGTATCTAGCTACTCAGTTTACTACAGATTGTGAGACTCACTGCAGAAACAAAGGGCATCTGCAATGGACATCCAGTTTTCATAATACACATTTAGTCAATTACAGTTTAGGGTGTTGACAATCCTTTTTATTCTATTCTTAATTATAGTTGAGAAACACTGCAAAACTTTTTAAACATCATTTTTATCCTTCTTTTTTAGCATTTAAGATTTCTGACTCAACTCTAGAAAACAGAAGTAAAAATACCGCAAGAATAAAAACAGTCTGACACTTTTGGTTGAGAGTAACTTTCTACAGCTTTTATAATTTACATTTGTTTGTTTGATGCTAAAAAATCTAAACCAATTTGTTATAACTGAAGTGACATTTTCTTTATTATAGACTTTATTATAGAGAGAAGTGCTGCCTCCCTCCAAAGCTGTTTTTTTATCAAGCCAAGCAAATTATTGTTTCTTTCTTTTCTGTTATCAAAAATCAAAAATGAAATACAAAATGTGTTGTTACCTTGACAAAGTGTTTAACTGTAGTATTTATTATAATAATGTGTAATTAAGAATATTTAAATAGTGCAAAATATTGATTTTGACATTTTACACAAGGTGTTAAAATACTACACACACAAACACACACACACACACCCCTTCTAAACCGCTCATCCTTCTGGGGAGCTGGAGCCTATCCCAGCAGTCACTGGGCGGAGTTTAAAATTCTAATTGAATTAACTTATGTAGTCATAAAAACTGCCCAGCCCTAATCTTAATCATGTCCATTTAGGGAAAATCTTTTCCTAAATATCCATACAGCGGACTGTATTTTTTTAATAAATGGAAGAAAATGTGCTGTCTTGTGTTCACTTAAAAAACAAACTCAATATGGTGCATCAGCTGTATCAGGCCAGAACAAGGTAGTAACTAGTTACATTTACTCAATATCATGCACTTACATATAATTTTGATAGATTTGTGCTTTTCAAGTCATTTTTAAATTAGATTTCCTCCACTTCACTCAAGTTCATTTGTAAAGAAATTATGTACTTTTTACTGATATACATTTTAGTTATTCTTATTCACCTGATTCATTTTGTGTTAATTCACACTGGACATTACTAGTTTTTTGACTTGACGCCTGTATAATTTTATTTACTCTAGTTGTTTTTTTTTCTACTGGAGTGATTATTTCATTGCCGTGAAACACTTCTCCTTGAGTGTGGTTTTGGGTTACTCTGGGTGAGAGGTCACTGAGGCAGTTCTCTGAACTCAATGGCCAGTCTAACAGGTTCCAGAGCTGAGTAGGGGTAAGTCTGCAATAACATGCGAATTGAAACCACATACACCTCAACAACATATGCCTAATCTGCCAATAGACGTGCCCTTAGCCCTTCCTGAAGAGTAAGCTTCATCCCAGGACTTGTAAAACAGATCTTGTAAAACAGGTTTGTTTTCATAGTCGTCTCGATTTAAAATGAGAACCAACATTAATTTACAGCTGCAATGACAATAGGTGCTAGCCCTTAGTTAAACTTCACAGTCTGCTGCTGAGAAAATACAAAAGCTGCAGTAAGTTAAATTACTACAAATTATATAGCTTATTTATGTATTGGTCAGACGCATAAGCACAATGAGAGATCACAATCTGGGCATATCATACTCAGAACGTTATATATAATTTCTAATAACCAGAAATTCTCTATTCAGGATATTATAATGAAGCTAGTAAGGATAAATCTTATCAAAATTATAACGAACCTTTTTCCTTGGAGCTAATGGGCTTAAAGATCTCGATACTATTACCTAGGTACTAAAGCAGGCCACATCAGACCCATCCGCACTGCTATAAGATCTACAGAGTCCTCGCAGTCTTACCACAGTTTTCAAGCTGCGGAACCCTCACCACATCCGCACTGCGTTGAAGACTGAGAAACAGTACCTAAATGAGCTAACTAGCTAACCTACATCGGTTCCTTCTCAGTTTGTAGGTAGAGGGCACCCAGCACATCAAACGGGTTTTTTGTCCTTCATGAGACGTCTTCCCGTCATAATAACTGCCTTGATATTAGCTACCTGTAAGCCAAAGAGTCCCAACAATAACAATAAATGCGCATTAGGTGGCTGGATAAATGCTACTCTTAGTTTTTTCTGAGGACACCTAAAAAAATTTAAACGGTCTGCTGATTCATATAACATGTATCTGACATTAGTGCTTTTGCAAGTTCACACTTTGTTACTGCAGACACAAATGCAGTCGTTGTGAGTAACGTCAACAACAAAAACATGGCACACAGTGCGACTGAAGGCACCTATTTCGCTCGATAGCTAAATGTTTAACGGCAAATTTGGCATCTCGTTTAGATCTATTATGTAACACTTATTGTGTTAGTTCAGTAACGTAGGCTCAGTTGTTTTATTTAGCGTCAGTTAACATCTACCTTATTTTAGCTTGGTCGGCTACTAGCTAGCTAGCTAACTTTATCGCTAACATTAGTCGGGTAACGTTACTTCTCCATTACTTCAGCCATCAAGCAGACGTACTTTCACTAAACAACTGGCTAGGAAGGCTAGAGCGCCGAATTACAAATCGCCGATTTCGTGTCAGAAACCGTCAGTCAAATATGTGTATTATGTGTCGCCTGGTCAAACAAAACCTCCACCAGTGGCAAATATCCAAAATACCTAAAACTCTAAAAAGCTTCTTCCAGACAATAGGTGTCTAAGTAAGCAGCTAACCAGCTAGCTACCGTAAGCTAACCAGCTAGCTAGCTACAAACAGAACAGAACCCACTCGATAAAGCTGGACGAAGCAGCAAGTTGAAACAGAAACAGATGTTGGCCTCAAATAGGCATTTTCACTGACCTTTTTCCCCATTAATAAATGTCAGGCGCTGTTTTCAAGACTGAAAGATGGTAGAATTGTGTCAGTTAGTAAAAACCCGTGGCTACTTTAAGCGGGTCTCAGCGACCAGCGTTGTGTTTTTCTCCAGCAGAAACAGCTGAGAGGATGTAAACACACATCACGTGGTCCTTAACAAACCGGCCTACAAGGCTGCGTTTTCGCGGGTCTGCAGGGATAGCACTCAGCATTTTAACTAGAAAAAAACTCTGGTTGTCTCAGCTTTTTACTAAAATTGTTAAGGACAGTCATTAGAGCAGTTTGCAGTTTTATAACTTTCAAAATGTCCACCCGCCGTATATATTGCAAATATTTCATAAATACCGATTTTCTCTGTCTATTTTGTGTGATTGGGTGGACGTTGTGCTTGACTCACCATAAAGAGCCAGAAAACAACAAATTATCAGTGCTGAATAAACACTTTTTTAAACTTGAAGGCTTAATGATGTCACTTCCTCTTCACTGTGTAATTTAATGTGGCAGCACGTTATATTAATGGCTAAATAAGCTGGTGTGATGAGGCAGAATGCAAAACTCAAGGACCTAGAAAACATATTTTTCTTAAAATTAATGTTTTTTTTATATTCAATTAATATGTTTTGTGTTAATGTGAAAACAGAAATACACCTGAGCATGGCAAAGGTCTGATGTTAATTAACTTTTTTTTGGTATATTTGAGATTAAACTTGAATGGCTGTCTATATGGGCATGTAAAATTCCTGTATTCTTAATAACATCATATATAATAACATACTTTCTTCACTTGCAATATTTTTTGCTCATACACTGTGTTAGTAATGAACTAATGAAAATTTAGCATGAAAGAACATTTAGCAGATTTTTGTTCCTTAAAGATTGCATCAAATATTGTGGATTGAAATACAACATTTTCATGGAATGACACATGGATGGACTGTTCAAACAATATGCCAGTGTCACAGCCTATTATTGTATTTTCTCATGAAGACCAATGTGTGGCCTTTTACAGCACTTCATAGCACATGATAGGTCTTACATGTCTCTGTTTTCCACTTCTCAGCACCTTTATGTAGACCTGGCCTCATGCAAGTAGACCAAGCCAGTTGTCAGGGTCACTCAGTCAGAAAACGAAGGGGGCAAATGTGGCAATCTCTGTTGTTTACACCCATGCAGCCCACTGCCCTGGCATTCATTCAGGTTATGCCAGAGCATCTGCTGGATCAGTTTGAACACAAGCAATTGTGTAACTAGACTTAAAAACAGGTGTGACTGGGTTATCAGTTCAGAGGCATATGCATTTGTCTGATGTCAGTCTATGGTTTCAGCTAAAATGGAAATATGATAATGACATATGAACCCCTCCTGCCGTCCCACTTTTGTAGGCTGCTAAAAGGAGCCTGTATTTCAACTAACAAGAGCAGAAATAAAGAGAGACAGATTGCTATCACAGATCAATGACACCATCCTTGCCCTACTGATGTTCAGCTGTTGATTTTATTACTGTCTGTTTCATGTGAATGCCAGGCTCCAGGATGAGGAATGAGTTGGGAATTGACATGTTTTAGAATGATAAACTACTATTGGGATACACGCTATGGAGACTCACACTACGTATCATGGAGGCAGCACAGAGAACTATCCTGTTCTCAGATCCTTTCAGGAAAAGAAAAAAAACTGCAAAGGCCAGCATAATTTCTCACCAGCAAAACCAAAAAATGGTGAGTTTTGGATGCTGGTATGCTGGTCAACCAGCATGGCCATGCTTGGTGATCAGCTAAACCAGCATAGAATTCATGTTGATCTGTGCTTTTTTTTTGTTTTCATCAGGGTAAGCACTAACCAGAGGCAGGTAGTGTCTAGTTACTCAGTTTCATATACTTAAGTACAATTTCAAAGGTGCAGTAAAGGAATAATTCAGATTAGGCTACTTTTACTTCTACCTTACAAACGTTCATTCTTGTTAACACGTCAAAAGGATACCTTCCTCTCAGATTGTGGCATGGGTTCATGCACCCCAATACCTTTAAAAGCAGTTATCTTGTTGAATTCCTTGAATCTGCGAAGCGAAACATTTCCCATAAATGAAGTCTTCCTTCATGGTTAAGTCACGTTGGCTGACTGGGCCCAGACTCCAGGAAAGCTTCAGCAACACCTTCTCTGGTTACAGCAGGGGCCATCCAAGGGTCAGTTCGTATATTTTCCTCCTGTCCTTGGGTCCCCTTAAGCTGAGCTCAGCATCTCCTTGTAGTACAGTAGTTTGTTCATGGTTTCAGTACAGAATGCATCAGCTGAGCACATTAATGCAATTGTTCAACCAAAAATGCCAGCATGGTTAACAATGAACAAAAGTCTGTGGGGATTTAGTTAGCAAGATCTTGTTTGCATAACGCCCACACTTCCTGCAGGACTTCATTATTAGCAGCACTGGCATTTTTGAGTATTTGTCTCAGTTCTTTGTTAAAGTTTCCTGGCCTGACATCCTCTGCAGAACCTCTAAATCCCCTAAACTTTCTCCATAATATAAAACAATGAAACCTGCGTAGAAGCAACTACTCTAGATCTATAAGGTTTGTTATGTCAAATACTGTCGTGATAGCAGGATCTCTACTGTTCACTTCTATTAGGCGCTTTTACAGAAAAGAATAATTTGGAAATGTTTGTAATTGGTATTTCAATATAAAACTTTCTCCATTGTGGATGAAATAAAAAAAGAAAAAGGAAAAACATCCACTCACCTACTTTCAGAATATGAATTCTGGGTGCTGATGCTAAAATGTGGAACAATTGAAAGCAATATTTTGTTTATTCTTTGTTGATGATTCAGAATGATTGTTTAAAGAAACAGATAACAATACTTCTTGTGCACCTGATTTGTTTAAACTGTTGGCAGAATTTGCTCTTTGCTGCTGATAGAAAGCCAGAAATATAATTATATACTTTTAAAGTTATAACAGTCAAGGTAGATTGGGGCAAAACCACAGAATAAAAGAACATGTCAATAAAATCCAGAAAGAATCATGTAGACTATAAACAGTATAGAGGGGTTATACAATTTAATGTAATAAATGATAGAAACCCCTACCTTGTCCACCTTGCTGTTGTATAGTTAGAGACTGCAGCCCATCTGTTGATGGATGTTTATATCAACTATCCTCCAGTCCTTCATCAGTGGTCTTGGCCAGACATTTTTGGGAGTTGTGTTGAGAAGAGTTCACCTCCCAAATAATATCTGGTCAACAGTGGCCCTGTGGTCAGAAACTGACCCCATATGGGCTACAGTCTGTAAGTGTACGTGTACACCTATTTAATGGATATATAAGATAGATGGAGCTCATAAAGTAGCCAGTGTGTGGAAGTCCAAGTGAAGTTTTTCTAACACAGTGGACAGAGAGTATACAATGTTCTTTTCTAATACTGACAATTCAAGAGATCATTAAATTGTTTATTTCTACCATACACAAACTGTACAACACAGCGCATTACTGCTTATGAAATAGTAAAAGTGTAAAGAAACTTCAATATAGAAACTACTTTAACTGAAAAAAAAGCATTTTGTTTTAATCAAAAAGAAACAAAATAATTTACAGTACAGTGTTCCATACTAATATCATTACACAAAAAAATTCATTTCACATTACAAAACATCAAATACAAATGCAAAAAAAATAAATAGTCCTCACAAAAGTTCCTGAGCAAACAATGTGTGGTTTATAAATTAAATATTAGGAATTACAAATAATTTAACACAATTATAAATTACACTTCTTTTCAAAAGATTTTCGTTCTGTTGATTAAGGATTCGATTCAGTATAATGATTTGGTCAAATATAGCTTTTTTTTTTTTTCTTTTTAACTCAGTGACCTGTAAATTTTCTCCTCTGGCAGCTAGATTGAAAGGAGTGTGACTGCTCACACTAATCTGGAAAACACATGAAATAATGTCAGTGGTCATCTGTGTTAAACGGCATTTCAAACTGTGCCTCTTTTGTTGTGCACAAAGTCTAATATGCAAGGTCATTTTCCACTGCAGGATTCTTTTGGATCTGCTTGGCAATTAGTGGACCATACACTTAGCTTCATGCAGAAGTCAGAAGAGGCCATGGATGTACTGCCCTTAAAGACATGGCGTATCCCAGTCTATACTGGAAAAGTAATTGTAACTCAGAATTGACCATGTCAGGTAATACTATCTTTGAGACACAAAGAAGCCTTTTAAAATGTTGGTCAGTGCGTGTTTTCTTTTAAAGGTTTTTGAAAGGGTCAAATGCTGCATTTTAGCTTGGAGGAGAATGTACTAATTCATAGTAAATGATGAAACACTTGATCCTCGTATTACAACAATATCATCCGATACTTAAAATGGCATATAAACAGTAGCTAAACAGAGTTAGAGGCTTTTTTTCTTTCTGAAAATAAATATACTGTATAATAAAAGGAATCACCATTCACGTAATACTGTTCTACCACAAAAACATAGTATATTCCATGTAATCATTTACATATAGGCACATATATGCACACGCAAGAGTGTGCACACCAAAGGCAGTTCATATCGATAGAAACGCAATTCAGTTATTTTATGTAGTGATGTTTTTCCCCTTGACTTGATGTCCTGGTAATAAAATGGCAATGTACAGTCAGAGCATTTAAATGAAACTGATTTGAGCTCAGTAGCTACGAATACTGATTTATGATTCAGTGTTATTTGGAAAATTTATTTGTAGCACACAATACATTCAAAAAGAAGACCATTGAGAGTTGAAGACTGAGCCTTGCGTGGCCGACCAGTAAGAGCTCGCTGCCACTAGGTGGAGCAACAGGACTATTATTACATATGCCATCGGTCACTGGTGGAGGAGTATCACAAATGCAAGTAAACATGTTTTTTCCTTTCTTTTTTTCTCCATTTCTTTTAACAACAACAAAAAACCTACCAAATAAAATACGACAAATACAAATGTGCCTGAGCCTAAGTCATTTGTAATACGTAGAGCGGAAGTGCCAGAAAAAAAGAATACCAATAGCCAACATTGATGTTAAATATAAAATAAATAAAATATATTACTGTTCAATAAATTATTTTTGATGAATAAAGACAATAAATAGTAATAATAGTCTTAATACACAAAAGAACACATACAGAGTTAAGTCAAGCAAATCAAAGGAAATAAATAAGTGCAAAAGGGGATCAGAATCTCACCAAAATCAATGTCAATAAATAAAATGTTTGAAATTGTGATAAAAACTGGCTGGTAATTATCAGTGCGATCCATGGAATGAATATAATTTACTTTTTTTAAATATAAGCTCTTTCTTGCACATGGTTTGAAGCCAGCCATACCCCAAAAACCAAACAAAACAAAAACCAGCTGTCCAGAGATATTGCTTGTCTGCAAGTACAGTACTTCATGGTGAGTAGACTGTTTCTACGTGGATGCCCTTAATGGCCTGTCTGATGCTGTCCAGTAAGGCCTTGCATTCTGGAGAATACTCATGTTCTGAACTGTTGTACATATCTGTCAAAGTCTTCACATAAGCTTCAAAGTTCTGCTCATTTATTGGACCCTGGAAGACAAAGCAAGCATGTAAATTCACAACATACACACACGGTTTTGTAAGGATGCAGCGAAAATACATTAGCAGGGAGACATATACTGCATCTAGTCCTTGACTGAAATGGAAAATACAATAGTGAATTGACAAAGGTAATTTAAACCTCATCTAGTCCAACTAAAATCTTTTTTAGAAATCAATTTTTTGTATAGTCAGTGTTTTGTTCTGATTAACTGTCTGACAGACCACATGATTTCACTGGGTGGTAGAAGCGTGTTCTATCAGTAGAGAAGAGCTGAGTAACATAGATATTTTATGTAGTTAAACAGGTTCAAGTAGACCATGCTTTTAGCCATCTTCTTATATTCCCGTAGCATCTGTGACAGCAATTAGACAGATATTTCTCAATATTCACCCTGAAGACTGGATAGCTGAAATATAGCACCTTTTTGAAGCATGTAAAAAACTCACGAGAGGAAGCCAGGTTAAAGTACAGCCCCCACACAGTAAGGTGTATTATAAGTCTTCCAAATTAAACAATGAATAAAGTTCACATTCTATCCATATTAAAAGAATTCATTTTTATGCACAGATTCAATGCTCTTCTGATGTCATGTAAATAAAATATATTTCAATTTTATCATACTGATTAATTCTCACCTACTTTGTAGTCAAAACAATGAGCTGTGATTTTGATATAAATAAATATAGGTTTATGTTATTAGGTTGGAAATCTTGTCTGGTTCAAACAACACAACTGTATTGAATTTACAAAAACTGTATTGTCATTTACAAACTATAGGTGCTGGAAACAAAGTTTACATTTTTATTGGCAGCACAGATGTGCAGATGCATGTATAAAAAATATTAATCTTGCTCAAATACATGTATAAGGTCGTGCACCACTCTTTCCTACACAGGGTTAGCTTTTGTACTGTCTCACTTTTTACTCTTGATAAGATGAGCTTTGTTTTTATTTGGCAATAAACTTCCTGTTTCTTTTGAAAGTTTATCCTCAAGCCCACCACATTACATAAATAAAACCTTGGATTCCCCTCTTTCACACGGCAAAAATAAGAGGTGGTGTTTCTTCCGCCTGTTCTTCACTACAGTAGAAGGTGTAGTGAGGAGGTCTGGCTCACCATTTGTGGTAGCTGGATGTCAGTAAGGCTGTTGATAAGTGCTTGACTGAGCCGTGCCAGCTCCTTCAACAAGCTGTCGTTGTGCTGCTCGATCATCTTGTTCTCCTCTTCGATGGTCTTCAGGTTGCACTCCATGGATGAGATCTGGACCAAGACGGAGCATAAAAGGTCAGGAACGGAATCACGTGGAGGGAGATCGATACAGCAAACTAGTACACTCAGGAGACATATTTTTCCACAACACTATGCTACTGTTTTAGTTAGCATGTCAAGGTAGAATTAAAAATGACACAATACAATTTTTCTTTTCAGATTTTTCAAAATGCCTGTATAGTTAAACAGTTAAGATGTAAACAAAGTAATTGAGAGTGGTCTGATGTGAAATGCTCCATTCTAAAGAAATATGTTGAGTCAGAGTTGGTCACAGCAGTGGTGGTAGGTTAATGCTTCTGAAAGCTATTTCGCATAAAGCTATTACATGAAATGGTTATGAGAACACTGCTTGATGCCTGAGACATTTACGATAGTTTTGAAATAAGCTTATGGCCTACAACATATTTGTAAAATCAATTCATGCCAGAAAATAGGCAGGTACATGCAGTATGTTACAAAGCAAAAACTCATTCAAACATTTTTGAATTATGAATTTTGAAATTTGAGTTTGAATTCCCCTTTAAGGGTTTGTTGATACAGACCCAATGATTTTTTTTTCATTTAAAACCACAAAGGTTTTAAATGAGTAATTTTTAATTGAAACATTACACTCAAGATGGCCGACTAACAGTATCAGGAATTCTGTTTCTATGAAGCTTACTTCTGTAGCCAAACTGTATGGCTTACTAGTCAAACTCACATGATTTTATATAAATTAAAACACACCAGGTGATCAGTTAGTGTGTACAAAAGTGTAATGCATATTCATGTTGTTTGGAGAAATTAATTTTCTTACTGTTTACCTGAGTCTGAAGTTGCATCATGTCAGCCTCTATTTTCAGATTGGACTCATTCAGCTCTTTTATTTCATGATCCAAATGCTGCATGTCCTCACTGCCCTCAATGCCTGTCTCAAACAACAACCAGAGAAGACACTCATGAGGTGAGACCTGCACCTGCGCTGTGCTTTAGATTCACAGCATCAACAACTGGGAAAAAGGAAAAGCCAATTACAGCATTAAATATGAAGAGAACTGACTGCTAAAAAAACAGTAACAAGTTTTTAGTGTTTGTTGTTGTGTTATACACAATGTAGTCTGATGTAGTGCATTTTCAAAAAATAAGAAACAATTAGAAAGCCTGTGTTCCTTTTATAAACTGGAAGAATGTTAACCCACCGCTGCTGGTTTTGAGTTTGATGGTCATCTCCTCCCCTGAGAGCTTCCTCTTGATGCTTTGAGCATTAAGTGGACAACCTGACAAACTGGAGAGATAAAATGGCATTAAAAAGAGACAGATCAAATGAGTGAACAGTTCTTTAGACTGAGGGCTAGGTTAAGGAAAATGACTCCTACTTTCTGTTTTACTTCTTGTTTTTTTCCATTTAGGTTTAAAATGCTGGGCTTACAACAATTAACCTCTGTTGCTAATTTCTTTTGTGTGCACTTTAGGTTTGTGCTGTGTGTTATTCCTTAAGCTTAGGTTTTTGGCTTAAAATGAGAGGTATACAGTTATGGGCTCAATTTTTGATCAGATCAGTTTTACCTCCTGTGCGTGGCGAACACGTTGTTGGCATGTCCCAGGCCGTTGCAGCCAGGAAGTGGGCAGTGGGGCAGCTCCTGCTTGCAGGTCTTCCAGGAGAAGGCCATTCCATTTAGGGTGCTCTCCTTTTGGCGCTTGGCTGCAATGGGGCAACTGCCGGCGCTCCGGTGGGATGTATATTTCCCTGTGACATGACCCTGACCATCACAACCAACTACAGGACACCTAACACACGGGACAAGAAACAAACTGTTGTATTTCCCCTTGAATGAAAACCAAAAAACTGCATCAATCAAGACTGGATAAAGAGTTTTTTTGCACAATGAAGATGATCACTTTTATTCACTTTTACTTTATTATAATCAGTATTGATGTATTTAATACTAACAAAGATACAGTGATCACTTCTATATGATACACCTTCTATTTAAGATTTTATAAGTGATCAATTTACAGCATGTTTCTACTTGAGACATTCTAAGTTGATCTGTAATAAATCATATCAATTAAAGTGTTCAGCTATGGAGAAACATATATATTCTGGAGTGTTATTGTTGACCAGCATACTGTACTGTGAAAAGGACAGACAGCACCCTTTGTTTATTTTCCAGTCAAAACAGCCATTAAGCACAACTTACTCATTATTGAGGAGACATTTCTGATGAGATTAGATATAAGATAATCGACATGCATAAAGAAGAGGAAAAGGGAAAGAAAATAAGTAAAAAAAAACCCTGGAGTTTCCAAACCAAGAGTTCAAAGAAATATAAAAAGATACAGGGGAAATGGGAGTCCTAACAACCATGCAAGACCTGGCAGACCACCAGAACTGTTACCCTCAGATAAAGATCTTAAAGCTTTCATCTTTGAGATTAATCCCCACTCTCGCTTCAGATCTGAAGAATTACAGAGGTCTTTCTTTCCATTCTTCCACTGTGAGAAGACAGCTCAACACTAAGGTTCTGAAAGGATGTGTAGCTGTCAGGAAGCTGTTACTGAGAAAAGAAAGTAGAAACAAAAGAAAACTTGCAAATAAATTAAAGAAGCTGCTGGATTACTTGAACGATGAGAAGCAGATAATTGAACCATAACTCTAACTCCTCTAAGACTAACTTTAAAGGTATGGAAAAAATACCCCTGCAGATTTCTTTGAAAAACTAAAAAACAAGTCTCCTAAAAAGAACGAAAGCTTTGATAAAGGTGGCAAAAGGTGGACACTCAAAATACTGAAAAAAATGATCTTATATTTCATTGTTGAGGAATCCGTGTAATTTTCTGGTAAATGTATGTTTTCTTTTTTTCTGACACTGAAAAATTAATAACTTGGCCATTTTGACTGGAAATAAAATAAAAGAAGGGTGGTCTCTGTACTCAGTACAAATAAGCATGCTCCCAATGAACACAGTTGTGGTGGATATCATGCTATGTGTGCACATCATGCGGTGAGCACATCTATGTTTACTGTGTTTATGGAGTAACAGCTTTGGAAGCAGGCATGTAGGTTGAGGTGTGTGATCGTATGGAACGAGGTCACAGTGACAGGTTGCATTCAGAGACCTGAACGAGGCAGCTGCCCTCTGTCGCCTGTTTTCATACGGATTTCTGGGTCACCCTCCTGGAGTGCGTGCAGATGTAGCCCGACCTTTGGCCCGCTTAAATTAAAACCTCTCGCCAAACAGAAACAGATACTCTTTTGTTCCCTTCCACTCCAAATCACCACACAGTGACACGTTTATTATAGTAGATTATCTGGTGGAGGCCGAGCAGAAGCGGCATTCCGCACTCGCTTGCACTGTTATTTCATCACCGCGGTGTGCGGAAAAGCTGCCAAACATGCTCCAGCGTCGAACTAATAGCCGGAACGCAACTCCTAAAAAACCATGGCCGAACATTTGTCATTTGGGTAAGTCGCGCACATCCATAAATACCCCTTCCACTTGCTGAGCAGGAAGATTTTTCAAAAACCATTAAGAAGATTAATCCCGTGAAATGCTGATTAAAAATGTATCCAAAATAAAAAAAATAAAAAAAGAAAATCAGGCTGACATAATTCCGCACATGGAAACTCAATAATGTTTGACAGAAAAAATAAACAAAACAAAACCAGAAACCCTTGGATAAATAATTACGAGGGTGGTGGGTTAATACGATTGCTTTGGAAAATGTATAACATAAGCCTGGCAAGTTGAAGTCTGGAGTGGCGAGGAGTTGGCCAATTTATTTCGCCTCTCGCCAACACCCCCCCACCCCTGCCGGGGTCAGTAATGGAATGACATAAATTGCAGATAATTGTTGTGTGTCCTGCGCAGGGGAGGGGGAAAAAGCACATGATTTGGGGGTCACTGGCCCCTTCCCTGATAGCCCATATTGGGATAGGTGAAAGGTTATCTGGGATGGAACAAATAGCTTTGCGCAAAGCCGCATAGAAGAAGGTTGTTTTGGCCGTTTGGGTTCGTAACACAGCGGCTCTAACGAGGGAACACGGCGGCTTGAGCACTTCTGTGCAGGTAGTGGCCATACATCAGGCCGTAACACAATGGAGTCATGCCATATGGCCACCAATTTACAATAATCTGGCAACGTTATAGATGCAGTGGGCCTGTTCCCTCACACTCTTCATCCCCTCCTCCACCTCTCTCACCCCCTCTCTGAAAGTGTACGAGACCTGCTTCAGTCTAATTCCTAAGCCTCTGCCTTTGCATTAGTAATTAAAAATGAAACAGTGGCACAGATGTAAACGTAAGAAGATACTGCTGTGCTGAGTTTTGGATTGAGAGCTGCAATCAACTGCATTAGTGTCTTCCATAGTATTATCAAGAACTGCAGCTATATGGAATTATGGAGACTTTTAACAAAACAACACTTATAGAAATGTGTACATATTTGAGTTCCTTGGTTAGATTTGATTTTTTTTTGTCCTTAATAAAGGAATGACCCAAAAACACTGAATTCACTCCAATTCTCTGTTTAGAAGCATGAGATGTCTGCCTACACTCTTAAAAATAAACGTGCCAGAATTGGTTCTTTGCATGATGCCACAAAAGAACCATTTTTGGTTTCCTAAAAAACTTTTCTGTGGATGCTTCTGTAGAGAACTATTTTTGTAATGAGCAGTGTGAATGTCAATATCATTTTTAATGTTTAAAGTTGTTAAGAAACTAGGAAGAACCCTTAAATTGTCAAAGAACCTTTGTGAATGTTCTTTATACCTTTATAAGTTTCTTTACACATAAAAATCTTTTTTATGTGTGTTTGTAAATGAGATGAAAGGTGTGAGGAACCTTTTTCATGTTTAAAGAACCTCCACGTAATGTAAACGTTCTGGGAAGAATGCTTAAATTGGTAAACAACCACTACAGCTGGTGCAAAAATTGGTTAACTGTATATTGAATATATTGTAATTATTAATACATGTTACAAAAACTACACTCAAAAACAAACTAGAAACTTAAAAATAAATTTCACATAAGGAACCAATGAGGACAGGTTGAATCAATATGAAATATTTATCAAACTAGCAAAACACTATGACCATTCGTTTCTGAAGGTGACCTAAATATTCACTTCACAATTGTCTAAGCAATTTTCAATTTGTCTGCTACATACTAAGAAGTTATCAACAATGGTATATGCTTTTATGAGGTTAAATATGAAGCTTACTTTATGTCTGGCTCCTCCTTCTCCTCTTTGCTAGGTGTGAGCTTCAGGCTGCCTTTTCTGGCACGAGGACATCCTGACAAACTGGACAAGAAAATAACATGTCAGTCTTAGGACAAGTTCAGTTGTGGAGAGGCATGCAAGGAGAAGATATCGCTATTTGGTCTTAACCAGACAATTAAGGCTGGCTGTTTTCTCGTTTAAAAGAGGTCATGACCTCATCGGTCTGAAAATGTCACATTGTATTTCATCACTTCAGTTTTTTTATATGTTAAAATATCAATTATTAGCCACAGTCAGATCATTTTTTATATTGTATTGCTCATCATGCAAGTACATCGGAATGTAAAGAAATTCTGGCAACACTTTACTTGAACCCTGCTACTTAGTATTGACATGACCATGACATAAACCCATCAGGAGTTGTCATGATAGATTTTGTTCAGCAGTATAACAGGGTCAGGTTACCATTAGCAGAGATTGTCATGACAGATGTCACAGTGTTTGGTGTCATGACAGCTAACTAGAGTACACTAGAAAAATTAGCAAGTGACATCAAACATTATGGCATCTGTCATGGCAATTACCGGTAATGGTAACTTGACACTGTTATAACTATCATGACGTCTGCTATGACATGTTTATGGCATAGTTATGTCAAAATTATGTAGCAAGGTTAAAAAAAAAAATGCTGCCCTTACGTCATTTCACACTGGTCAGAATTGCTGAAAAAGCTGTAAAACCTCTACAACAATTCTCCTAAGTGTGTGTGATGTTGGAAAGGTGATTTTGGGAAGTTGGCTACTCACACCCACCTCCGATGAGAAGCATAGTTTCCTGTCACATGTCCTGAGCCATCACATCCAGGAGTAGGGCACCTGTTAAGAAGAAAAAAGTGGAGAATATGTGAAAAACATGACAGTATGTTTAGACCAGAGGTGGATTTAGTGATTCTGGGGAGCTAGGCAAAAGACAGGAATGGGGCCCTCTGAAAGCACATTTTTAAATTAGTTGAGGGGTTCCTGAGTGGACAACTGTCTACAATGCAAAAAATTATACCTTGGCAGGTGAAATCATCTTAAATGTAGTCAATATATATTACATTTCTCATTTTGAGATTATTGCAAGAATATTATAAGATTATTTGAGTTTTTTTTTTTCATTTTTTTATTGAAGTAATTTTATTACATTTAATTATCTCACTGTATTGGCAAATCATTTTTTTGCTTGTTTTAAGAAATACTGCTTGAAACAGCAAAACGATCTGCCAATATAGAAAGAATTAGAGTTAGAATGAGTAATAAAATTCCTTTTCCAGGAAGTAATAAGTAATGTAATCATTGCTTTTTATTGAATAACTACCCCAATGCTGGAAATATCTTTACTGACATTAACATTAGCATTTGGTACAGTCTGCTGAGCTTGTGCAGCTGAAAAGTCAGCTTTGGGACTATATCAACAAACCTTTTGCCTTCCTCACTCTTTTTGAGTTTCTCTGCTGCACTTGGGTCACTTTTCAACTCCCAGAAAAGTCCTTTCCATAATGATTCCAAAATGTCATTTGACCAGGGGTGCCCAAACTTACGGGACTGTATATGTCTAAACCAGTATTAAATAAAGCTTACTTCAGTTCCTGTGCATTGGCAGCCATCAGTGATTTGAGGGTCTTGTCAGCTAATGGGCATCCTGATATACTACAAAATACATTGAAAAACAGTATTAATGGATTTACAAGATTTGTTGTCTCATCTTTGTATCAGTAAAACAAGTACTGAGACCATATCACACACTTTTTTTCATTTATTAGCTTATGTACTGCATAAAAATATTTACATCCATTTTTTTAGGTATTTAGGAAGGTAAAATGGGAATTCCACTGATTTTTCAAAATGTCTATATAACTAAATGGTTGAGATGTAAACAAAGTCATTTAGAGTGGTTTGATGGGAAATACTCCATTCTAGAGAAATGTGGCTACATAAAATGGCTACATTTGCATTTTAAGCATTGTGACCACCGGTTCTTATCACCACCACTGTAAAACAGTCTGAGCCAGTTTCGCTACAATGAACCACTGAACATCAAACCACCCTGACCGGTGGTGTCAACCATTGAATTATACAATTTTTTTTTTTTATCCTGGAATTTCCCCTTATAATCTTGTTTGTCTGCTGTGGCATGAGCTCAATGGCTACTCCCAGACACAGAATATATGTGTCCTTCAAATATATCATGTATCTCCAAAATGGTAACTTCACAGGAGAAGGCAAAAAGTGTGTAAAGTGGTTTTATTCTGAGTGATTTTGGAACATTTCTATTGATCCATTCATCAAAAAAATGTAATGCAATGTAAAGGGCAGCTGCTGTGTTCAAATTATGCAGAAAAATAAAAATCGACAAAATGGAGATACATGGGTTTTTCTAGACAGTGATGATATGATATTGTATCTATGCAGTATTTGGGCATTAAACTTAAGTAAACATCAGCATTTTTTATCATAGAAGAGCTGAAAGGGAGAAGTAAAATGAGGGTATGAGCACATCAGTGTCTCTTCAAAAATAAACTGGGACTCTTCTAAGCACAGTTCCCTTAGGAGTACATTACATGGACTGAACCATGGAAACAAATAGAAAAAGTCTAGAAAAGGTTGCATTTGTTATGAGCGATCCATGTATCTATAAGAAAGTCCATTCAAATGTGATTTTGGGAAGTAATACTGATTATAATCAATTATTATAATGCATGTTCGATAAAGAATGTATTCATTTTAGGCCAAAATGCTCAGGTCCATTTCACAAGTGAAAATAAAAGTTTTCCACTACTGTGTAATTAGTTTCTCCAGCCACATTTGTGTTTTCACAATTTTGACACAGATTTCACCATGCTTTCAGAACTGTAATCAAATCAAATTGCTGTGAGGTCAGATTGCCAATAGCATCACATTCAAAACATGAATCACTTCAGGTGTCCTTGCAAGTGCTTCAGCTTCACTTAGCTCATTTAGCTGTTGTGAGTTAAGAGGGCAGAGTAATGAATAGAGTGAGGCATGGATGAAAAAACTGATAAACTGATGTTCACCAAGAATCTTCTCTTACCTTCTGTGTGATGCATAATTTCCTGTCACATGGCCACTCCCATCACAGCCTGGTGTTGGACAACTATCATGCAGAACATATAATAGACATGTAAGCTTAACAATCTCTTAAAAACAGCAATCAGATGTCTCATAAAAATGAAACCAGGGAGGTTGTTTGAGTTACACAGTCAATATTAATTGCTACTGCATTGTATCATGAGGTGACACTTCTCTATTTAAATGGAAATGTGTGGTGTAAATGAAGTCCATATAATGATTAATTTTTCTGAGTAAGAAGGCTTAAAAAAGAATTCTGTGCCAGTGTGTGTGTCCGCACCTCATCAGTTCTTTCTTAGTGTCTCTTATAAGCATCTTGTTCTTGGCGCTGCTCATGCTTGTGTCCCCGGAGAACACTTTATCCTCAAGTGACATCCTCTCCTGCTGCTCCATCTACAAGATAACCAACATCACATAGAAATTCTAAGCATGTTGTGAAATTATCTGAAGGAAAATTACAGTGGAACCTGGAAAATGGCATCTGGTAAGCTTGCCAGCTGTAGCGGCCCGAGCGACGTTTGACATTGCTTCAGCATTACTGCTAAACTCCTATTACTAAACCGTATATCCATTTGAACTCTCTTTTAATCCCTTGTAGTATTTATTATGGGTGTAAAGCCTTCAGATTGACTTCCTTGTTATTATTTTTTTAAGAAAATATCTAAGAGCACCAGATGTCAGGAGAGGAATCAGACAGCTGATTGACGGCTGTGTTAACTGTCTGGTTTTGTTAGTCGATACCAAGGAGGATCAGAATTATCAGCTTTTCAGGAACATTCTTCCAATTTCTTTTCAGTCTGATTTAATGCTGTACTGCCATATTGCTTGGCACACTACAAGGTTTGCTTATGAATGACTTTTGCAGAAAGCACATAGGTTTAAACACATAAGTCTGTATGTAAGAACACATGAATTGCTTGTATATATATAGGCATTTATAAATGCTTATGTCAACAACTAGAGGCAGTGTTATCATAAGGATCTTAAACTACTGTGTTATCATTTAGGCTTATATAATTTATTTTTTGAATATCATACTGTTCTGTAGGTTCAGGACTTGGGCTGCTTTGCTGTTGTTCACACCTCTTACTTTTGAGCTTTAGCATTTTTTTAGACCAAAAGGATTCCAAAAAGAGAAGACTATCTCCAGACAAACTTATATTTAAAAAAACAAAATGATTAAACTTATATTTGAAAGTTCTATGAAGAACTTTGTACTTGTCTCATTTTTTTGACTCAACTTGTTAGCTCCTTGTACTTATTCCACAATACTTTTACTTGAGTGCCCTGCCTAATGCAAACCTTAAAATTCAGTCTTTGAAGTTAAAAGCGGATGAAAATACAACATGTACAATGCATGGTTAGATTACAATTGCTTCATACTTCTTTGTCCTGCTGAAAAGGTGCTTTGCTGAAGTTGAGTGGTGTGTCCCAGCCCTCCTGCTCATAGACAGCTCTATAGAACGATGGTGAAATCTGCAGGCCTTCTGCTTTGGCTAGGGACGACTCGGGAGAAGTGAAGACCGCTTCGTCTAAAGCAGGCATGACTGGAGATTCCACAGTCTTCTCCTTCTTCTTCTTCATGCTAAGGTCCAGAGTACCATTCTCATCTACCTCAATCATGGAGTCCTGAAAGACAAGCGGAAAGATATAAGTTATGATGAGTTAATGAGATTATCTTTTCTAGATTATCTTCTGTATAAGATGCCGTGCATCGATGATTGCATGATGCAATTCTCTTACGAAAAAGACACACCCATTAACGTTCATTTACACATTAAAGGCAATGCTTCTTTAAGATTAAATAATGTATGTATATGATAGTGTATATATATATATATATATATATATATATATATACACACACACACACACACACATTATATATGTGAGTGTGTGTGTGTGTGTGTGTGTGTGTGTGTATCACAAAAAAGTGTACAGAAAGCACTGCTGACAGTGGGAAGGAGGGCATTTAGGCCAGTCAAATATAGAGAAAGGCACATAAAAGATTATGAATGAGATATGAGCTATGATTATTAAAGAAAATTGTTTTTGTTTCCATTTTATTTTTATTAAACAGTGCTCAGTTGCTTAAATGGGCAAGCATCTCTGTGACAGCAAAAATCATTTGAGCTGTCTGCAATTTTCACCTGTCCATAATTTAGCTGTGCATTTTTGTACTTGAGTGTACAATTCACTCAGTAATGCAGGACCTACTCAAGTCAAGTCAATGCAACTATTAAATCGGTATTTACATTTTTTTCAAGTAATGCTATAAATTAGCAATTTGATTTCACTTCCATCATAATTCTTCAACTAAATATAAACCACTATAGAAGAATTTAAATAAATGCAACTGTATTAGAAATTGCCATGGAATTTTTGTGTGAGTAGACTGGTACGACCAATATAATGAGATTTTCTCCTTCACTTTTTCAGGGACAGCTGTACTGTCTGGTTTCTAGGACACATAACCAAGATGGCAGCTGCAGATGATGCTTCTAGGTCATTGGCATTAATACAAATTAAAACGCTTAACATTGCTTAATGTCTAAGTTTTCTCGTCAACAGCTGCGTCAGTTGGTGTTGATGTGGCGAATAGAGGGGAATGTGAAACATGAGTTTTACATGTTAATCAACTAAAAGGGAATTAAAGTTAATCAGTTAACATTAATAGATAAGATGTAAAATGGAGACACCATTTTACCATAAAAGGACACAGAGCAATGTCTCATTAATAACATTATTGTTTCTCTTTTTTTCACAGTCAGAAAAAGTAACCACATGCTTCTAACATTTAACAAAAATGTTTTATAGGGCTAAAAAGCTTTACCTTAGTTTGTGTTTCAGCACTTCTTACTGATCCCTCTTTTTCTGACACTTTGTTGGAACTCAACAAGCTTGTATGGTGTTTGGAGAAAGAGAGCGACTTGGCACGAGGCGCTGCCAGTCGAGATACTTAAAATGCATACCGACATTTCGAGGCAGACGTCCACAGATGACAGAGCAGCTAACACTGTTTTATTCATGCGCTCAGTTTGTACAGTACCTGCTCTCTCTGCCCACTGAAGGCTGGGCCTTCAACGCAGGCCACTTGCTGTGTAGGTGTCTTGATCGTTTCTCACCACACTTCCGCTAGCTCCTCTCCACATCGAGCTTCAACTCGCTGAACCCTCGCTCACAAAGGCCGAGGAGATGTTTTTTGATGGACTGGTGAATTGGTCTCCATAAGCCGAGTGTAAATACAGTACTGTGCAGAAGTCAGAGACCACCCTTCATTTACTTCATTTCCAGTTAAAGTGCTCATTATGTACGTTATTAATTTTTCAGGAGATATTTTAGAGGAAATCAGATAAGCCACTAGTTTCCAAAACTGGAGTTAAAAAAATGATTAAACGATACAGAAAAAATGGAACTCCTAACAACTATGCAGGATCTGGTAGACCACCAAAACTGTCTCCATCAGATAAACAGTATTTGAAGATTTCACCTTTGAGAGACAGTAGAAAATCAAGCTCCTCTCTTGCTTCAGATCTGAAAAAATCCACAGGTGTTTCTGTCCATCCTTCCACTTCTCTTTGATAAGACAACGCTATGGGTCTGAAAGGATGTGTAGCTGTTAAGAAGCTGTTACTGAGGGAAATAGACAAAAAAAGGAAATCTGCAAATCAAACTAAATAGCTACTGGTGTTCTCAGAACAATGGGCTGGCCACCCCAGTTGAGTCTAGACCTCAACATAACTAAATGCATTTAGGATTACTTGGATCATGAGAAGCAGGAAATGCAAAAAGCTTCTAAGAGTGAACTTTGGAGGTGTGGAAAATATTCCCACAGATTTCTTGTGAAAAGAATGGAAGCTGTAATAAAAGCAAATACACAATAATTACTGAAGAAAAAATATATTTAGTTACAGAGACTTCTGTGTAAATTTCTGTTGAACATATGTTTTCTGCTTTTTCCTGATGCTGTGAAATGAATGACTTGTACTTAATGTCTGTTTTGACTGGAAATTAATTAAATGAATGGTGGTCTCTGGCCTTTGCACAGTACTGTATATCTAGGATTCTAAGTGTGATGTACTTCTCTGTCTATTGTTCATTCTTTTTTATTTGGAGTGCGTATATGTATCTGTGTTAATTTCATCTATTGATGTATTGGCTTTTAGGAGGATTTAATCTTGAGATTAAAAGGCTCTACTGTAACACATGGACTGTAACGCCACACATGTACGAGGCGAAAGGTTTATGTAGAGGAAAACGTAATGGCACACATGGAGTCTTCCGTTATTTAATTTGAATAAAAGAGTTCTGCCGATAAATCCCTCATCTGATTGGTTTAATCCAACTTCGGTAGATGGTCTGTTAGAGATGGATGCTAAGGGTTGATCTGACCAAGCTTATCCTGGATAATATTTTACTTAGCAAAATATCTTCTGCCATCTGCAGCTGAGAGAAAAACACACGCGCACACACACACATACACACACACACACACACACACACACACACACATAGACACTCACACACACACTCACTTTCCTACAGCCACGAGACCCCCTTGCATTACCATAAAAGTATAAATCAAATGCCTCGCCACATGTTTTACAAAAAGCCTCCTAATTGTAATTGAGAAAGAAGGCCTGATTGTATTCTCCCCAACTCCTTTTGATGTGATTACACAAATTCTCCTTTGTGTACATTAAAGCTTTAGGGGCACGGAGGGGAGAAAAAAAAAGAAAAAAAAAACTCTCTTGTTGTTCTGCCACCAGAGACACACAGTTCTCAGTGCCAAAAAAGTGTCTTTTGATGTTCTCTCCCTCCTTTTTCATACACAAATCACAGTTGCCTCAGAATGACCACATTAAATACCTTTTTTTTTCCCCCGAGTGGTCTAATTTGATTACCTTTGTGGACTGTGCCAGGGGCCGGGCGGTAGGATGGGCCTCGCCGTTGTCCCGGTAACGGGTAGAGAGGTTCAGGATGGCGGCAGCGGCTGTGCTGGACTGGAGGGCGCTGCTTGGGGCTTTAGGGTGTCCAGGGCTGTGGACCCCAGGCATGGCCACACGACTACCCGGACCCAGAAAACAGGGAAATTGTGAAGCAGCTGAAAGGGAGAGAGAGAGAGAGAGAGAGAGAAAGAAAGAAAGAGAGAGAGAGAGCGCTAAGGGTTAGATCTTGTTCAGAAAGAAACATTCATAGAATATTCATTTTATTTACCGTTGACACTGTAGTCTTATAAAAATCATGCAATTTTTTTAAACCTGTTAAAGAAAGGAGATGTGTATAAGATGTGTATAAGGGTTTAAGACTAATTTCTGACTTTTTCCATCTCTTCTGATGCTAAACAATAACAAATGCATTGCACAAATGTAAAAGACGTTTTTTCTTCTAGTCAAATTCAGATCATAAATAGAATAAAATATCCCCTCTTCTACTTCTACTAAGTTGGTATAGATTTAAGTGTAGATTTAAGAACGTGCACTTTAGAAAGAACTTCTCTGCTTGTTTCAAGGAGATATAAGTGATATATAATTACTATCAAATTACACCATGCTTTTGATATCGCCAGTGATAAATGTGATTCCTAAGGGTAAATTAAAACAGAAAGATGATACAGGTAAATACAGTCCTTTGGCTTTGCTAGCCTTTATATTAGCAGCAAATTTAAAGTAAATGTGGCACAAAAAAAAAATGCAAAGAATGCAAAGGCAAAGAAGAAGAAAAAAAAACTGCCATCACAGAACATAAGATACACTAAGAGTACAAGTTGTCCATGTTTGAAAACTCACAGTCAGGGAGATGCGAGGCCTCTTGGCTCTGATCTGGTACCATTTGTGCTTGCTTGCCGAACACCTGAGCATCAAAACTGGCATAGTCGAAATGGCCCTTGCTGAACTTGTCCATCTCTTTGGCCATGCCAGCCTGCAAGGCAGCCACAGGATGAGCAAACCGATAGGCCAGCTGACTGAAATCAAACTTCTTCATCTGAACCAACGGTCTGGAGTGAAGGAAAAGAGGAGATAACAGTTTTAGTCACTGTTTACAAAGCATATTATAAAACACCATTACTTCACTATTTCACTGCCAATAGAACACCTGTACTAACCAACTAGACCTGCAGTCATCCATCTATAGACCGATGGGCTCTTCTCAAGACTAATTTGAACGTTTTAAGGGATGACTTCAAAAATCTTAAAGAGGAATGTATGCGGGGAAAAAATTATATTAATATATTAATATATATATTAGTATATTAATATATATTAACAAGCTAAATAAAAAGATGGCTCCTAGATAGACACTCTTTTGGGGCTATTCATTGAACAGATTCATCCCAGACCAACATTGTGAAGTCCCCGCTGTAACTACTTCAGAACAAAACCTAGTCGCGAATGGTGTCTGAAAAACAAGTAAAGATTTCTTACCTTGCCATCCTGTCTGAAGTCTGCCTACATTTGGACAGGTCGTCTTGTGGTTTACAGACTTTTTCTGCTGCAGCGATTGGGCAGCCTGAGAGACTGCAACAATAAAACAGGTGTAATTTAGCACAGGAATTTATGCAAACACTTAATACACAATAAAATGTTCCATTTAACCTTATTTTACAAAGACACTTTAGCTGGAACTGAAAGGGAATTACAATAATATTTTTTTTTTCCTTTTTTTTATTGTTAGTCACTATATAATTTGAAAAGCTCATTGTTTCCTGCTTTTTAATGTATTATAATACTTAAATATGTTTACTGTTTCAAAACATGTCTATCATAAACACAAATGCATCACAAATAAAAATATATGGAGCGTCCTTTAAAATTAGGTGAGCCATTGTGCGAGCTACATGCTGTGATAAATGACTTGACTCTTGCTGGACACATAAAACATGAGGTAGTTTAAATAGCAACAACACTGCCACCATAGCCATAAATGCCATTTTGGCCAAAGCTCAAAATGTGCAGCTGTTTGGAGCCTTATTTTTGTTTTGTTCTGTTTTAATCAGGCATACCTCCGGTGGGTGCTGCGGTTACTATTGACATGACCTCTTCCTGTGCAGCCTGGGGTCGGGCACTTCAACACATTTTCATGCATGGCTAGGACTATGGAATGAAGAACACAACTGAGTTTACATGAACAAAATGAAACCTTAATATATACATTCATACAGCAAGTATATTTATATACAATTTGTACTTTCACACTGCCCACTTAGAAACAGCTACTTTGTACTTCCAACCACTGGTCACTTTATTACATCCACCTACCCTATAGGTCCACTAAATAGGCATGCAATTAAAGATTAAAGACTGTAGACCAATTTGTCAAGCACATTTTTCACTTTCATGAGAAAAAGTCAGGACTAAAAATTTCCATTTAAATGGTTTCATTAGTTTTAAGTCAGTAAGGCTTCATAGAACTTTGTATAAGAAACTCATGTTATGCCAGTAAATGTGAGTATAGTTAACTCAGTCATTAGTTAGGCAGACTAAATCTCTTTTCAGACCATTACAAGATTTACATTATATTACAGTCAACATGAACTGGAAATTATAATGCATTTTCTGTGACGTATTTCCAAGTGAATCTGAGGGTCTGTTCAATGATAGGTGGGGGTGGTGGGAGCAGAAAGTAAAACATGATTGGTTAATATTATTTTCCCTGGCACTAGAAATATTTTAAGGAAATGTCAGTTAGTTTCTCTACAATGCACCATTTCTCTGAATGATTTTGCATACATCTCAATTATTGTTACGCAGAAAGTTTAAAAAAATAAAAGTTTACTTTTCTCACCAGTAAGTCAGTATAACAAAGTTTAATTGAGTAATGCTGGCAAAATGAAGTTTTAAATAAGGTGATTAATAACTTTTTATAGTGTTGTTGACCAGATATTATTTGGGTGAAAGATAATTCTCAGCACAGAAGTGACACTAACATGGTAATGTGTGTGGCTGGCACAAGAACAGTTATGTGCCCAGAAACTGACCACTGAGAAAGGACATAAGTATGGCTAAAACAACAGATAAGCTCTTGAAATCTGTAACTGAACACCAGCAAGATGGTGAAATAAAGTAGGGGTTTCTAATAAAGTGGGTGGAGAATGCATGTATACATACTATAGCTGCAGTATCATTGGAACGTTGCGGTAATCAGTGATTTTCAAAACTGCATATTTAACATATATTGAAACTATGTGGGCAGTCTATTGAACACAGCATTTAGCTGTGTTTCGGCATTGAGAAACATGAACCAACTTGTAGATTATTCCCTTAACAGCAACAGTGACTTCACAAGAACAGGTTACTGCTCTTCTCTTTTTGCCACCAGAAAGTCTATTACCCTTTCAAATATCAACAAGAAAACAGACCATGCCTACAAAAAAGTAGCATTTGCTGTTTGGGACACACATGTAGTTAAAGTCCTATCCAGTATCCTTAATAACTTTTCTCTTTTGTCCATATTTTTCAATTAGTTTGGAGGATGTGTCCGTTCACTTATTTCGAAATGCTACATCCGCTAGTCCTTTGATTTGTGGAATGCTGCTGCTGCTCTAGGAGTGCACGCTTTCATACTGAAAACCCTTAATTACATTTGCTGTTCCTTTTGTTGTGTCCCTGTTTAATGGTGAATGTTTGTGTTGTTTTCAAATGGCAAAAAAAAAAAAACAGCGAGAGGGAAAAAAAAGTGTTTCCACACCATGATGCTGATTTGCATACCACAGTAAATCAAAAGCAGTGGACAAAATTCAGCGCGGACTTTCAGAAATGATGAATGTGTTCTAATTGTTTTTACGTAGTGCCTTCTGTGCATCCTCTTGCTTTAAATATACTTCATTTAGACTAAATGTAACATCAGAAACATAACTGTAAATAAATGTAACGTTATAATGTAATTAAAATTGTAATAACAAAATTAAATGGCAAATGTGTCAATGCAGTATTTCATCATGTTGTTGTTTTTTTTTTTTTACACTGCTGAGAATCGGCAGCTGCCCTTCACATAATGTGAACATTTCATAACCAGTGGACTAACAGCAACGGTCCAAAATTACTCCAGATATACAAAGATATACATTTTTGACAGTGATGATATACAAAAGCATTTTTGTTTTTGGATATTATCTCATTGAATGTGACATTACTTCATGGCTGATGCTGAGACAACATTTTCTCACAGCATACTTTGTCTTATATATCTTATAGTTGTGAGGAATTACGTTCATTTGTACGAAATCCAATGAAATTACTGCAAGGATACGCTCGGCAAAAGTGGGACCTCAGGTAAGCTGGGACGAATAAGCTTAATACTGCATTGTGTAGGGTGCGTAACTTTGTTCAAAGATCAAATATGTCCAAATAAAAACTACATTCACTAAAGGTTTAACGTATACATTTAGAAGGATTGTGACAACTCATTACATTACAAATGGTTAGAGCATAAAGCTTTTAGGAGAGTGACCTGGTGCATTTACCCAAAAGTAAATGTTCATCCTACATAACTGCAGAAATTAGAGAATTTTGTGCTGTATATAAAACCGCTTAGTGGACTAACCAGTAGACTAGTAAAGATGCCCTAGAATCAGTAATAACTAGAGAAAAGCAATGCTGTCACTCACTCTCAGGAGGCACTCGAACTTTGTGGGGGCATCCAGACAAGCTTCTGTGATGGGGGTACAGTCCAGTCACGTGACCCGTGCCGTCACAGCCTGGCGTGGGGCACTTGATGTCTTTCTTGTCTGTCCGTGGAGATTCTGTAGGATGACACAAACATAATTTTTCAACAGCAAAAAGATGCAAGATTTTCTTTGAAAATCTGTGGCAAAACTAATATCCCGCACTATACACTTGGACCATATACACTGCACCATATGCTCTGAAAAGCATGTTGGGTCAGACTGTGTGTATTAATCTGACATTAGTTAAGGCTGGAATCTCACACGGGCCATTGCTTTCTTAGTCCAGATACACAGAAAGATTAGCCTCAGGGATTACCCATTAAACAGCACTCAGTTGAAGAATCAACGTCAAACACCAGAGGTACTTTAGGAGGATTTATGACTTATACCCAGGGTTAAATATCTAGCTGATGCCTATCAAAATCCAATATTACAAGCTGCAGAAATGCCATCAGAAGATTTTCTTCTTTTTTTAATACTTTTTTTCACAGACACACTAGTTATTTACTACTTCACTTGTTGCCAAAATGTTTTTTAGTATTTAAGAGGATTTTGTTCATCTACCCCTCAGAGTAAGAATGTGTCTCGTCCTCCCACCCCCAGCCCCCCATTTGTTTCTGCACTAAAGCTGAAAGTGGTCATTCTTGCAGTTTAATGGGTGACTGTACAGTGTTTAACATACTATGTGTAGAGCATAGTGCTATGGAGGTCCATTGTCTGGGTATGTTTAATGAAGCCAGGGGGAATCATGCGCAGGGTGAAAGCATCCTTTACACTTGCAGGGCATGTAACTGGCAACAAACTAATTTGATTACAAATGATGTCTTAGAAATTTAGTAACTTGTTCAGAAGAAAAAAACAAGCAAATGGTAACTACTGCAGCATTTCTCTGAAACCTCTGTACTATAATGTGTTTATTTCATTTAAATTACAATGTACATTGTTGTGTATATCATGTTTCATAGTCATATAACAATAACGAAGGAAACGGGACTTTCGCAATAGTAACACAAAATTGAACAGGGATTTGTTTGATACTAACACGATTAAAATACAGCTAGAACAACTGCTGTTCTTGTTTATGTAATCAATATATTACTGTTACTAAACCTTGTTACTCTACAGAACAAAGAAGATTTTTACCTAAGTTATCATATATTTTTCTTGTCATTTTTAAAGTTCACTTATGTCATTTGTTTCATTTTATGTACAAAAAACTGATGTCATTAATTTTAACATCACTATTTCCAAGCTCTCTTTACCTCTTAGAATTAATCATGCCGTTTATGTTTCTGTGCCTTTAAGGCTAATACATGTAAATGATTTCTGTTCTGATTGGCTGCCCTGTATTGTGCCTCATTCCAAAAAAATTCTTGACCACTCTTCTTTAACTTCAGCATGAATGATTGAGCTAAAATGCTGTAGCCTGAATATGAATATGTACACAAAAACAAAGAATTCAGAATGGGTTGTTTTTGCAGCTTCTCTCCCATCGACTGTATGGACTAGTGGGTTGAGTGGTATTTTTTAAAATAATAGTGTCTACATACTACATCAAACTCCTTTATTAAAAATTGTATGGTATGTTCACACCATATAAAGTTGTCATAAATGGTGTAAAATCAAAAAAACAAAACAAAAAAAACAAGGTTTTAATAATATAATATTCTGTGTCCAACCTTTGCTGCTGTGGTAAGCGGCCCGAGGGTCCATCTCCAGCAACCTCTGCTGCCTCCGCTCGTGGTTGACCTGTTCTAGGAAGAAACGGTCCATGTCCCTGTAGGCGCTGTGGAAGACCTGCCTGTGCTCAGACTTCAGGGCCATGGCCTGCTCCAGGAGACTGAGGTTGAGCCTCGCACGGTCCAGCTCCAGTGGCCGGGCAGCCAGGCCCAGCCCCCAGCCGGCCAGTCTTTCGTCCAGCCTGGGCACCTGCGGCTCATCCTCACTGTCACTCAGCTCTCTGCTGTAGGTGAAATCCTCCATCAGCAGGCCACCTCGGTTCACATACATGGAGAGGGCCTGGTGTCCCATGCGGGGTCTCCTGGGAAGGCCGTCGTCTACAGGGCTGGGGCTGCAGTGGATGCCATTGGCCAGCAACAGAGGAGGTGGACTTGTCCATCCGCCTTCCTCCTCCATGTCAATGTCTGGGCCTTTTTCTGGAGATGGGTCACCAAGTCCGTCCAGGCTTCTTTCAGCAAAGTCTTGGTCCACCTGCTTCTCATCATACTCATTCTGTGAGTCAGAGAGCTGAGCAGGTAGGGCAGGTGACCCTTCACTGGTGCGTTCTGAGCACGATAGGGAACTGTGGGACTTGGCTCTGGCATCGGGGTGAATGTGGTTGAGAAGAACATCACTACAGTCCAGATCTTCATCTGGAAATCAAAAGCACAGTACAGTTATTATCTGCTAGGTATCACAAAAATACAAATATAAAAAAACTCTTGCATTATTAACAGGGGTAACGCACTACATGTAACACTTTTTCTGTAATGAAGTTGTGCAATGCATTTAATGCAGTTTAAATTCTTGTCACATTACATTAACTGACAATAAAAATTATGTTGTGTAGCTCAAGTCTCTAAGAAAATATTTGTGTAGCTCATGTCTCTGAATAATATTAATCACATGCCATGCATGTAAATCAGAACTTTGTGTAAACATAGATTGCTTGTACCTTATATTTAATTTGTGTGCACATGCACTACATTTTATTTTGACTTTTATTGTGAATATGATAAGCACAGCTTGGACATGGGAAGCACCATAAACCCGAGAAATGAGAAATCTGTTAATGCATCTAATTACACTAGTATAAAAAAGATGAATAAAAATCCTTGTGCTAAAGAAGAGAAAGCCCAACCTCGCCTTAACAGGACAGACTTTTTAAATTCAGTAGCAGCCCTGTAAGCTTAACATTTTATTCAGAAACATTTCATTTCAAGGCAGCTGTTCACAAACTATGTCTACTTATTAGTTTCTTTGTTTTCAATGTTAGCAGTTCATAATTAAACATAATTGGCTCTGTTTTGTTCAAAGGTAGTAAGAGTGATGGCTTTAAAGTGATGTTTATTGTGATTGGCTATTTCTTTCTAATAAGTTACTAATAATGTTAACTGTTTTTTCCATGTGCAGTTGGTATGAATGTATAAGGAATTTACAGAGCAACACAGTGTATTAATCAGTTATTAATCATTATTATGGAGTGACTACTGTAAAACTACTATGTAAAGTACAGACATATGCAAAATACCATGTTTTGTTGATATACACAAATTATAACATGTATGTAGTTACAAGAGGAGTAGACAAATAGCACATAGCACAACATTATATTATGACATGTCAAAGTACCAATAGTATAGTAGCAATTCATTTCTCAGTCGAAACGAACATGAACTGGAAATATTTACAAGACTAAGTTAACATTATGGTATCAGTTCAATATTAAGCAAAATGTATAAAAACATACAATGTAGAACATTCTCTTCTTTCATTTAATTCAGAAAGACTTCAACTGCTCTGAAGTCCAAATCACTTCACATTTACTAAACACCAGACCATCATCCAGCTTCAATTCTTTCAAACATATTTTCCCGAAATCCCCCAGCAGTAATCAACAAAAAACAAGAGCTAATACAAGACTCTTAGATTGTTTTTGCCTCTTAGATTTCCACAACTGAATGTGAATACTTGACACAGATTTGGATTAAGAAAAGGAAAACATTAGATGCGACATCGGACATGAATTTTAAAATACAAGTACAGGCTTGGCAAGGCAGGACAAGAAATGAGGTTTTGTTACTGACTTTAAAGTTAAAAAAATACAAATGAGAACAGGCTTTCAGAAATATGCATGTAAGAGCAAAAAGAGAATGTTGAGATGTTAAGAAGATAAAAACATCCCTCATGTCCTAAATGTTACAAGAAAGCATTTGCTCCTTATCCCAAGACAAACATTCAATAACACTTGGGATTAAAAAGCAGACACAATAGTCAAAACCTAGATTGTAGTGTCATCATGGATACCTATAGTTCAAAATATAAATCAGCACACAAACAGTCACTGTGCATTAAAATAGGCAGAAGTGTGTTCTCTGTAGAGGAAGTGTACCTTTCTAAGTGAAAATCAACAAATCATGTAATTTTACCAGAGGTGCCCAAACTTTTGGGAAAATTCTTAGATGATGTTGGTATGAGTATATGATACCAGAAAACAGATAACTAAAAGCTTGTTCTACTTGAATATGTTTAACTATAGAAAAAGTCTGTGTTACGTTTTATCCCACATTAGGTCATGCCCCTCTCCCATGTAAGATTCTGATGGGACTGTATGACTATGATAATGACTGTAAGCACAATAGCTTTTTTATCAAATTCATATAGTTTCTTCTACTTACAAATACAAATGTGGTATTAATTGAAAGTTTAGAATCTGCACATTCAACATAATTTCTCTGCTTGTTTCAATTAGCTACCAATGAGATATAATTGACATCAAATTATAACATGCTTTTGTTATCACTGGCAAAAACTTCTAAGTGTTATTCTCAACTTTCAAAATTCTAATCCTAACCATCAAATGAGCTTCATTCAAGCTTCAGCTTCAAAATCATTTGTTAATGATTTGAGCCTCTGTAGATTATCTAGAGAAGACTATCCAGATTGGCATCCATACAGATTGCTTTACTGGGTGGTGAGTAGCATGATACTGTGTACTTTAATACTACAAAACATAAAATATCATATAATGCTGAGTTAGGTTAGCACTTCATAAGTCATTTCTGACATGCTTGCTGACATATTATCAGGCTGTATCATTTATTTTTATTGGGCCAGACAGATTGGACCTCTTAGCCAAACAAATCTCCTTTAAATGACTCTTTAGAATCGAAACAAGCCCTGATTATTATAAGTCATGGTCAATGATTAACAATGGAAAGCTATCAGCTGGATTGATTCAAAATCCATTACTGATCTCAGAAAAACCTCTGAAACTTCCTTTTGGGTTAAAGCTCTTTGGCTGGGAGGATTTTTTTTTTTGAAGTCCGAATCACTCATGAGTAGGCGATGGATCTATCCTCTTAGAGTCTTTCCATCAACCAGCCAACCATACCCAACCGCTGCGACCGAGAGCAACATGATTGGGTTGATTAGGTATTATGGCATCATTTTTCATTTATTTATTTTTTTTGGGGGGGGGGTTTGGGTGCTCCTATAAAGATAAATCCGAATGGAGGCATTAACAGACTGCTACTAGTCTTTAAGAGGGCGCACAGTAGCCCCCGAACTTAATCCCCACCCAAAATCAGCACTAAATGGGGATAGAAAGCTTGCTAGCGCTCAGAATTTCAGCATTTTCCTGCCAAAAAAAGGCAACTGAGCTTTAGAGGAGTTGAATGTGCTTTTCTGATTTACTCAGAGCGTGTCGAAACTGCAGCGTACAGCACGCAGAAGGTTTTATACAGAGGCTTTACCAATAAGGGGCATATTGATAGCACAAAAAATGCTTTGAAGAGGTAACATTTTGACACAGTTCAAATACTTGCAAATTGCATTTGAATATTCGTAAAGCTTGTTTAGTACAACCATGCTGTTCATGAAAGTGGACAACTATAGACAGAAGGTTTATACTAAACAAGCAACACAAATACACATGCAAACAAAAGACAAACATTAATGTCAGTGGTGTAACTAGGATCTTATGGGTCCCATTGCAAAAACAATTACTGGGCCCCTCCACCATACAAAAATTACTTTCAATTAATAGAAGAATGACAATGTAATTTGTATGTGTATCAGTATTGTTATGTCTCAAATGCATTACCCACTAACATCTAATGTATTTGGTTTGCCATATAACATACAAATAAACAAAAGTACAATAAAAATAACATGCTGTTTGGCAGTGAAGTTATTTATTATGAAGGTTAGATGAATACAGTTAGAAGAACACCTGACTTTTCACTGCACTCCAGCCATCACATGGATTTGCTCAACTCCATTAGCAGCATCTGATTTGAAGGATTGATTAGATAAATTAGGTGTTAGGATAGCAACTGAAAATACTTGATTTCATCCAGGGGAGATTTAGAAAATGGTTTAGCTAACACATCAAATTGTACATCACATTGTAAGCAAACGCTGGACGTGTCATCATTAATTAACTCAGTTAGCTGAAGTCAATAATGGAGATCATTTTGGCCAGTGGTAGGTTAATGTGATCTTTCCTGACGAAGGGAAGTAGCAGCAAGTGTTCAGGTGAGAATAGGAGGCTAAAGATTGACCTGTTACTCTCTTGTTGAGTTAGTTATCCTGAGGACAGCACCATCTTTTTTTTTCTCTTATCCACTTTGCAAACTTGTGAACATGAACTGTGATTCTGTAGGCTAATTAACTGACTAAGCTAGCTCACCGGCTAATTGTACTACTGATCTAACACCATTTAATGCACGTATACTGTGTTTGTGCTTTAAGAAGACCAATCCTGTAAGAGATCAGGGGGCAGAGGGGCAGGGAAGTTTTATCAAATATTATAAGATGTGGCTGCACTGTGCTCTAGTTTAGTTTATCTTTTGCGCAACTGACAGGTCAGACTAACAGCTAGGAAATTTCCCAGTACTCCCGATGGGCAGTCCAAGCCTAACAAAGTAAGTGGCCCTTTGCCGTGGCCCCAATGCGACTGGCCACCCTGGCCCTCCTTCTAGTTACGCCATTGATTTATGCTGCGTGTTACCTCTTATTGTACTGAGCAACTGAATGTATCACAAAAATACTTAGATTGTAACAATACATAATAACAACCAGTGTAACAAGCAGCAGATTTGCCGTCAGCCCATTTTGCCATTAACAATATCCCCATCCAATTTTTTCCCTCAAACAAACCCAGTCACTTTAAAATTCTGCTGTAAAATCAATTAAATACGCTCTGAACAATATATATTTTTTTAATACCTACAAATACACCACAATTTTGCTTGTGCAGTGCTTTTTGAGAAGCGCAGATTGTTTTTCACAACCTTTTTTACATGTGCTACAACTGCTTTGTTAGCATATTTTGTGCTTTCCAACTTGTTCATAAACCTCAGAAACACTAAACAACATCATATGAATCTTGTAGTTTAAGAATGCCTTCAAGAATGATGATGTTATTTTCTGCCATTTTGCCTATCCTTAGTTGTGGCCATAATCATCAGGATCCAATAAAAACGTGGCCTGTTTCTGTTGCAGCAGTGCACTGACAGTCTTTCTTTTTTTCTCTTTTCTTGTAGGCCATTTGAATCATGACAGAGGCGTGATAATCCAACCCTGTCCAACACAGCTGAAAAGTTAGCCAGTTATGCTAAGTTACAATTAGCAGAGTGGGCAACCAGGACTATTCTGCTATCCAGATGGAGACGTAGTCCTCACCAAAAGCACACACACACACAGACACATGCATACGCAGAGCAGTGAAAAAAACTGTGAATGGTGGGGGTAGAGTGGGGCGAAGTGGGGGGGGGTGGAAACTGAGCCTGTTTGGTGTGTTGGAACAGGTGAATGGTTTGTACTCCAGAATAGCCATTACCGTTGCGAGTGTGTGAGCTGAAGCTTGGCTGAAGTCACTCACACACAACGCCACCACCAAATGGAAGACTAGCACCCCCCACCACCCTCCACTCCCTCCTCCTTTTTCTTTCTCTTTTTTAGCATAAATTTTAGATATACCACTCATCCTCAAAAACAGGGAGGTTAATTTTACCAGTGTGCACACATACATCCTTTTGTTCCTTTGCACTTCTTCACTTTTAGCAATTTTCCAAATGTATATAAATAAAATAATAATAAACAAAGAAAGAAAGAAACAGATAGATAGATAGATAGATAGATAGATAGATAGATAGACAGATAGATCCAAATAAGGTTATGATGATTCTGGTGTAATATGAACTCAGGGAAACAAATAAATGCCATTTCCAATGATGCAGCTCAATTTATTGAGCTGTTCTGTTGTCCATTTAACTACCCACATGTGTCCAATAATGAGGCGTAGACATTATGCCTAATTATGTATATTTGGACTGTGTTTGATGGCCTAACAAAAGCTTTCGAAAGGGACAATTACGTTTGTTGCTTGGTTACATCGTTAAAAATATACCAAATAAGTGCAGATTATAGGGGAGTGTGGATACACACGTAAAGTACGGGCATTGTTGCCAAAATGTTCATAATTTGTTTCATTAGGAAATGGCAATGTTTTGTTTCGAGAAAAAGGCCGACGCTTTAAAATGTAATATCAACTTTTTTTATGTTTTTGTGCTCCTGTTGCCAAAAATGTTTTTGTTGCTTGAGTGTGTGATCACTTTCTTTTGTCAACGACGCACAATATAATTTGGTGCCTTCTATTCTCAGTTCCTTTATTTGCATAATTATGCAAGCAACCACACTTGCTCAAATAAAAGCACTTTTCCGGCCTGCATAATCAAACAGGCAGTAACTGCTTTAACCGCGACAGCCTAGTTATAATCGAGATTCCGAAAAGATATCCGGATACACGCGAGCAAAGGCTAGCAGTCTATCGGCAGTGGTTCTTCAGTCCGGACGCCAATTGAGACCAAAGAGACGAGGTGGGTGTGGGTGGCGGACAGAGGGAGGCAGGGAGGGAGGGGTTTGGAGGGAAAAGCTGGCCTGCCAGGAATCTCATGATAGATCAGCTGTCACAAACTTCAATCTGAAGACGTGACAGACAAACACAGTGGCCCCAGCAGTGTAGTCTTTCGCATACTGCACTCAATCACGGCGAAAATTAATGGGGTGGGGGCGGGGGCGGGGGGGGGCGGTTGGATGGAGAGCAGGAAGGGAGGTGAGGAGGAGGCAGGGAGAAAAAAAATATGAATGCAACAGATGGTAGTTTAAAATTCAGCGTCAATTGTTCATCAAAACAGACAAAACAACGGGACATCTGTCTACCTGCTGGAGTGTCAATGTTCCTGGGTGCGTCTTTGTCCTGAGCAGTTGCCAGGTCCTCCTCCCGGTCCTCCTCGCTTGGGCTGGGGCTGGGGCTGTAGTGCCGTGGCTTCATCAGCAGAGATTTCCTCTTGTTAACCGGCGCTCCATTGGCGCCTTCACCGGCGCTCCTCTTCCTCCCAGCGGAAAGGTGCAGGCTACTAGCAGGAGGTAATACATGGAGAAACTACTGTAGGTCACTGCAGTGGATGCTACTATAACACATGCAGCTTGGTCAGATACTTCATGTCACATAGTTCTTACATCTGTTTTTAGCCCCTTACACCCTTGGGTTATTGGTCAGTTATTAATCTTCAGATTTATTATTTCGTAACCATGCCGAATTATTGAGTAACTACTATGGCGCTAGTATGTAAGTTATGTAGCAGGACCTCACAGGCCCTTAGAGTTTAAGTCACAATAATCATTGAAACAAATAGAGAAATTCTCAAAGTACAGATCTGTACTACATTTGTGTATGTAAATAAAAGACGAGATAGTATTTGAATTTGATTGTGCTTTTTTGTTGTTGTTGTGCATGCAGTCTATTTTTTGCAGAATGAAATAACATCCTTTCAATTGCTGACATTTGTATGTAAATCAAATATAACTTACTGTGTAACTTACTATAAAATTACACATGCATTTGAATAGTGTTGCAAGACGAAAGCAAAATTCAGCTATTCATTATATAGTGATTAATCCTAGGACTTATTGTTCACAGTAGCTACTGTGAAACCAATATATAAGTTATGTAGTTGTAAGAATGAGATATTGAGCCACATACAGACACTTACAGTTTAAGGGGTCCCTACAGGTCTGAAGACTGGACTGGAAATTGAAGTGCAGGCTAATGAAGACTGGACTGGAAATTGGAGTGTTATGCTGCTGGAATTAACTTTTTACAGTTTACAGTTTAAACTCCAGGTTTTCAGAGGTTCAGTGAAAATTAGAATATCAATAATAACACAGATGGAGATGTTTCTCCAAATCTCTGCAAACACTGATGTCTATGTTGAACATTTCACAGGCCATCATCCCTTCCATCCCAACTGACCCAGCAAACCATATCTACAACCACCATCACATACATTAAGCAATTTGGAAAAACTACTTCTAGCCCTCTAGTTTCCATGACAAAAATGGAAAGTACCACCATGTAATCATCAGAATGTTCATGCTTAAAGGTTCAGTGGATTTACTAAATTTTTCATCTTACCCCAAACATAAGTGAACAACCAAGACATGTTAAGTGTCCAATGGTTGCTTCAGTAGTCTAATGTAGCTAACAAGTAATGAAACCAATATCCCCCAAAATCTTTTACTTGTATTACTTATACTATTTCTATTTATAAGAAACAAACTTTGGACACTAAAATGTCTTGGTTGATCGGCTACATTTGCAGTAACAACAAAATTGTGTAAATTTGATTTCAGCCAAATCATTCCTTTAGAAATGTAGCACTGAAATGAGCACTGAAATTAGTCCTGTGAATTAGTCCTTTGAAATTTACTTTGTGCTTGACTCTCAATCTACAAAAGGTGAAATGTGGGTCAAGCATAAAGTCCATATGGAGCCTCGGCTGGGTTCCTGATGATACAGGGTTTACCCATCTAGAATCCTTGTACTTCTTTCCAGTCAAAAGTACAGCACTTATGGATATAACAGGGAGAAATACAAAAACAGAAACCTGGGAAAAGGGACTAGCTTTTTCTGCAGTGCCAAAAACGCCGAACTATTTGTTTTCATGAAGATACTCATATGCTGCCTTGCACAATGGGCTACAATGTTATTAGATGTATCCTTTGCCAGAAAGGCTTAATGGACCATCTGATCACAGGAGCGTTCATGTTTTTAATTAAAAAACCAAGCTCTCAGATAGGCGAATGGAAATGTGAGGTTGGAGGTCTGCTAAGTAATACGTTTGGATTTTGAATCGAACAGTGGATAGTCTGTGTGGCTGAGGCTGTGCTGCACAGACCAGGCACCATATTTGTGCTTGTGGGGAAGCTGTGAACTCTGGCTTACCTGTGAGTGTCAGCGACGCAGTCAGCCATAACTGCAAACAGAGAGAGAGAGAGGCAGAGACAGAAAGAGAGAGAGAGAGAATGGGGGTGGGTAAATACACATGTTTGCATTTCCACAAGCTGGACCTGCACCTGTGCATGCTCCAGGCCGCAGCTACTCCTGTCTTCCAGGGCAGCCACACTGCAGGAGAGCATCTCACAGCACCGTCTCACAGCGGCTATAGCAGCGTCTGATAGGCCTTTAAGCTTTGCGTGACACTGGTTTCTCTTCAGCTTGCTTACTCATCTAAATCCAACCAGGGGAGCATAATATATTGGCACCCAATATGCTGAAAATAGAAAAACTGAATTATTATCAATTCAATACTGGAATCATAGTGAATGTTTGCTGTGCTAACTTGGGCCTCACACGTATAATCAGCAGTGGTGGGCACGTCTATGCTTTTCTAATGGAATACATTATGAATAACACCACAACTTCACATATGGAAGATTAGTGGCTTGAGATCAGACGGGAAAGCCACCACAATAACAATGAGTTTTGGGCTCAACTTCTAATGTTACATTAACCCACCATTGTAAACTGGGCACATGCTGAATAAGGAAATGTAAAGGTTTGCAATCATTTCCATGTCTTATTTATGTAATTGTTATGTGAAATTAATTAACAGTCTGTCTTTAGTGTTTTCACCTGTCTTACACTCACCACACTTCATATTCGTCTGCCTCAAGAGACCACACTGTATGACCGTACTGCTGTTTTAATCACCAGAAGAATCACATTAGCTTCTGTGTGCTTTACAGAACAGCCATCAGAAAACAGAAAATAAATGTTTTACTGTTTTCCCGTTTAAGCCAACTTCAGTGTTTTATCAGTAAGATCACTAACATCAAAGTTTACCATGCAAAATCCATGGAAACTAATCAAACTTATCAATATTAGCGCTATGTGTAACCCTGTGGCTGATCCACACAGTTTACTTTATGATCTACCTAACGTTAAATAACTAAGGCAACCTAACCATTTTTATTTTACTTATAGAAAATGTCACATATTCTCTCTCTTGCTCACACAGTTTTTTCTTCTTCAAATCTGTATCACTAACTTATCCAGTGCTGATGCAGCAGCGTCAGTAGGTACTTTTAATAATGTTCATGCTTTCACCAGAACACAGGGATGGATTGTGTACTAAACACAACACAATGAGTCTGTAAATGTTACACTTGTGTCATTTACTCATAGAAGTTTAAAATGGTAGGTGAGTGTAGCACCATTGCTCCCATTGCACCGCAGCAGGTGACAGTCATTAATATGGAGGCTGCATGAAAAACATGAATACGGGTTATAGCATAAACTTGTTTTAACCCCAAAGAAATCTCAGACTCATTCCATTGTGACACCTTGCAATAACAGCAAACGACCATTTAAATTTAGTATTGTGTCGAGGGTGTCTCCACCGGAAACATAGAATCTGCACATGAAGCCAAAAAGTAAACAAATAATAGATCTATCAGCTAATAAGTGTGTTTTGAAATATACAGTACCAGATGTAAAGCACCAGTCAAAAGTTTGGACATGTCTACTCATAGATTTTACTAACCCCACATTTTGGAATAATAGTGCAGAAAGTATGAAACATCACACATGGACCAAAAAATGCAGTGACCAAAAAAGTGTTCAAATGTTCAGAATATCTTCTATTTTAGATTCTTCCATGTTGCCTCTCTTCACCTTGATACAGCTTTACACATTCTTGGCATTCTCCCAAGCAGCGTCATGAGAAGCCACCTGGGATATGTTTCCTATAGCTCTGAAGAAGTTCCACATATGCTGAGACCTTGATGCCTGCTGAAAACTACTTGTTGCAGGGGCATTTAAAAAGATCTTGGGACATAAATTCATTCACCGGCATCTTTCCTATTTAAAGTCTCAGAAACAAAATTTTGGGCCCGTCAGCAGACCCTGGCCATGTAAGGGGTTAATATGATTCTACCTTGTGATGCTGACTGGCTTATATTTGTTGTAAATAAACAACTGGAATCTCTGAAAGTGCAAGGCCACATTGTGAAAGGGAGAAAAGAACACTGTCGTTGTATTAGGGTTTTTGCTCAGCATCAGCTGGTGGTAAATAGAGTTGAATGAACAACTTTATTCATGGGGAAAGCACTGAGGTGCAGACGACATGCTTCACGTTTCTTTTTGTACAGAAAAAGAAACGTCTCGTCCTCTTCAAAACAGAGAACGTAGCATAACAATTACAGTTTAGACAAAGTGATTCTCAAGCGCTGCTTGAGAGAATTCCCTCTGGAGGAGGGACAGAGAGAAAGCGAGAGAGAAAGGGAGGGAGAGAGAGTGAGAAGGAACCACAGAGAGAGAGAAAAACTGATGACAGCAAGAGGAATCTCATTCACAACTTCATGTGCACCCCTTGTAGAAGACTCAATCAACCTGCTCTGAATTTTTGCTGTCCCATTAAACGCTGCTGTAGGACGAGCGGTACAGTACACGGCTTCCAAAAACCGAGCCCTAATGACACCCCTAGTCATGTCACAGTCAATCGCTCCATTCACAGGCACTCCTTAACTCATCCAAGCCAAAGCTGCAGCGTAATGAAGGCACTGGTCGTGAATAATGCATCACCTCAACACACTAACCGCTCTGTGAATGAATAAGATTAATATTTAAATGAACAATATGTGACGTGGGTCTGCTGAATTGACTCTTCAGGTGCACAGCAGAGCACATGAAAAACTGCAAAAAATGCAGAATTTTAAAGGTTTTTTTTTAAGTATATACCTCACATATATTAATGTACCATTGAAACGTCAGTGTTTTCAATAGTATAAAACGAACTTGTTGCAGCTACATGTATAAAATGATTCTACTACACAATTCTACTACTACAGGTTTCAACCTCACTGTAAGAACAAGTGTTCTTACATGTGTCCAGAATGATGTATCTTTTATGATTTAATAACTTTTTTGTTCCCCAAAAGTTGTACTGAATCTTAAAATACCTTCTGGTGTCTAACTTACAGTATTTTAATATTTATATTATATAAGTTAAACATACAGTTAAGCTTAAGTATATGGACCATTCTATTGAATTAGTCTCACAATATAAATAAATAAATAAATGGTAGATTTATTGTGAGTTTAACTACGTCAAGGTCTGGTCCATAGGCGGAGATTTATTTCAGCCACACCCCTGCATTTTAGAACAGGAAGAGAGACTGCATCCCTGTCATGGCCACATGGTGAGCAGTTAGATTAGCAGTCATTGTTTTGTAAATGTGTCCCAAAATCTGAAAATCAGTATGTATCATTCAAATTTTTAACTACCAAAACACATATTTTCTGCAATTAAGTAGATGTTTTTGTGGTTCACTGAAAAATATGATAGCTTAAATATGATAAATATGGCTAGCTTTTTTGAGTTCTGCTCAAAATTAGCTACAATTGTTGCTAACAAACAGTCACTACTAAAATATTTGGTAAAGTTTCGGTAGTTTTATGATTATTTTGATAGCGACAAAATGGAATGTTCAGTCATTTATTATAATAAAAATAGAAAGGAGAATGATCACAAAGAGATAATATTTCATAGATTGTTGGTGTTGTAACAAAACTTTAGTACAGGAAAAACATTCTCCATTTTTTAAATGTCAGTTAATAGAACATCACTTTATTCCAAGTAATTTTGGACCCTTTCTGTTATTATTATTCTCTTTTTTTATTATAAAAGGTTTGCACAATATGAAGAGCAACTTGCATTATCACATATTGAAAGAAAAAAACTGAAAAAACAGAGTGGTAAAGTTTTGATATAATAGCTTCAATATATTCATCCTACCAATGTTCTATAAATTAGATACATGATAAATATATTGTAAAGAAAGTAAATATAGTCATGTGCAATAGTTTGAAGACCCCCAATCAAATGACATGTTTTATTGATGTTGATTTTTGATGAAAATAAGTTAACATGTTCTCTACATAGAACAAACTTAAATATAATATTTTTCTGCAAATTTTAGTTCAAAATTTTTATTGCTTTGCCATGTTTAAGGTATTGGAAAAGATCAAATTAAAAATAAAACATAAAATTTAAAATCTTGTATCTTTTCCACAGGTCACATTTTATGTTTTATTTTTTCTCCAATATGTTAAACTCAGCAGACACAGTAATTTTGCATTAAAATGTCCACAAGTGTGTTCTCTGTAGAGAACATGGGTAGTATTGTTATCATTTATAAAAACATGATGAATCTGTGGTGGAAGTGTGATGATGTGCTATTGTTATTATGGAGGAACACTTACTGGCATCGCCACTACACTGTTCGATGCGGTTCTCGTCGCCTTCAGATTCCATCTGAAACAAAGTTGGACAGTGGGTCAGAAAAAGATCAAGTTACAGCATCCAGTAACTGAGCAGTCTAACCTGACGGAAATGACAGTGAGTCTGAGTAAGCATGCTGTATGTGGTGTTTGGATTAAAGTAAAGACACCCTGGAATTGTCAAAATAAGAGTAGTGACCTTCTGACGTTCTGTTCAAGAGGACATAGTGGAAGAGCTTATCATGATAAAGTATTTAATATATAGAAAAGATAAGCAGTCTATAACCAAATGCAAAATCTTTCATACAAATTCATTTTTTCCCATTCTAATAGCAATGTATTGACTCTAATCATGCACATTGTTTAAAACTGCTCGTATGAGAGCTAATTGTCCAATTAAACATCATTGCCTATTGCCCTTTGTCCTCCTCCACCATACAGTATATCCAGGTTCCTTCTCTGAAGGCTCACTTAATATTTGCTACAAATATCCACACTGGCAAACACAACTCAGTTTGGACAAACCCTGTAGATCAAATGAAACGGAAATGTGTGGATTAAAGGACATAGTAGAGTAAAAAGTGCATTTTCCTTTTAAAAGCTATGTAGTAGTTGAAAACCTTGAAATGAACCACTTGAATAACAAAGTACAGAATGTATGCTGAGCTAGTGTAGATGCGCACAGTAATAGGGATTCTTATGAAACCTTCATTTCAGAGGTCCTTGGGTATATAGAATTTATACAAGTACACTGTAAGCATCTGCACCATAGAAAACAAACGAACAAGCCAGAGAACATTAGAACTCTGACAACCGAAACAGCAACTAGCTCAATAAACTAAGTTACACTATGAATTCCTGGAAATAATGACATATAATGATTTGAAACAGGAGGCAGCAAGCCTTATTTATTAGTATAATACATAATAAATACATTTTCCCTCAGCATAATAAACGGTACACATGTTTTATGAGTAGTCAGGCCTTCAACTCTGTATGATTGCTTTGGATGAGTACTGTGATTTAAAAAAAAACTTGCATGGGTCGAATCTCATGCTGCACAACGCTTTCATATTTTCTGTCCATGGTATTCACTTAATTGGACCAGCATGGATGCAAACTACACCTGAAAAAGCTGCGAGAGATGGACAGGCTTACTTTAGGGAGAGGCCAGACAGCAGTGGCCAAAATGTAATGACGTAAAATCATGCTACAAAAAGTAGTGGCGAGGAGGGTTTTTAGACAAAAAGAGTTGTTAATGCCACCCCCCACACCCCCCCACCCCCAAAAACACACACGCACACATACCCTCTCTGTCTCTCAGTCTCTCTCTCTCTTTCTCTCTCTACGCCAGCGTCGCCTTGCCGATCCCAAATAAAACCTATTAAATGTAATTATTCCGGGCTGATGGTGGTGTATAGTGGTCAGAGGGGCTGCGGCGGGCTCTCTCTGAGTCACAGGCTGTGCTGTTACTCCAGGCGTAATGGGAAACATGACTCCTCTCTTTCTCTCTGTCGCGCTCTCTCTCTCTCTCTCTCTCTCTCTCTCTCTCTCTCTCTCTCTCTCTCTCCTCTCTCTGCTTGGCTGTTGTGATTGAAGGCACTGACCTGTCATACATTTATAATAGGGGGAGCAGGTGTGGCAGTGATGGGCCTTAATTTCCTTTAATAAACCTTTTATGTGGTCCACTCTTAATGCCACGCCAGCCCTCTCCCGGCTCCCAGAGCGTAATAGCTTCATTACTTTTGATTACTGGGGTCCCTATCGAGACAAACAACTCCCAAACACTATAGATTACATTCTGTAATAACTAATGTACCTGATTAGTTCATTACACTCTTCAGTGTTTTGCACACACACGCACTTATGGAGATACAGAGGTTCACGTTTCGCGGCAGGTACAAAAAACGGAACTGTTTGAAGCAGCAAGGAATGTTTTGACTGCTTTGATTGTGTACTGCAATAGCCATCATCAGTCTCCACCACTTCATTATATCACTAACAGCTTTTATTTGAATAATCTGGACAGATGCTATCAAAGTGCTGTATTTTCACACATGGTTATGTAATTGCATTTTCCATACATTTTGAGTGGCCTTTAAGAGCCTCTAAGCAGCATCTTAAGGCTTAGGGACCAAGCAATAGATGGTAAATATCAAGTCTTCAAATAATATCAGCTATTGCCCTATGCAAAGGTTGACACTTCACTGCTTAATCCAGAGACAGTCATGCAAATATGAGTCAAGTATCAAGTCTGTAGTAGAAAGTTTTAGTTTACTTATTTAAATAAATTTAAACCCTTTTAGAAACCTGTCAGACACAGCTTCAAATAATGAGCCTTACATTATACAAAAACCTTCAGTCTACAGAACTTAAGTGCAATAAATAAAGGCAAACAGAGGCCAAACAACTTGGAACTGTGGGTTAGTTTGTATAGCTAGCTAGTGTAATCCAGTTAATTCAGGTTTATTTTAAATTTAAAAAGAATGTGATCTGTAACTTACTAAAAATTTAGCTACATTAGCTAACAACTTTAGCTACTGTGCTAGTTAGCATACTGCTATCCAAACTACAAACTAGCCAACTGTTAACAGTTGTTTTGCCTCTTGCCTTTAAACAGCATATTTACTGCACATAGTGTTTTGTTCAGTCTGTCAGACTGATGGTTTTTCTCAAATGAAAGGCTCAATATTGAAGTCACATTAAACTGATGCCACTGCAAAAATGGCATTGCAGTAATGACCGTGCAAGACCACAGAAAAACTGACAGACAAAGTCACACACGTTAGTACAGAAAGGAAATGTTTTGTTAATTTACCACTTGGCGATTAAACATATTTCTTAAATCTTGTCCAAGACAAGTTGTGAATCAGGTAAGAGCGAGTCGAATTGTCCGTCAAAATACAACTCAAATCTGAGTCGCTGACTTGAGTCCCCATCTCTGGTTTAACCAAAGCATGGTGGTAGACACTGTTGAACCCTTAAAGGGGCTAGTAACTTATTGTCTTAATCCAGTGGTCACCAACCCTTCTCTTGGAGATCAGCAGAGTTTAGTCCCAATTTGCATCTAAAATGGTGCCCCCACTTATCTAACAGTAATGCATCTGATCCGGTATATCAAGGGTTTCTGAAGAAGGTAAGTAGCTGGAGGTGTGGTAGATTGTAATTGGAACTAAACTCCACAGGAAGGTAGGATCACGCTTAGTGACCACTGTCTTGATCTATTTTTTACTGTTATTTAAGATCAGAACAAAGGATTTAAGTTGAGGTGAACTTTGTTGGAAGAAGCTGGTACCAAGTTTTTCCTCACCATCCAGAAACAGAGCAGATTTGTTGTCAGCTACCGTGTGTCACAGCCCCACCCCACACAAACTAAAGTCTCTTTTTGTCTTCACATTTTTGGTGGTGTCCCAAGAATGTAATGTTGCTTAAACAATTTGTCGCCTATGAAAGTAACATAGCCACATTACTGCAACAGTAATGCTAACAGCGTTTACATGATGAGTTGACTTTTCCTTTTCAATGTCGCTTTTCCTGCACAATCTAATATTTTACACAGATTCAAAGTCAGACTTCTGCCAGGATCAAGGTGAGGGATTCTATGCTAAATCTAGTTAAACAGGACTTTATCTGTCTTTGTAATGAAAAATGCAGTTTATCAGTGTTCATAAATACTGGCGATGTGCTCAGAAAAGCGTATTGTTGCATATTGTAAAGTATTAATCGTTAAAATTTTTAATTAAATACAATCTGATCATACAGGAGTATCCAGCAGAACCACTCCTGATTTCCGGATTGAGAAAAAAAAAATCTGTTTTTACCTTTGTTTCTTTACAAGGCAATAAAGTCCGTGAGTTGCTGTGCTCTCTGCTCTGTCTTTTCTCTCGGCTCCTCAGGGCTTTGGTGTGAAAAGCATCCTCTGGGGACAAAGAGGAAAACAGCAGGTAAAGAAATGACCTTGCTTGACTGTAGGATGCTCCAGTACTATGAATTCCTCAAGCAGTGGAACAATTTCATTGAAGTAAATTTGAAATACATGACAGACGGGGTTGCCACAAATTTGATGCTGATGTTGTGCCAGTAGTCATCATGTCCATCCAGTAGACCAGCTCACTTGAGGTTGAGGCTTGTGCTTTCAGGACTTCGAGGGTAAGGTTACCTGACCAGCTGTCTGCTATTGTAAATCCTTTATATGGTAGTGCTGGGCTTCACTGTCTAGGAAATTCGCCCAAAGGAGAAGGAATTTCTAAGACATGACCATGTAGAATGTGGAATGTCAGAAGACGCTGCCCTATGGTTGAGGACTAAAGCGGCTGAGTAGTGAGATTAATGTGACTAATGTGACTGATGCTGTAAATAAAATATTTAAGCACTCCACATCAAGACGGCCCTGATTATGGTGAATCAACACCTGGCTGTCTTGTTTTGAGTGAAAGAGAGAGATAGATAGATCATCAGACCAGCCCTTGGCACCACCGGCCTACTAACCATCAGGTACCATCAGCTGTTCCAATGACTCGGTTAAATCATACACCCTGTGTGGACTCTATTTGCCACTCAGAATGTTGCAAAGTCTTGCCACAGCTTTCTGTGTTTACAACTTTGAGCCCTTTGTATTCTCAGTCTGAATTGTTTCTTTGGATTAAGATTATTAGTTTTGCTCTTTTGATCCATACGATACTGTACCCTTTATTTATTAATTTTCCAGTCAAAATGGCCAAAGTCAAGATTTCTCTGAGGAGATTAGCAATAAGATAATTAGCTTGCATAAGGAAAGGGGAAAGACAAATGAAAATAAGTGAAAAAAACAGGGGTTTGCAAAACTGGAGTTCAAAAGACAATTAAATGATACAGAAAAAATGTGATCCTAACAACTGTTCAAACCTGGTAGCCCACCAAAACTGGTCTTCATCAGGTAAACAGCATTTAAAGCATTTCTCTATGAGAGATAAGATTTTTTTCTGCTTTTTCCTATTGCTAAAAAATAGTATGTGTTTAATAGCTGTTTTGACTGGAAATTAGGTAAACGAAGGATGGTCTCTGACTTCTGCACAGTACTGTAGTTGCCTGTTTTCACTATTCAGACTTCACTGCATCATGGATTTGCCTCACTTATTCTTTATGCTTTGTTACACATGAACTAAAAATGTTCCAGTATATCCCATCTGAACCTTTTAAATTATCCTGAATTAGGTATCGTTGAATGAGTGAGCTCATGTAAATGTTTTGGATGTGATAAATTGAGGAAGTTTTAGGTTTACACTTTTTTACTGTGAAGAAAGAGAGAAGGCAGAGAGAGGGAGAGATGCGCTGTAAAAGTAAGAAAACTTTTTAAATCAGTGGAATGAAGATGAATTACTCTGAATTCTTTTCTACATAATTTATATATATTGAGCTCAGTTAAAAGTTTTTATTTTGTCCAATCTTTCATTTTTTACACACAGTGAGTATGTATGTGAGTGAGGCTTAAAAAATGACAGAGCCTCTTCCAAGCTTGCCGACAAGCACAAGGGTGTGAGGGGGAAAAGGGGGGCTCTTATTAGCATAAGAAAAAGACGACCCACTGTTTTGAAGCATCTCGTCATCTGCTGAATCATAATTTGGGGGGTTTCTCTCAAATCCAGCACCCTTGCAGGGCTGGGACAGTGATGGCTAAGACTGCAGGGTCTCCAGGGAAGTGCTTCCTAACACAGCAGCCCCTGTGTGCGTGTGTGGCCAGTGCTCTTCACCCAATCCCATCTGCTATGTTTCCCACAGCCATGTGTGTGTAAGCAAAGCATGAATTAAATGAAATCTGATCACAATGCATCATTACTTTCACAGTATTACTGCTACAAGCTGATAGCACAACAAGGTAAGAACTATGTCAATTTTAAAGCAAGACTTCTACGACCAATTACACAATAAATTGCTCAAGCTATTTCTAGCATTTTCATTTCGTCAAAAGAGAGCAGTCCCTTTAGGCATCCACAATCAGAAATTCATGCAAATTCAACCAACCATCACCGCATTATTTCTATGTTCACAACTCTTGAAAGTAAAATAAAGTGCTCTTAAACTTTTTTTTGTTTGAAAATCAAGCAAAGTAGCATTGTAAGACTCTTACTAGACCTGGGCGATATCCGAGAAAAACAATCACAGTATTTTCTTGTTGTTAAAAAATGGGGATTATCAATTATATCATCCCCGCAAAAACACACAAACAGTGCACATGGCACATGACATACTTTCAATTATTTTGAAAGCATTTATATACAGTTGCATACAAAGGTTTAAATACTCCTGGTCAAATGACACATTTTATTGATTTTCTATGTGAAAATAAGTTAACACATTCCCTACAGAGAACAAACTTAAATATGTCATTTTTTGTGCATAGTTTCTATTTTTCTATCCAGTTTAACATACTGGAAAAACATAAAATATAAAATGTGCCATAACCTTTGAACAGGCCAATTTTGTACTATATTTTTTGTACTATGTTAAATTCAGCAAATAAACAGTAATTCTGCTTTACAATGTGCAGATGTGTGTTGACTGAAGAGGATGAGAACTTATTTTCACTTTAAAAAAACAACAAAATGCCCTTTGACTAGGGGTGCCCAAACTTTTGCATGTGACTATATATAAATGTTTTCACAATAACTGGAAGTGTGTCTCTTTTGCGCAGCATGCCGTCTGCCATGCAGACTATATGTGTGCTTTTGCGGTGCACTGGGAGGTAACAAATTATAAAAATATTGTGATTAATTTTGGATATCGCTCAGGTCTAGTTCAGAATTACACAGTGGTACTCTGCTTGATATTCTACCAAAATAGGTTTGAGGGCACCTTATTTTACTTTACTTTATTATTATTGTTATTATTATTGTTATGGAGCGCTTGTTATTTATTTCCTGAATGTATGACTGCAGAAATATGCTGCTAATTTCTTTTCTTGTTTCTTCCTTGTTTTTAGCAGAAACAAACAAAACTACATTCAAAACAAGTTGCATAAATATCAGACTCACAATCATTACGAAATTCTACAGTTTTATAAATATTGCAAAAGGCTGCTACAAAATCAGCCCACAAAGATTCTGGTGGGACTGAGAAACACATCAAATGCATAATAACTATCAACTATCAACGCTCAATAATCAACTCCGCAACAATACACCTAAGATTCACTTACACCCATCTCAAATCTGCTTCTCCTCTCACTTACAGAGGTCCTTCATGATATCAACAACGGCCCAACTCATTTATTTATGATGTAATGTCAATCTTTCAGTATGTTTCAATACAACATTGACATTGATTAATACCTTTTTGTCACTTTTTGTTTGCATAGTTACTGTAAACTGAATTGCAGTTGCAATAAGCCACTGGAAACTGCACTGCAGTTCTAAAAAGTCAATAAAAATCATTTGCAGTGGAAAGAAGTAGCATAAACTCAGTCATTCATACTGAATCGCAGTTTCAAAAAGTCACTGAAACCACATGAGATGCAAAAACAGATGCAGAAACTACTTTGCAGTCACAAACATCTATTCAAAACTATTTTCAAAAACTAATCTGCAGTTGCAAAAAGTAACTGATAAGTGAACTGAAGTTGCAAAAGTCATTAAAATCTGAATTCTTTTTTCGAGAACCCACTGAAAACTAAAATATAGCTGCAAAATGTCTTTGAAAATTGTTTTCCATACAAAAAACACCTGAAGCAGCCAAAAATTATAAACAAAATATTTTTTTCAGACTGGTTAATATTTTGGATCTTTAGATTCAAAGTAGGTGTTGAGTTTGAAATGCGTACAGCAAACAGCAAGTGAGAGTAGGTAGGATGACGGTTAAGAAAAAGAAAGTATTAAAAAAAGAGAGATTTACAAAAGGCTTCGGCGGCCTGTCCCGCTGCTGAATGACTGTTATGATTAGATTGCACTTTGAGTGTAATTACTGAATAAAGCTGCATGAGCTACCAGACAATGAATAAATAAAGACCTTGAACGCTATCTCTGCTAATACTCCTCCCTCCCTCCTCTTTCTCCCTCTCTAACCTTTCTCAGGCAGTATCGTTGTCTGAATTATGGAGCCAGGGGCCCAGTGCAAGGTCACTCCTTTTCTTCCCCTTCTTTTTCTCTCTCTTTCTCTTTCTTTCCGTCTCCCTCTTTGTCCCCTCTTGCAGGAGGCGCATGTGGAGGGGAAAGGGTTAAAGCGGGATTGAATGTAATTATGGAATGAATGGAATTACAATGCGCCTGCAGCAAGTTTGTGTCTCCTTATTTATTAAGGCAGCTGATGGGCCAGGTTTGATGAGGCACTCTTCGGGCATAATTGAGTCATCACACAAAGAGGGTTCCGCGCATTCGCCGAGGTTTTATCAGCTGCAAACAGACCTGATTACTGGCAATTACACTCTGATCTGCCAGGAGGAGGTGGTGGTGGGGTGGTGGTGGTGGGGGGCAGGAGAGAAAGGGGTGAGCGTGCAGGGGTATAACTTCTGTGTTTTGTAGTTTTACCCCAGGAATGATTTCCACATTAATTTTACATGCTTAAGTGTTTTCTATTTTGGCGTAATAAAGTGCAAAGATAGCTGCGCCTCACCACGTCTTGGTGTAATGGCAGAGGGGAAAAACGCTCAGTCGAACACAAAACACAAGAGGGTTTTTTTTGGTCTGTTTGTATAAAACAAATGAAAAAAAATGCCTTAAACATAATACTACCTCATGTCTTTGACAGGTTTCGTCTGAACGGAGTTGAACGTTGAATGTCGGACTTGCGAATGACAAGGTTAAAGAAGACGCCAATGCTTTTAGCACTGCTTATTCAAATGCAAATGAAGCGCGCATAAATCAAAACCTTGTAATCATGAAACATGAAACAAAATACATATGGTCAAATTGGAAAAAGTCTGAAATTAAAAATTAAAGATCACATGGG